ATTTTTCATATCCTGACTAACTTTATGTCAATCCTATAAAACTTTAAATTGTCTCACAGAGGCGTAGCCAGGAATATGAAGGAGGGGGGGGGGGGGGGGGGGGTCAAATTTTTTTGAATGGAAAACTTTTTTGAATGGGGGGATTTTTCCGAGTTTTTCGAATTTCTCAAGACGAAGGGGATCCCCCCCCCCCCTGGCTACGCGCCTGTCGTCTCATATTTTATGAAGTTCTGTCTTTAAGCTCTCGAACTTCCTCTTTAACCTCAAAAAAGATGCAATTTAGATTCACACAAAATGAAATTTTTCTTCCGTTCTCATTTTGTTTTCTTATATTCAGCACTGCCATCTGATAAGAAATACTTGAAGAACATTTTCACATTATCAAAGGACAGCTTCAAATTGTTTCAAAAATAATCTGAAAAAATGTGGGAATGTCAATTAATTTGAGAAAAATTCCAGATTCGATCACTGTGTTATGCATCTTGTTGGAAGCGTCTCGACTTATTACATCTTTCGTTCATACATGACATCTCTTAATTCCTTGATTTTGAGGCACATAATTGATGTTTTGTCTATGGTGAACCATATTTTTCAAAGATGACGTCATATCTTATACTTCTTAATTGTGGGATCCTAAGCTTTATATCATATAATATGTAAGTGCTCTGGTTAATATAATCATAGAATATTAACTTCATTTGCTGACGTTTTGCTTTAAAAATTCCAATTCTATTGATCCAACCAAAAAATGAGATCAAAGAAGAAAGAAAATTGGAAAATATCGTGAGTTATTAAGCTATAAGCTATTCCTCTGTGTATATCATAAAAATTCCTAATAAATGTCAAGACTAACGTAAGCAAAAGTTTGGTCTATATCATGAGGAAATTTCTTTTGAAGCGTTTAACCTTAAAAATAGTATTTATGACGATAACAATCACGTCAGTAATGACGGCACTATGTTATGCATATAGAAAATATTTCGCTAACCACGCGAAATCACGAAGACTGTAGGTTTAATATTGAGGCATGATGTTGTTGTCTGGATATGGATTGGCTGAATTTGTTGAGGAATTTGAATTAAGCATTTGGAATGTGAATTATTAGGTTGGATTAAGGCAGCGGTTGGAAGCTCTGGATCTCGTTTGAAAAAAGAGCAACGAAATTTAGGAACTGACTGAACTTTGGGAACTTCTCATATTATACTCGAGACCATGAACTTTCAGGTAGGATTTTCACCAATCATCACCAAAAAACTCCTAGTTTTGCCACTGCATTAACATTTCTTGTGAATTTGGACATGCAATTACCATTAACAAAAGTCTGACTGCATAAACTGCTATAATTGGACACTCCTAATTTCATTTCATACCCGGATCCAACATTTAAGCATTTCACACTGCAATTTAAACCTCCACACATCCAAAAATTCACAATAATTTGCATAATCCACAACATCAAACGTTTTAAAGCAAGGCAAAACAATTTGACTTTCCATTTTACTTCCATTAACTTTCTTCAAAAACCACAAGAGATAATCGATTAGAATATAAAAGGAAGTTACTATTTTGTTACTTAAAAAAGCCATTTCCAGTTTTTTTTGTTTTTGATAAAAAGGAAAAATTTTTTCTATTTCCATTTCTAGTTCCTCTCGTCCAACACAAGGAACAATAGAGAAAAGCTTTTACGGCAGTTGTAATAAAGGCAACATTAATGTCATTATCGTAAAAAGTTATGGCAAAGAAACATGAGATGAAAAAAAAAGAAAAATTATTAGTAAGGGATGGAATTTTTTGTGGAAGTCCATTTGGTGCAAGAATTTGGGAACTCTGGGAATGATGTAGGCTTTAAAGATGGGATGGAATTTTAGGTCAAAGCTTTAAAATTATTTTTGCTACTGCTTAAGGTTAAAACTGGTTTTTGGAGATTAAATATGGTTCAGGTTGAACTAGGGTTGCCTCAACAGGCTTACTTCTTAGTTTATATATTCAGGCTGAGCTAGAAGATTGAATACAGTGAAGTCGACTTCGAGCTTTGAGTTCGGAAGGTCTCACAATAAGAATATTAAGAAGCAAGCAATTAACCATGCCCTAAGCCATGCAAAAAGCCAGGACAACCACAAAACCAGCTGGCAATAACCCTGTTGGTCTTACCTTTAAGCCTTAACCCTAATTTACCTTAATCCTGTTCCGAGCTTTGTTGATCATCATTAATCATCCAAAATCACACTATAATCGAGTCTGAATCCTGTCCACAATCCCTGCAGGAAAAAAATACACGGACAGCAGAAATAATAGTAAAGCAATAATAATTTTTCCCATTCATAAAAGTTTTCCCATTTTAATCATAATGAAATATGTTAGTCGAATGGATATAACAGATGTAATTGCAAAGGAAGTAGTACCCGTTAAATTTAAGGGTATTATGGTAATGTGTTAAATGATCATGACAACTTTAATGACTTTGAGTTACAAAAGAAGCTGAAATGTTGAATGTTATCAAAGAAGTAAGCTAGTTGATGGGAGGAAAACAATTGGAACAAAAGCCTGACTGAATGTTGTGTCTCAAAATGGCCATCAAAAAGACATCATTGACAGCTTTAAAAGCTCTAAACGTGGAGTTCGTTTATTAAATCAAATTATCAAAAATGAATTGATGGAAGAAAGTTGGTTCAAGTAAAAAAGTCACTAATGAAAAATGCAAAGAGCGCATTTTGGTTAAATTGTCAATTTTAAGGCATTGACTTTTCTAATTTGACTGAATTTAGATATTTTGATCATTTCCAGTATTAATGAAAAAGAAAAAAAAAATTTAACTAAGGATAAAAGTCACTATAAAAAGGTGCACAAGGCGCATTTATGATTTCACATATTGGGAATTAAAATTTTTTCAAAATTTGTTAAAAAATCAGTTTTGCTAGATTTCAATGTCATCAAAGGCTTAGAATCTAATTCAAGTAAAAAAGTCACGATAGAAAGTTGTATAAGGCGAATTTTAATATTTTTTACAACTTTTGTGTTCAAATTGATGTCAAATTCTTAAACGACTTTTTATCAGTATGCAAAAAGATGCAGTAAGACATAATGAAACCAAGCTGCATCATCACACCAAAACGTTCTTACATCCTCAATAAAATTTACATAAAAATGGTCGCGACACATTTTTCATTTTTCCATTATTCAAATTGTATTGCATAGACATGTCGCATAACGACGTCGACGACAATGCAAAATACATGAAGTAATTAAATTGTGTACTCAACAGTAAAATATTTCTTAATTTATTTTACACTTGACATCACTTAAGGAAACAAGACATCGTGCGCTAACATAACAGAAATGACTTTATCATGCATGTATACATAACTGATAGACAATGTTTAATTCATAAAAAGCAGCACAAGTCAACTATAAATGCTTACATGAGTATGTGCACTTCATCATAATCCACCTACATGAAATGGGTCTTGAGTGAATTAAATGCACGTTTTGAAAGTTTTGATGATTAATTTGAGAGTAAGGATTCATAAAAGGCTGAAAATGTTTGTTTCATGGCAAATTTGAAGATCAAAACACTTTGAAGTTCACGAACATTTGATGTGTAGGATTATGAGATTTAATTAAAATGTTTATGCTTGGTTCAAATTTTGGAAGCTAAAATGATCGAGTAATTAAATTAGAAGCTGAATTTACAAATTTGACAATTTCTCTTATATTTCATGAAGCTTTTCACAAACTGATTTAATCAAGGGGCTGTTCACTTATTACGTAACGCGAAAAAACGACTTCTTAGACCCCCCCCCCCCTCGTAACAAAATTTGTATGAAAAAAAAATTTCCTTGTTTGAACCGTAACAAAATCTTAGACCCCCCTCCCCCTAAAAGCGGGAAAAAGTTATAATTATTTTTTTATATGTCAAAAATCTGATTTTGGCGGGAAAATATTGAAAAATTTCCCATCAAGTTGTTTTCCCCCTCACCTTTAGTTGCCATTCATCAAATTTTGCCCGAAAAATCTTCAAAAATTCAATCAAACTAAGCTAATAACATCAATTTGTGTCAGCAATTCTATCATTCTCCAAACTTATTAACAAGAAAAAAAAATCTCATTTGTGAGATTTTCACATTTAGATCCTCAACTTCCCTCCTACAACTATGAAAAAACTTTTATGAATCTTGAAACATTCGTGACAGTTGATTAATTTTGAAAGTTTTACTAATTTCCATTTTCCTAGTTTTTCAAGTATTCTCCACAAAACGATTTAGTGATTTTCTCGCAATTTGCTGGATGTACAGCTAGGCAAGGATGATTCGAAGAATGAAAGTGTGAATAGTTTTTCGTTTAAGAATGAAAAAGTTTTTCTATTTATATTGATGCGATTTAGATTCGTTGGAAAAATTGAGATTTACTCATGTTGAGATCTGTATAAGTTGGGTTTGGATAGCTACAGTTAAAAATTCAAATATTTTTTAAACGTTAAACATTCAAATATTTTTTGACCGTTAAAAAGCAAACTTCTACTTTGTTTTGATATAAAACTCTACATCCACAATCCTTACATAAACATCAATTGCCATCCATTACGTTAACTCACATCTTCAATAAAAATGAATTTTATTAAAAGTCACGAATTCAAAATTTATAGGCACGAAGAAAATCAATTTTACGGTCGTAAAATGGCAATTTACATCACACAACAGTTCAAAAGTCAAAAGAACTTCCTCTTTATTTGGTTTTCAATTCTCATATACGTTCAAAGCTCTTTCATTTCCGATAAGAGAACAAAGAAGACATGCTAAGTTGTCGATTCAAAGTGTATTATTTCATTTTATTGATTTCCTTTCCCAAGGGTGGGTAAACTTTTTGGAGCAAAAAAGTTTTTAACTCCATCCACAATATCAATCTTTAGATTCCATTAAAATGTCAAGAGCAGCAAATTTTTCAATTAATTTTCCATTTTCCACCAAATTAAAACTTTTTTCTTCTTTTTTCTCCATCCACAGATTGTGAGTCGCTGATAAGAAAAATGTTGGTTCTTGATCCGAGTCGACGTGTGACGATAGAGCAAATCAAGCGACATCGTTGGATGATGGCTGAGGTGATGGAAGTACCGTTAATTAATAATGTGATGACATCGAATGCTGCGTACGAGCCAAATGATCAAATATTAAGGATAATGCAGAATTTAGGCATTGATGCTCAACGGACGCGAGAGAGTTTAAAGGTAAGGCATTAAATATCAAATATAAAGTTGACGGAAGGTGGATTGATCAATTAAAATCCTGAGATTTAACATTTTTCAAAAATCAATTTTAAATCCTAGGATGTCCCCGATGCACAAAAATCCGAGCAATAAACCAAACCCCTCAGTCACTTTCCAATCTAAAAAAAATAAATCTGATCATGACAATCCACAATAGCTAAAAAAATGTCCTTTTAAATTCCATTTGATTAATATCCATCATAATTTCACAGTCAAATAGCTACGACCATTACCAAGCCTTCTACTTACTCCTTCTCGAGCGACTTAAGAATCGCACAATGTCTCAGGATAACAATGGAAGTAATCAAAACGGAACACCAAAGCATCCATCCCTTGACTCCCAACGACGTCGGCCAAGTTCAATAGCCGAGCAGGCAATGCGTAAGCTTGGCCTTGGAACGCACCAAAGGTAAGTCATTCACATCCTCAATCAATATTATCAGTTTTTTTGACATGTCATTTGTTTTTTGACGTAGATCCGAACCACCAATATCGCCACGTCATCAAGCCTCAATCACATCAAATAATCGTAGTTCTGAAACAATATCAAGCATAATGCAAACACCAATACCATCAATGATTTTGCGTGATACTAGCATTAGAGAGCAATCATCATCATCATCAATTAAAGATAGTCAAACATACTTTCGCGGCTCATCATACAATAATAACATAAATAATAATAATAATAATTCGGGCTATAATTCATCATCGACATATTCATCGCGAGAGCGCGATTGTAGTTCGCCATTTTTGAATAGCAGTAGTGGATCTAATAGTATGTCACCATACAATAATAATAGTAATCAATTGTCATTAGGATCGAGAGAGAACAATTCAATTATATTAAGGGATAGTGGCTCAATACATCAGCATTCACCACGTGTTGCGTCCAATCGATTCTTATCTGGTGGACTTGATGCGCAGCGTATTATTAAGCAGAGCACGGAGGATTGTCGTAGATTATTGCAGCAGGTGAGTTTTTCAATTGGATTAGGATTTTTATTTATATGGAGTGGATGTGACTGGCTATATGAATAGATTAAGTTTAATCCAAGGGTGTGTGTGTAGCTCAGACACAGACACCCTATAATCACAGTCAGTACAGTTCCAAAAACTCTAGTTGATTATCGCATGCAAAAAATACTAATCACATCTCATTAATCCTCTCTTTTTTCAAAAAATCAGGCAACAGCAGTAGTAGACACAAGTCGAACACAGCAGCAACAGCAACAACAGTCGTCAATTATGGCACCACAAGTGCAAATTCCATCAGCAATGCTCGAACAGCAGCAACCGAATTCCCTCTATCCCCAAGCGGGACACTTTTCTCATCATACATCACCACAACCGTCGCCTGGAGGTCAATTTAATCAGCCATCATCATATCATCATCATCATCATCAACAACATCGTATACTAACTTCGTCCAATAGTTTCGACTCAAAGTCCCAAATACCGAATTTCTCAGCATATCACATGTCAGCCGAGGCAGCAAAGCTGTTTGCAACACTTCAGCAGAGTCCATTGCCGTTGCCGCAAAATGATGTAATTAATTATTGTTAAGCATGAAGATTCTTTTTACCTTTACATTTTTTTAGTGCTAAAGATGATTCAATGTCAAAGCTTAAAGTTTTTATTTTTTTATTGCTTTTTTTTTGGTGAGGAAATTGGAGCAAAAGAAAAGGGAAATAGTTGCGAAGCTGTTCATGCATAGAAACAGACTCAGTTCCATGTCATGTGGGAATGAATAATTTTTCGTCCCACGGATGGGATTTTCTGTCGTTTCTGCATCGAACAACAATGTATTACTTTGGTTGATGCTGTGAGTTTATGTCAAGGATCTTTTGCTTCTTTATTTTGAAATTTTCCTTTAAGGTATGAGCTGTTTATCCTACATACACAGTAATGCAGCATAAGCTTGTAACCTTTTCATTCTTATGCTAAATGAAATTTTTGTATAAATAAAAAAAAATAATTAAGATCTGAGCGAGAGATTCGTCATTGATTTTCGGCTTGAGGGTGATTAAAGCAGAACTGCTGAGTGCATTTGCTTGTTCCAATTTCTTCTTTACATATTTTTTTTTATATTCTATAAATGAATTAATTATTCTCACACAGTGGGCAAATGACTTTTGCTGTTGGATTTTTTGTTTGAAATTAAGTTATTTGGGTCAGTTTTTGGTTGCTAAGGGTTGTAGAGGAAACTTACTTTCGAAAACCTTTACTCTGGAACCGAGTACTTCGAAATCAAATTTTTAACTTTCAAAAATCAATATTTTAACTTTCGAAAATTAAATTTTTAACTTTCGAAAATCAAAATTTTTACTTTCGAAAATCAATATTTTAACTTTCGAAAATCAAATTTTTAACTTTCGAAAATCAAAATTTTAAATTTGAAATCAAGTACTTTAGCTTTCGAAAATCAAATTTTTAACTTTCGAAAATCAAATTTTTAACTTTCGAAAATCAATATTTTAACTTTCAAAAATCAAAATTTCAACTTTCAAAAATCAAATTTTTAATTTTTGAAATCAAGTACTTTAGCTTTCGAAAATCAAATTTTTAACTTTCGGAAATCAGATTTTTAACTTTCGAAAATCAAAATTTTAAATTTGAAATCAAGTACTTTAGCTTTCGAAAATCAAATTTTCAACTTTCGAAAACCAAATTTTCAACTTTCAAAAATCAAATTTTTAATTTTTGAAATCAATTACTTTAGCTTTCGAAAATCAAATTTTTAACTTTCGAAAATCAAATTTTTAACTTTCGAAAATCAATATTTTAACTTTCGAAAATCAAATTTTTAATTTTTGAAATCAAGTACTTTAGCTTTCGAAAATCAAACTTATGATTTATTATGAAATTGAACCAATAAAGCCCAATACAGTTAAGAACATTTGCCTACCCACAATATATCCTATAAATTTTGTGTTATCACTTGAAACTATTATTCAATATTCGTTTTAAATTCACAAAGACTGATTTTACATTGCAAAAAAAACAAGAGTAGTAAAAAAGATTAAAAAGTTAAATGCACATGATGAATAAACTCAAATACTTTATATTTTATTATTACATTTAATAAAAGCTCTTAAGAAAGAGGAAAATGGATCTAACTTCTTTTTTTATTATTAATTTTTTTTGGTTGTTACTTTTTAACTTCTTTTTTTTTGTTTCTTATCTTTTTCTTCTCCTTCCTTCCTTCTTTTTTTTTCTACTTCAGTTTTTATGAGAACTTTCTCACATTTACCACAATTTATCACAAACTATTTACTTTAATATGATGTTATCTGACTCTGCTGGCTTTAAGCATAAATCTTGTGAACAAAAGCAGCATGCATATCTCAGACACACGTTGAATGAATAATTTCCTTTAAAGTTTCTTTATTCTCTGCTTTGGGAAGAGGATTGAAGAATAAGTTCTTGGTGTAAATGAAGGACATACTGCATTTGAATGGCTGATTTTTAAATGTTGCATGTCAAAAGAAGTAGAATTTGAATTTAAGGTTGTAAAATGGCACCAAAAAAACAAAATGGCGGCAAATTAAGCTTAAAACACTCAAAATGAGTAAATTACACCGGTAAAGTAGCTTAAAATGGATTTGTAAGGTACTTAATTAGGAGTGGGTCCCCATTACATCTTAGTAGCACAAACTTTAAAGTTTTTGTTATGGATTGCACCAATTGTTAAGTAGTTTTCAATTAAATGTAGTGGGAAATTTGTCAAATGCTCCCATGAATGCCAATTGCATCCAAAACAAATTTAAGAAAATGATCAGAGTCAAAATTAATTTAAAGCACGTCCTATAACGTTTTTGTGAAAAAGCTGTACTTTACACATAAGCTAGTCGTTAGAGAAAATGTTTGTTGGAAACTCCTTTCATACTTTCTTGAATATCTGCATCTCACCGTGCATTAAAATAAGGAACAAAGAGAAAAAGATTTTATAACACAATGGTGAGGTAGATAATGATGACGCGAGAGGCAGTGGTAGTTACCTGCAAACATTCCTTCTTTTATGACGTCGCAATTTTTAATTTTTCTTGTTCCTTCTTTTTCAAGAGCTCATAGTTAATGTAAGATAAGCCATAAGAAAAAATTATAATTATAAGTACGTAATTATTATTATTATTTGCTGTTATTTTTATTATAAAATGCTTGTAAGTTTCTTTGTTCTTCTATTTTATTGCATGACTGTAACTAGTTTGTTGTTTTGGAATGGAACTTTTATGTCAAGGGATGTCAACTTTGTGAGTCCGAGCGTTTGTTGATTAAGAATGTGACTTGATGATCAAATGTCCCCTCCGTCAAACAAAGGATTCTTAAGTTACCATCCCTTGACATAAAACGTTCAGAATAATGCTTTTAAAACCAGAATAAACTCATAACCAGCTTTCCTGCAAAAGCACTTCATTCAAATGCAAAACTTTTCAATAAAAACAATTTTCTTTTCCATTCTCCAAAACAGAATCCATCGTCAAATGGCCCAACACCCCCACCACCACCAACAGGAGCAGCAGTGAGGCCATCACACGATTCAACGATTCGTTTTATGCCACAAACAAATGCTAATCCGTCGCCCTCAAATGTTTATGCACAACAAATTCCATTATCAAATGACATTCAAGCACAACAATCTGTGACAGCATCATTGCAGCAGTCATCGGCGGCAACAAATCAAGCACAACGACATTCCGATCCATTGGGTGGATTAAAAAACGAGAAAATGTTGAATTTTGGTGATTTGGCAAAAACGACACCGCCATTTAAAGATTTTTTCAATAATTTACACACTTATCAGTATTTACAACAGTTGGAGCAGGCAGCAGCAGACTCAATGCAGCCACGACATACGCAAATCACACAACAATATAGCTCGAGTACGGACGAGGGTTGTGACACAGACGATCATGGAGGTAGAGTGTCTATAAATAAATAAAAAAAATTATTTCATGTCAATAAAAAGTTTATATCCATTCACGAGCAGAAATGGATGACACACCAACGCCAACGACAATCTCATCGACCATTCAACGATTGAATTCTTATGCATCATCAAGCTCATCGAGTGGTGTTGTCACAAATTTTCCATCAAAAAGCTTGAGCCAGAATCTAAGTTGTGACTCGTCGCGTAGCAATTTCTCGACTTTTGAGAGTTTGGATTTAAATTTATCAGACTGTAGTGACTTGGCAAGCAGTTTGCCATCATGCGCTGCGAGCGGTAATGCTAATGAGGGTGAAAATAAGGAGGATGGTGAGTGTCATTTTCAGTACCACTGGCATTATCCAAATATACCTCTGATTGCCGTACCTAAAATTAACCTCAAATAATCTTCTAATTTACTTGTCAATTTCAGCCACATCATATCGACCCGTAACTTCATCATCAACAATACATCACCCGTGTGTCTACGTCTCAATGTCAGGCAAAACGCCATGCTCATTTCTCCGTAATAATCCAATGGGACACTTTACACAAAAGTGTCGTGCTGTGACTCGTTCACCTGTTGATTTTCGTGAGGGACGACGCGCAAGCGATGGTTTGGTCGCACAAGGGATTTTAAGTCAAGTTGATAATCCACTTAGTTCTGTTGCATTTAATAGTCAACGATTGCATGAGGCATGCAAGGCAAAGGGTGTCTTAGAATTGCACTTGTTGCAACAAGAGGCAGCACAATTATCCTCACAATATCAATCGAGTGTACCGCCAGATGAGATGAATGTACGACAAATGCAACATAGTCAATTTCATATAACGCCAATTAAGACAGCTGGAGATCTAAGTACAACAACGATTGCATTACTCAGCGGTGGTGGAAACAACTATAAAAATGGCGGACAAGACTGTAGTTATTTTAATAAGACCGTCAGTGGAATCACATCTGACATTAATACATATGTTGGAATGATGAAGAATGACTTGGCAAAGCATGATAATGGTGATTTAAGTGGCATTAAGCATATGACGATGAAGGGAGATTCCCAGCAGGCAACATCATTACAGAAGCCTCCATTACAGCAACAACTCATGCAACATCGATTGCTACAGCAGAAACGTCAAACGTTATTACAGAAACAAGGCGCTATGGAGACGGGATTGATTAGTTTGAGTCGACGACAAATGTTACGACAACAAAGCTATAAAATTGCACAGACACAACAAATCTTACCACCACTGCCATTTCCACTAAGCGAAAGTGAATCAGAAGATTTGCTGGCATTTCAGCAAATTGTTGAGAATCCATCAACATCATCGCCATCATCATCCCTTATGAATTCACCGAAATTACTTAAAACAACACATTTGTATAGTAATAATGGTAATGGAAGTAGCAATCAGCCATCATCATTATCGCCATCACTCTCACCGCAGCCTAATCAATCGAGCGATTCGACTGGAATATGGAATAATTTATCAAATAATTTACAGAGCTCATGTCAAATTAGCGAAGCTTCTACTGCCAACACACTCGATTTATATCATCAGCCACTTTATCATCAGGTATTTTATTATCGATAGATGCTGTACTGACGTCTGGTTGTTGCTTTTTATTTTGATGTATTAATGATTATGCTTAATTAAAGGATTTAAGTTATGATTTGATCTTTAATTGTTGTTTGTTCCTATTATTTTGCAGTTGGATATGGTTTGTTTTTGAATTTCGAGGTTTCTTTCGATCGTAGATTTGGGTTTGAATGGTCAACATGAGGGAAAACCATGTAAATTGATAGAAACATGGTTGACAAGTCCAAGTTTCCAAAAAAAAATTGACTTAGTTTCAACCCCCTTTTGTACAAAAATCACTCTGATGCACAGAGAAATGGAACCTTGAATACCACAAAAATTGATTTTTGTGAAAATAGCTTGATGTCGTTTTAATTTTTGTGTAGCTTTTCTTGATATTTTTTTGCTATCAAACATATTTTAGCCATGTCTATAAATTTGATAAAAATGACAAATGCTCAATTTTCTTTTCCACTTTGCTTCTATTTTTTTCTCCATTTTGCTATATCTATCATCTCTCATCTGTCCAAACCGATTTCAAAAAAACATCATCATCATCACCATCCCACATGGCTTGTTGCGGACTTGATTTGCTATCAAAAAAAAATTTGCAGAATACTTCATCATTATTTCCTAATTGGAATTCACCGCAAACACATTCGATCTCACCACCGCCAATATTGGAAGAGCAAATGGAGTCAATTTAAAGAAGAATTACATGAATTATGGTAGATAATTGAATAAATTATGGATATAAAAAAACATTTATTGATAAAAATCATGTCGAATTTCTTTCTTTTGTCATTTTTCCTCTAACCCAACATACATTATGCATAAATTAGTTATGAAAATTATTGCATTTAAAAGATTATGGAGCTATGGTTGGATGGTACAGAACTCTTTGGAATATAAGAAGCTTGTTTTGGTAATTCAAGTATTGACAAAGGAAGTTATGAATGATTGAAGCTAGTTATTTGGTGCAGATTCCTTAAAGATACTCTATGATGTATGAAATAGGATCAGAGCTCGGAGTCGACTTCATCTAGTCTGAAGATAAGCTCTGTTTTGAGTAAACCTAGTAACTGGTCAGTATATCGCTTAGTAAAGAGTTTTAGGCACCAATAGTCAAATTGTATAGTTGTGTGTCAATATAAAATTTGTACGGGGACTTGCTCCCTAGCTGCCCAGATTAAACTCCCAAAACTCAACGATTCCAAAGAATCTAATGCCATCCATCCATAAGATCCACCAAAAATACATACATATGGCCCAAAAAATTACATAGCTTTGCATATGTGAGCTATTAAATATTATTATAAATATATTTATACATAAACAATTAATTAATCACGATGCTAGTCAAAAAATATACATAAAAATATCTTCAGTGCTTATGCACGGAAGTTAATTATTAAAATTTAAAGAAAATATTGTCCAAAAAAAATATGAATATGAAGAGAATTTTTACACATACACATTAGCAAGACTGTTTTGTCAATTTCTTTCGAATCATTCATGAAGTAAAAAGTAAATAACTTTAGTTGTTTAATAAAGAAAATGATGAAGATAAATAAAAAAATTACTGTGCATTTCATTTTTTAACCATAATCTTATCTTAATTAAATTAAATGTGTTAGATAAATGTGATGAAAATTAATTGCATTAAATGAAGAAGAAAAAATAATTGCAATTTTTTCTGTTTGAATTTCGGTGGAATTAAAGTGAAGCAACATTTTAAGTGGGAGCAGCTTGATGATAAGAAAATAATGGCAAATCATTGAGGATTTTAAAAAAAAGCTTTTGTTAATGTCAATGGCCTAGTTATCTGTGCCAGTCAGAGTTGCGAAACAGGCACCTGTGACAGGTGAGAACCCTACAATTCCTTGATAATTTATAAGGTTTTTCTAACAAAACCATACAGATTATCAAGGAATTGAACGGTTCTCACCTGCCACAGGTGGCCTGTTTCGCAATTCTGGTGCCAGTTTTGAAGACAATGCCTTATGACTAGGCACAAATCATCTAAATTGCAAACATTCTATTAGAAAAACAAGTGTTGTTCTTAAAATACTTAAAGGTTGTTTCTCAATTTCGAATTGCTCATGTTTACTTCCTATTTAGTCAATTAGATCAATCTTAGATCAAAATAATCAGCAAATTAAATTCAATAGATTTTATGAAGCAAAAAATGTAAACAAAAAAGGGCGAATAAATTTTAAATCTCAAAAATCCGTCATTTCAAATATTTTTCAAAAAAAAATTAACAAATGAAGCTAGGGGGTCGTTCACTTATGACGTCCATCAAAAAACTGATTTTTTTGACCCCCCTCCCCCCTCTGTCACAAAAATTCTATAGAAAAAAATTTCCATTGTTTGAACTGTCACAAAACCCTAGACCCCCCCCCCCCTTTCCTTAATGTCGGACGTCATAAGAGAACGGCCCCTAGTTCAAAACTTTGATACATTTTAAATTTTCATAAAAAGTCCATTCAACCTCAATTCCGATTTTTTACAACACTAATCGTTGATTTAACAGCTGGCGTTCTAATTGCTTGATAACATTCTACATAATTGTTATTGACGGTCAGTATTATTATGAGGCAATTATATAGCCAAATGAACCCTGTAATTACAACACAATAAAAGCTTTTACAATCATCTCTAAGCTGAATTCAATCACGTAACCAGTCTGCCCACTAAATATGCTCCAATCTAATTCCTTACCCGAATTTTTTATTTAAATTGAAACTTTTTTGAAGGTTTCAACCCAAAAAAAATGCGTAATCAGAATAAATTGCATTAAATCATTGATGAAAATGATAAAGTAAAATTAATTAACTTTACAATCACATACACAGGAACAGAACAATAAGTAGTGGATAATACTTTTTTTTATCTCTTAAATGGAACAAACAAATTAGCGAATGAATTTTGATAAGAAAACTAATTAAATTAAATTAAATTAAAGATTTCGAAATGAATCATAAAGAATTGGAACAAAGAAAAAAAAATTTGTTGGAAAAACAATTTTAAGTGGAAGAATTTTTGCTGGTGGAATTTTTTGATGAAAACAAAGTTTTTTGTGGAATTTATAGGCAATCAGGAATTCTTGAAAATTTCTAAAAATATTCTTGTTTTGAGTTTGCTCTAAATTGAAATTTAATGATATATTCAGCCTTTTTGAATAAAATAGAGCACCTTTTTGTCAATTTCATGTTAACGGCTGTTTAATAATCAAAGTTGTTCAAACAATATGTATGAATAAATGTAAACAAAATATTTCAGTTTAAAATTATTCATTTAAAACCGTAAATCAACAAATTTCATTGTTATTAAAGTTATCTTGCCATGTTTTTCTATCAGTTTAATCAAGTTTTGCATCACTTTTATGATTATTCATCTTTGAAAATGAAAAACAAAACTTCAAGTGAGAAATTCAAAAGAGGCGGGAAAAATTCTTCTAAATTCAAACTTCCCCTAACGGTTTTAATTTATAAACAGCTTTGACCCAGAATCTCATCTAATCTTTATTTAAATTCGTCATGACATTTCAAGAATTTGTCTTCAAGAGCTTCCACCAACAAATCCATTAAACAGGTATAAGAGAAATTATCGAGAAATGAATGTCTGTAATATTAATCATAAAGAATTAAATTAAATGTCCTAAAGAAAAAATTTTCTGTTCGCTTTGTAGGATATTTTTCAATTATTTTGAAATCCTAGAAAGGAAACGAATGAAAGAAGCTCAAAAGTCTTTTGAGATGGAAAAAGATTATTAAAAAGTAATATTAAGTCTCATCTCTTGTGAGGAGATAAAAATGGATCTTGGATTATTTTGAATAATATGTAAACAGCATGTGAACTGCTGGAATGTCTCTATTAGAGACATTCTTATCCATATTTATTTCTATTCATTCAAATCGTTTGCTAAGTTCTTAGTAACTTTGAATATTCTCCTTCGAATGGTTCGATCTTTAGAACCTAATTTAAAAACTCCGTCCGAATCTTTCATTTTTAATTCATTTTCAAATGGGTTTCTTGGTTTTTACTCAGACAACTGATTACCAGATACTGCTGTATTCTTTTTTAAAATCTATTTCCATCGAAAAAACAAAGCTTTCTTTTATATCATCAGCAAAACAATTCTGAATAGATGAACATATTACTTGGTGACCTGATTTACTGTATAGAATTCAATTTTAATTTCAAGCAGATCTTCAGTCACCAAAGAATTGTTTCATCCATTCATAAAGAACTTAAAAAATTGAAATGAATCTTCAAATGATTAAGAAAATGTGAATTAAAAATTCAAATCTGCCATTTTTAAGAAATAATCAAATTTTTATATCAAAGAAAAACGTAAATGAATTAATTAATCTTACAAGAAGAAAAATATTTATAATGAAAACAAAGTATTATAATTATTGATGATAAATTGAATTAACCGTAGAGCAAATCAAGAAAAAGGAAATATTCGAGAGCAAGAAACTGTTCATCGCTTAATATTCTCAAAAATCACACACAAAACAAACTTACTAGCTATTATAAAATTGTGAATGGGTTGTTTTTGGAGGTTGTTGTGGTTAGGTTTTGGATGGTAATGAATTTTGAGAACTTCAATGATCTGAGTATAAAGAACAACTCAGAATTATGTTATCTTTAAGTCCTAAACATTGAAAAAGGCAAATTTAAAATTAATTTAATTGAACTTACTAAAGTTTCGCTTTGGGTTCAGTTTTTTGCCTTTTTTGGAGATTTAATAAGAAGTAGCTTTAGATCATTCAAAGGCTGGTTTCTTCGGCTATTTAAGAGAGCCTATGAGCTATTAAAGAACTTTATGCTTAGAATCTCCAAATGATGGCTTTAAGTTTGAAACTTATCAACAATAATACAAATCAACTAATCTTATGAAAAATCCAGACACAAAAACTATTTCTTAACATTAACTTCAACAAGAGGATCCAATTCTGGTGCAACCAAACCACAACAATCACCAAAACCCTATTTATCCCCTCTTCAATCGTCTTACTTACTTAAACATCATAAATTAATTTCAATTCGATACTTACTCATATTAAACATATTGAAAACAAAGGCTTAAAAAAATCTATTAGTGAAAAATTGTTTAATACACTTTGGATGAGTTGCTGTCTTTGACTGTCGATATTCATGATCTAGGCAGTAACTCTACAATACAAAAATTATATTCAACTATCGAATAATCTCTCATAGTATGAAATTTGAATAGCTAAAACAAACATAGGTCAAGAAATAATCCGCAAAATTTAATTATTTTGGAGAAAAAAAAAATGATAATCGTATAAATTAGGTGAAATTATTTATCAAAATAAAATGAGGAAAGAAAAGTTGGATAAACTTTTAATTAGATAAAAAAAAAAGAAATTTCCGATCCAGTTACAAACATGATGCAATTATCACAGATTACGTTAATTGAGTAGAAAAGTTGTGGAATGTAAAGATATTATGTGAAAGGTGAGAGTATTATCAGCTTGATTAATAAGAAAATGAGCAGTTTTATTTGCTGTGCTTAATGATTTGACTTCAGTAAATAATTCTTGTGATTTAGAATCTCAAAATTAAAATATTCACAAATATTGAAAATTTTTTGTGAATATGAAAATCTTATTTTTGAATTAATTTGAATCAATTTGAATGTTTTGGATCTAAGATTGAGGTTTTAAAGGTTTAAAATCTTCTTCACATTGCAAAAACTTTAGTAAACAAGTTTAAAATATCAAAAATTCTTGAAATTTGCGCTCAACTTTCGATTAATCAAATTCAAATTTCAAAGATTCGTAAAAACCTTATTATAGGATTTAAGTAAAATCAAAAACCTTGTTAGCAAATCTATAACTGTTTTTCAAATCTTTAACTGTTTTTCAATTAATTATAGATTCAAACAATTTGAAAAGCCCCAAAATTCGCCTTAAAAAAATGAAAAATTTAATTCAAATTCAATCGAATTCCAAACAATAAATTATAATCTCAAAAAAAACAATTTAAATTCAACTCATCAGCACATAAACTCAATTTATAATAGCCAACGTGTTAATAGCTGAATAAAACTCTTATCTCTCACTGAATATCATAACCCAATTATTTCTATTCCATTAATTAAAAGTAAATTGATTAATTGATTCCATTTTAATTTATGAATTATTTTCTACTATTCATTCGTTTATTATGGAAATAATTGAAAAGAGTTCACATAAAAAAAGACTTTTTCCTTCACTCGACTATAATCATTTTAAGCTAAAGCGCATTTTTGAACTGCAACGAAGTAAAATCGCACATTTGAAAAAAAAAATATTTGAGGCAAAAATAACCGAGCAGTGCAAAAATGCAGAAACATAGCAAATTGAAGCACATTGAGTGTCTCTTCACTTTTATAGTGCTCGGTAAGAACATACAAAATAGAAAAAAAAAAAAAATCAATAATATAGCGGAAACGAACTTAAATATTATAATTTTATGGACAAAAAATATTTCAAATTTACAAGCCTACAGAGGCTTGAGGTTAAAAAATATTATTAATTAATATAAGTAAGAAAAATGTATGAATGAAAAATTAATCAGAAAGCAATAAAGATGAAAAAGATGATGAAAAAGAAATTTTTCTGTTTTTTTAATATTTTTTCTTAAAAGCAGTTTTGTTCTAGATTGATGATTAAGCCATGCAAATAGGAGCATAGAGAAGATTAGGTTAAGAGACCTACTTCAATCTCTCATCTCAATCTAAAATCAGCTACAAATTCCTCTATGTAGACACAATCTTAATAAGCATATAAGACTCAATATCGAATGATGTGAAAGCGAAATGACTCAATGCACAAATTGTTAAGTTTTAAAATGGTTTGATTTGAAATTTTGTAAACAAACACGTGCAACCTGTCAAAATATCAGCCACTGTAATTTCAAATTTTAAAAAACAATTAAAATTTGAATTTTGAAATTCCTTTAAATTGAAAAATCTCTCAATTCATAAAAAGTATAAGCTTGACTGAAAAATAACTATCAAAACTCAAATGTAACCATCAACAGATGCGTCCAAATTTCTCAATCAAACAAAATTCAAATCTAACTTTCAGCAGCAATAAGCAGCATGGCTCTCATGCTGTTCCATATCCCAGTTCATCGTGAACTTAACAAATAAAATTTTAAAGATTGAAAAGAGCGGCAGGAATGATCTTGAAATGAAACAAGTAGAGATAAATAGCAAGTATTAGTAGACGACGACAAAAAATTCATGACAGACAGACAAGAGCGATGTAACCTCATTTCAAAATCATTCCAAGTTAATAAAGGAACAGTTTGGAAAATGAATTGAAAGTAGTGTTAATCAAAAAAAATTCTCAAAAGAAACTTTTTTGCTTAATTTAATGTGATTGTTTTGTATAATTTTAAAAAGAACTTAAGTGCATATGCTGTAAAGTATCAACAATATCATTCAGATGATGAACATCTCATAAAAATAGTCGAAAATTTTTTCAAATTCCAAAAAAGATAAGACGTGAGCAAAATTGAGTTGAAACTAAGGTGATAAAAAAATTTCATCGTCATAAATCAAATGAAAGTGAGTAAATTTCAGGATTTTGACGATGTGGGAATTTAGATCTATCAAAAATCTACCAAATCCGTTAATCAAACTCCATCAATCTTTTGAAATTGCTGGAAAAATCTTCATTTTTTGAAATTATGACGTAAAAAAATTTCAAACATGAATTTTTTCCCCTTTTTCAATTTCATTCCTCTTCGTGTGGATGGTAAATGAGAAGAAGAAAAAGAAGAATAGCAAAAAAAAAATTGTGTGTGAGAGAAGAAAAAAAAAGTTTCACAAAAAAAAGAATTGCATCTGAGTTCTGCACTTGCAGCCACGAAACACGAGACAATTATCGACTGAAAATTAAAGCAGAATCTTCTCATTTTCTGGATGTTTTAAAGCCATGAACATTCCATGATTTGATCACCGTTTAGTTTATTGCAATTATAAACTTTTTTTCAAGTTTAAATGCACTAATGAAAGAGAAGTTAGTATTGATGTGGAAGTGAGGATTGAGTGATTTGTCGCGCATTCGTTAATTGGCTAGTTTCTGTAGCGATAGTTGAATTAATTGTTAGTTCCTGGACATTTCTTAAGAATTTTACATGTTAGGTTCCATATTTGATACTATAAGATCCTGACTGGCTTCTAAGGGTTCAGAACCGCTTTTAAAAAATGTAGAATTCATTCATAAATTGTAAGCTGATTTTACAACGAAACCCTTATCACCCTAGAGAGTTTGACTAGTGTCGTCTAAAAATATGGCCTTCTGGGTCCATTTCAGACATCTTTCTATCTTTAATCAAGCTACAACCACTGCCATACAGCTTAATCCTGCTGACATTTCAAAAAACAATCACAATTATCAATTGAACTTTAATCATAAAAGTAAAAGTAACTCATTGAGCACATGCTGATCAGCTGACTCCACAGAGACATGCTGACAAAAAGCAAACAACGGCGCCATCCACTCGAAAACAAAATCTATTAAAAAATGAGAGATCAGCTGAAAGAGAGGAAAAAAAAATAATTTTTAAGGTCATACATTCATACTTTTTTTAACATTATCGCCCCGTATAGAGAGACAAGTCTACCGTACGTGCGAAAACACAAAGACTACTCAAACACATGAAAAAAGAAATAAAATGATGTAGATTGATGTTGCACTTTTTACCTTGACAATGTTCTTTTTATTGTGCATTTTGATAGACCTACACAAAAAAATATTCTTAGATAAAGCTTGGAATTTCTACATTTTTCACGTATCCTTCAACCTTGCTTCATTTTCTTTTTAGTTCCATCAACAAGATATCACACAACAAATTGACCTCAAATGGAGAAAAGAGATTAATTAGTCAACAGCAAATTATTGAACTCAATCTTTTTTTTCTACTTAACTTATATACATAGACACACAAACATACACGTAAATAATAGCTCTATCATCACTTGTCACCAATCAGAAAAGGTGTTATCAACATCATCTTCAAGGAGGTACAATATTATATCAGAAAACAACAAAAATAATTGAGAAGAACTACAACAACAATTGACGATGCAAGTTGATAAAAATTTGAGCTTCGATCAATTTTCACATGACTTGACGTTGGCCTTACTGGAAGAGGAGACATTAAGAGGTGGTAACACTGGAAGTCGATGGGGTTTGAGGAGACGAACGAGATCGACGGGAAATTTACGTAAATATCAACAGACATTTTTATCTTTTTTTTGTGCATTCGCGATGTTCTTTTTTATCGCTTATCGGAAATTTGAAAGCTAACTGGGGTGTATGAAGGAATTTTTCAGGAGGTTATATTCATTTTCTAAAAGATCGAACTAGGATCGATGCGAGAGAACCAAGCTTGACTTGATCATTAGTGGCTGTATTAAACTCGATCTGAGAGAATTAAACAAGGCTCATCCTGAGAAGATTGAACTTAGCTCGACCCTAGTAAATCGAACTTAGCTCGACCATAGTGGATCGAACTTAGCTTGACCCTAGAAGATCGAACTTAGCCTGACCCTAGAAGATCGAACTTAGCTCGGCCTTAGAAGATCTAACTTAGCTCGACCCTAGAAGATCGAACTAAGCTCGACTCTAGTGGATCGAACTTAGCTCGACCCTAGTGGATCGAACTTAGTTCGATCATAGAAGATCGAACTTAGCTCAACCTGACAAGATCGAACTTAGCTCGACCCTAGAAGATTGAACTTAGCTCGACCCTAGTGGATCGAACTTAGCCTGACCCTAGAAGATCGAACTTAGCTCGACCCTAGTGGATCGAACTTAGCTCGACTCTAGTGGATCGAACTTAGCTCAACCTGAGAAGATCGAACTTAGCTCGACCCTAGAAGATCGAACTTAGCCTGACCCTAGAAGATCGAACTTAGCTCGGCCTTAGAAGATCTAACTTAGCTCGACCCTAGAAATCGAACTTAGCTCGACCATAGTGGATCGAACTTAGCTTGACCCTAGAAGATCGAACTTAGCCTGACCCTAGAAGATCGAACTTAGCTCGGCCTTAGAAGATCTAACTTAGCTCGACCCTAGAAATCGAACTTAGCTCGACCCTAGTGGATCAAACTTAGCTCGCCTTTAGAAAATCGAACTAAGCTCGACCCTAGAATATCGAACTAAGCTCAATTTGATAATTTAGATAAAAATTCACATTTTAAGGACAAATTAATTATTTTAAAACAAAACGAATAACTACCCAATTCATTTTTAGCATGTCCACCACAACCAACAGAAGACAGCAGTTCAAGCAGTCCAACAGATCCACCAACAAATAATGACAATAACAACAACGATAATTTTACACAAGGTGCTGGTGCAAACAATTCCATATTGAGTGACTCCGATGATCGTCACTCATTTGCCTTAGCCTTTAAATTGCGTCAGACACCGATGAGTGGAAATTTCGAATCGGACTCGTTAAATGAGAATTTCAGTCCATCACGTCCGAACATCAGAAGAAAAAGGAAATTTAAAAGAATGGCAGTTGAATATGAAACTACACCGTCAACTCCACACACAACCGTACATCCAATATTCCCAATTAGTGGAACTGTCACAAAAAAGCGCGTCCTTAAACACAATCAGGAGAATTTTCGGTCAAATTTATTTTTTGGAAAGCGAAAACGTCCACATCGCGATAGATATGAATATTACGAGTCACATAAACATTCGAGTAGTGTGCCAAGACAACGGGGCTATTTATCACAAAAGGATGGATTGTCATATCTAGAGTACAAAAGTCGTAATCGAGCATCATCAATGTCAACAGCAAAGAGCCATGGACAGGCGATGGAAAAGATTTTGCCATTGAACAAAAGTATCGTATCGAAGATTGAGAAAATCTCACAAGACTCACGAAGTAAAATGAACTTTAATTTCACATCAATGCCAGTTGGATCAAGTACTGATCAAATCGATAGCTCTGCTCCAGTTGTGCATTTCCACTCAACATATGGCGGTGACTTACGATCTGAGGTGGTTAGAAATCCAGTCGAATCGACAGCGATTAGTAGTGATATGGAAATAAGCACAAATGCTACAGACGATATAAAGATAAGTCTACAGAAGATGACACAAAAGTCGGGAAGTTTTGAATCAGCCTTGCCTACAAATAATGCAATAAATACTGCAACAACAACGTCAACATCATCGACATCATCGGCTGTACATTTAAACAATTGTGTAAATAAAATTGAAACGTATAAGAAAAAGGTGAAGCCTAGCGCTTCGTCATATGGTTACCATGCTAATACACCAATTAACAATGCTGCCTCACATCATCACCATCATCATAATCATCATTCATCTCATCATCACCATAAGCATAAACAGAGTCGACGAAAAATGCAATTACAATTTGATGATCAAACAGATTTTATGGACTGTGGTAATTTCAACGACTTTCTTAGTTCCAGTTCGCTGAGTAGTAGTGATAGTGAGGCTGAGGAGACAAACGAAAGCGATCATGAAGGTGATGATGAGCTGACAGATTGGCCGGGACATGAAGCGATGATCAACTTTGCATCTAAAAATGAATTTAAACGTGCCAATAAGAAGGCAACGGCAACAGGAGTGGTGAGTGTTGGCAACAAATTATCACAAATTAAGCAACATGATGAAAATTTTATACAGGATGATGACACGCTGATGTCGGCTGATGAAGCTCAGGATCCAACGACGTCAGAAGAGTCACCAATTTTTCCACTTGGTGGTCCACAGACACCACAAGCTCCACATACATTAGAAGATTATCACAGGAAATATGGAATGCCTTCAAATCGTATTCAAGCATCACATCCAATTAATATAATTGGGGCTCTAGACAGTAACATGATGCAAGGTAGTAGCAGCACGAGTGGTGTTGTTGCTGATTGTGGCTATGGCAGTAGCTTTGCTGCATCATCATATAATTATAAGCAACCGATTGAAAGTGAAATGTCGGGTAAGAAATTATGTCACCTATCTAGATTCTGTTGAGGTAACTTACCCAGAAATTTTCATAGAACGGAGCTTGCTCGGTTCTGAAGAACAAAATTGAATTTATGATTTCTGAAATCTAGAACATTTTTAGTTATTCTTTTGAACCTATAATTTCTTACCTTGAATTACTCTTTCTCCTGTTACTTTTGTTTTATTAATTTTTGCGGGTTATTCACTTTTGACGTCTAAATTATTGATGGGGGTTAAGTTGTGTAAGTCATGTATAAATCAGGTGCGTACACAACAAAGGGATTTAGGAGAACGGTCTTCATCACAATACGGCGATAAAAGACTGCATAAGAAGTTTTAATCTGGAATGTAACTCGGAGTTCATAGAAGTTAATTTTCAAGGTCAATTTGTTAAAATTTGACCCAGTTTGGGTATTAATCACTTTCATGTGGCTCGTCAGGGTTTAAATAACGACAAAATAAATACAAACAAGGGTCCAGTTTGTTCCTGAGACATAGAATTGTAAGAAGGGTATCCTTTTTCATCTATTTCCCTGTCTATGACTTTCTAGAGTTATACACAAGTTCAAAGTTTCATATTCCCCTTTAAAATGATATCTAAGGCAGTAAGGAAGCTTAGAAAGAGTTAAAAAACAAGACGTCATTAGTGAACGGCCCCAAAATATCCAACAACTAAGCTTAATTGCCAATTACGACTTCCAGGTGAGACATCAAATCATTTTCTATCATCACCAAATACATTCTGTGAAGTGAGAGAAATTAGAGCCGGATGTCGTCGAGTTCGAGACGAGCGACCCGGTTTTTCCATAATTACAAGCTTTAATGAGGATCTTCTTAAGTGAGCAATGAGCAAATTTAAAACATTTGATTCCATTTTTGTAGCCCTGTTATTATCTGTAGATTTTTACAAGACGATCAGCAACGACAACTGAAAATTTTTGATATTCAAGAGTATGATAAAATATTGGAACTGGCAAAATTATACTCGCTAAATATAGCAAGAGAAAATGGGTGTATATTATTAACTAAGACAAGGTGAGGACATTGTGCATGACTTTCAAATTGACTTTACAATCTATGTCTACTTCTCATTGCAGCAACACTATGCAAGCAGTGAAAGTTTCGAAGGAACACAATAAATATTTCTTCAGTGATTATAAAAGGCGATGTGTTGGAGGTGATACAGAGTAAACCATACCTTAATATCTAGTTATGCTGATGAAAACTTAGATTTTTCAAAAATAAAAGTTAAAAACGTATCACGATAAAATAAAATCAGCAACAGAAAAAAAAGTCTATTTGGTTCTCTGTGGATATGAAGGAAGTGTGTGCAGGTTAGGGTCTCAACGAGTCTTGAGGGAACTTTGGGCAGATCAGAAGTCAACTCAGTCCGACTTGAAATGCTGAGATCAAAATATTCTCATTGGCGATTTATTGATATGCTAGCAGCTACAAAGCTTATAGGGCAATTAAGCAATGATGTCATCATTGCCATAATTCAAAGTTTTGACACTAGGATGCAATATGCTGACTGTTTGATGACTAAAGATGACTTTACGTACGTTTTTGAACGTAAAGATGACTTTATGGCGCTAAACAGGCAAATTTTTGGGATATTCATGCAAACAAGCTTAATGTCTGTCAAGTATACATAGACTCAACTCCAAAGTATCCCAAGAATTAAATTGAGCTCAGTAACAATAAGATCAAATATTTTCCAAAATCCAAATAGCAACAAACATCTAAAATGACACCCAACTCATCACAACCACAGAGAATCCCGAATCATTTTTGATAAAACCATCAAAATGCTTTCAAGCCTTTCATTTTAAAGTGCAAAAAAGAGAAAATGTTAAAAACTTAAGATGAATCAATTCATATTTCCTTTAATTCCCATGCTAAAACCATTAAAGATTTTAAAACGAACGTCTAATAGGTTTTAAAATGTTTACTGTAAATTATTATATTCGCTATTTTTGTTCCCACAAACTGCATCAAATTTTTGAATGTCGCTAAAAAATTGAATTTTGGAAGTTTTTTGAAATTAAAATTTGTTTTGGAATTGTTTGGTCAAAAATTCGTTAAGGGCTATTAATTTTTATAAATTATGGATTGAAGTCAACTTGAACAAGTGAGGTTTGATTTTAAGGTTCAGACATTCTCAAAAATAATACAATTCTCAGATAGGTGTCTAAATCCTGCTTGATTGAATATGATTTTCAAGACAATATCGAGCTCTAGATCAAAATTAAAAGACTGGATTAGTATTGAATTTAAATTTTTCTTGTATTTTTAAAAACCTTTAGGCTCAAGAAACTTTGTCAATTTAAATTTTACAAAAATCAAAATTTTAAAAAATCTCATTTTCCAAAGCTTTAAATGACGAAATTCATCAAAACTTACTGGGGGTCGTTAACTTATGACGTCCGAAATTATCGATCATTCTTCAAAAAAGAACAATGGATTTCAGGAATTTCTATTGTTTTTTTTGGTAACACCCCCCCCCCCCCCCCCCCCTTGAAGTCATAAGTGAACGGTCCTCTAGATAAATATGGCTTTTATCACTCAAATCAAAACCTTAAGTCAAAATTAATGTCAAATTAATGTCCTTAAGTCAATTCCAATTTCATTAAATATTTCTTAAATTTGGTGCAAGTTATTACTCATCCATTTGCTTTTTTTCTTCATTCAACTTTTCCTATCATCATCCTTATCATCGTAATAAAATATGTAAATTACTACAGTTAAAAAAAAGCGAAGATTGTTAAATGAAAATAAGTTTTTAGGTTATTTCCAATATGTCTGTAAATGTTTATATAGGTTAATATCGATTTGACAATTTCTAGCTTTGTTTTGAAACAATTAAAGATAGTTTGAGGAACAAACCTTGTTAAGAATGTTTTTTGACTACTTTTGCATCTGTTCTAGGATCAAATATACTCATTTTAGCTTAAATCTAACCTAAAATCAATCAAAATTCAACAAATATAAACATTTCCAGGCATATTATTCAATAAAGCAAACTCATGTTATGTATTCTGTAATTGTAAAAGTTAAATCAAATCATTTAAAATAGTCAATCAACAAATTTTTTGTGCAGTTATTATTTTTTTCCAAGCAAGAAAATATTTTTAATTTCTTGCATTAAAAAACCGAGAATAAGCAAGAATTCTTGCATTATTAATTATTAAATTAGTTATTATTATGCATATATTTATGTATAAGGGAGCTTAAAAACACTTTGTTGTCAATAAACATTTAAAAAAAAATGGATGAAAAAAAAGAAGAAAAATTAAAAACAAAAAAGTTAAATGAATGAAAGAAGGAAAAACTGAATGAAAATATTGTAAATAAAGAGAAAATTGCGCTTATTATATAAAAAAAATAATTTTTCTTGTTTTACTTCAACCAGTGATGTTTACCTTGTTTGTGGTTAGCGCCATGCGACAAATACAGCAGTAACTTTTGTAAAACCGCTCAATTCATTGTCGACGAACAGCTGTGAAAACCACAAAATGTGACTTGCATTTAAACTTCCGTTGGAGTAATAATAATATGAAGACCGCAAGTATGATGACAATAATGACCTATTAATTATAAATCAACAAACAAAACAAGGACTAATCATATTGTCAACTCTAGTGTGCCGTTAAAAAAACTTCGAATAATCCCATGAACCGTATGCTGCGTGCGGTTTTGGTTATTGCTCACCATAAGGTTGACCACCACTGGTCAAAATAACAATAGATGTTGAATTTTCTTAAGTTCAAAACTTTAAAGACTTTAATTTTTAAAAAGAAATCATGAAAAATTTCTTAAAACTAGGAAAAAAAAAGTCAAACAAATCATTGACTTTGAACCTTGAAGCATCCAACAGTCTTAAATGATTTATCATCATGTAGTGCCAAAGGGGCCGTTCACTTATTACGTTACGCAAAAAAACGACTTTTTTTCACCCGCCCTCCCCTTTGTTACAATATGTTACAACTCACAACCCCCCCCCCCCCCCCCCCCTGAACGTTCATAATTTATTTTATTTTGATAAAAAAGGTGAAAAATTTTAAAAAATGTTTTTGGTGTGAATTTGTAAACAAATTTTTTTCGTGAACTTTTTTTTTGAAAGACAGACTACAGTTAGAACCAGAGATCGAAGCCGATTTTTTCGGCTTAACTCAATTTTTGATTTTTTTGATAGAAAAAAGCCATTTGACACCCATTTCAAGTATTTAAATTGAACTTTACATGCTTTACTATGATTCTGTGTAATATTTTGTCAGCATGTAGCTATAGTGAGCTCAGAATTTCAATTTAGCCGTTTTAAAGCCGATCGGCTTAAATTTCGGCTTAACATTCTTTAACTTGAAATTCTGAGCTTCCTATAGCTACATGCTGACAAAATATTACACAGAATCATAGTAAAGCATGTAAAGTTCAATTTAAATACTTGAAATGGGTGTCAAATGGCTTTTTTCTATCAAAAAAATCAAAAATTGAGTTAAGCCGAAAAAATCGGCTTCGATCTCTGGTTAGAACGTTACATATTTCTTGACACCCCCCCCCCCCCTTTATGTTACATTTTGTTACAATTTTTCAACCCCCCCTAAAATGCGAACGTAATAAGTGAACGGCCCCAAAGCAGTCCGATGACATTTGCCATAGACTCGAAATCTTTTTAACAAAAAAAAAATCCAAGCGACTTTCATACAAAACAATTTAACATACCACCCACGATTTATTTTGTCCACAATTCACTCCAAACACACACAAAAAAAAAGAAAGCATTAAAAGCTTAAATCCGAAGAAAAATCTTGATAAGAAAAGTGAAACACATTCAATTATATCGTGTTGTTTATTTGTCTCTCTCTCTGTTTTTTTTTATTGTTTTTTTTTATCTTTGCAACCTTATTGTCTACTTTCTTATACTTATAAGAAATATTATTTGGCATTACACAATCTTAAATTTCGATAGTGATAAGATTTTTTTTCATACAAAACAATTTATGAATAACAATGGGGAAAAGTTTCTTATAAAAACATGAAATTAATCTAGTTGGGAACTTCATTGATTGTCTTCTTTCCTTGCAAGTTTTTAAGATTTATTAAAAATTGGAATTTTATTTTTCAACAAAACAATAAGCTTAGTTTCTTGCAATGATAATATCAAAGTAAATGGCACAAGCTTGTAAATTTAGATAGAGAATGTTTGATATGAGAATATTGCTTGATAGAATGAGTATGAAGAGACAATGTTTGGCATGAATTCCTTAAAATAGTTGAAAGCAAAGCAAGGACTTATAAAATATCTATCGGAATCATCGCGGATTCACCTTTGAATAACGTAAACCACTACAACTATGACAATTGTGGTTGTATTATAATTAGGGATAAGATCATAGAGTAACCCTGAATAGCACAAGATGGATAAACAAATAGAAATCTGGCACAAAGCTGGTGTGATTCGAGCACCATGCCAAAGTTATGCCAGCTTAGGGCCGGATTTCTATTTGATTAAACGACTTGTGGTTTTCGGGAACATAGCAAGGATGTGTGACTTTGACCCTAATATCGCCTCTGTTGTCAAAAATCATTGATACGTCACTTGAATAATGGTATAGAAACTAAGCTAATAATGGATGCTTTTGACATAGATGTAGCCAAAGAAGTCACTGGATCACCTCACGCAATTTTTAGGTTCTATCACTCAGTTTTTGGGACTGCATGGGATTTTAGTACAGAGAATCTTCGATTTCTAGAACAAAACACATTTTTAAATCGAGAATCCGGAGCTTATAAGTTACTTATAAGATGTTTCAATTTATTTTTAAAGAATTCATGTCTTTAGATGATTTTTGAGGATAAAACTACAAATAAATAGCCTTAAAACTGTTCATAAATTAGAAAATTAATAGCTGCCAAATATTTTTCATCAGAGCTGTTTGGGGCCGTTCACTTATGACGTCCAGGGAGGGGGGGGGGGGGGGGAAGGGGTCAGCGAGAAAAGAACAATAGAAATTCCTGGAATTTCATTGTTCTTTTTTGAAAATGACCGTTAATATTGGACGTCATAAGTGAACGATCTCTTTGCACAATTTTAGAGCTCTAATTCATCCAAACAATCGATTATCTTACCAAATAAATTAAATTAAATCAAATTTCAATCTTAGGTACCAAATATATACCAGATATTTTCAAAGCAATATTTAACATCAATAATATTGCATCAACAGAATCATAAAGCACAAATAATAATAAGAAGCTTATTTACATTTAATTCTAATGACTTAACAACTATCTGATGGCTCTTCCTTACTATCTGCTATGGCGTTCGCTAAATGTTTGGGGGTGTCTGTAATTTAAAAGCAATGAATATAAAGGAAATTATTAATTGATTGACGTCTCATGGGCAATAAAATAAAGTAATTTCAAACAATTAGTGAATAAAAAGCTAAAAGCAATTTCTACGTGTTATAGTGTTGCAGGAGAATTACTAAGTCTCAAAGATAATGACATTTATGCAGAGCTCGAATTCAACTCAAGTTGACTCGGAGTTGACTCGAAAAAATGAAGTCGACTCTAGAAAAGTTGAGTCGACTAGATTTTGAGTCGATTCGAGATCAACTCGAGATGACTCGAACCCTATCGACTTCGTGCTCTGAATTTATGTCTTTAAACTTTGACTCTAAATTCTAATAAAGATTTGATAAGGGGCTGTTCACTTATGACGTCTAGGGGCGGGGGTTCATCAAGAAAAGAACAATAGAAATTCCTGGAAATTTATTTTTCATTTTTGAAAAAAAAGCCCCTTAATTTCGAACGTCAAAAGTGAACGATCCCTTAATAAAAAAAACTAAATGAGATGATCATTAATTATTTTCATGCATTGAAAATTAGCAGAGTACAAAAAAGCAGAGCTAGAAGACGCTGCGAGTTGACTGGTTCTGCAACTGCTCAACAAAGTGTAAATGATAATGTGATTTAAATTCAAGGGTCGTTCGTATAAATCTTAAAAGCGCCAAACTTAAAACTTATACGGCCTGTTTCACTAAAGTGGATTATCCTCGATTTCGGATCATCCATTTCAGTTTTTTGTAAATATCTTAAACTTTATGGGAGGTGTGGTATTTCTAATTTTGGATTATAAAAGAGTGAAGTATGCCTGAAATTTCTGTACACTTTAAACTTTTGCTTTTCGTTAAGAAGTATTAATTATTCAATTTTCTAGCCAAATCTAGAAGATTAACTTCAATTTTTGCTATAATTCTCAAACTAATGAAGATATAAAAATTCTTAGTATATGTTAATTTAAGTAGCAAAGTACTTTAAGGAGATCACACTTTAGATCTCTTAATAACCTTAAACGTCTGGAGATATTTCCGAAAAACTGAAGTGGATAATCCGAAATCGAGGATAATCCACTTTAGTGAAACAGGCCGATAATTTTCTTAATCAAACTAAGATTTTAACAAGAGCAAGAAACTAATTGAAAGTTCTTTATCCTTGAAATTTCCAAGTTATTCTTGTTAGTATCCATAAGCATTAATTTCCCGAAAATGGTGTGCAGTATAACAACATGCAGTAACTCCAAAATGTTTTTAATTTTGATAAATTAAGTTTTTCACTCAAAACGAATCATTTTGTTGGACAACAACATTGAATAGTACAAGTCGGTTAATCGAATAGAAATCAATCGCAAAGCCGGCATGACTCTTGCATGGTGCTGGCTTCAATTTTAATCCAGAACCATGCCATAGTAACACCGACTTTGTGCTGATCGATTAATCGACTTGTGCCATTCGGGAACAATGAATGAAAAGTGAATAAGAAGAGAAGCCAAAGAGAGAAGAAAGAAAGAAGAAAATAAAGCTCAAAAATTAAAGTCCAATTCTTGTAGCGACTTATCTTTACCTTGTGGTGGGTGTGAAGTGGTATGATACGCATCCTCGATCGTCGATACCATGGTAAGACTGTGGTTCGTATTGCTGTACACGAATGCGAAGTCTTTTGTTTTCTCTGCATTTATATATTTGAGGATTTCATGGCAAAAGATTGCATCAAGATTTTAGAAGAAGGTTTCAAAATTTTCATTCAAAATCGATTTCGTCAAAATCATAAAAATGAATGAACTAAGTATTAATAAATTATTGTTAAATTTTCTATTTTCTCATATATAAAATATATTAAATTAAATTAAAATTCATATGAAATAAAAAAAATTGATCCTTACAAAGTGGAAGAAGTAGAAGTAGAAATAGAAGTAGTAGAACCGGAGTAGGAAGATGATACAGTCAGTAACAGGTTTTATTTTATATATTTTGTTGGTTAATTCATGTCAATTGACCCCCGTTATTGATGTTAATGCAAATATATAGAAAAATTGTGTAAATATGTGAGTGAGTTTATGTCCCCCAACATATTATCATTTTTTTTTAAATTATTTCGACCAATATTTTTTTAAGTAACATAAATTAAATTATATTTTTGAAGGCAGTGAAGGCAATGATATATAAAAATAGAAAATTTAAAATAAAAGAAAAAATTATCATTAATAAAAAAATTAAAATTCATAAAATGTTAGTAATTTATTAGTAATTTATTATTCTACGATAATAAAATGATATAAAAGCTACAACCTCCTATCACATTTAACATGTTTTTGTTAGTTCCTAAATGTTACTTGAATGTTCAATTTTTGAATGGATTTGGATTGGACTGGCTTCTTAATATTCACTAGACAATAAGACTCTTTAACTCTTACTTTTATGAAGGGGTAGGTTGTAGAATATATGGCTGTTTAATATGTCATTACTGACCTCTAGGATCTGTAGGATTATCCAACCATCTCATCAAGAGGGGGGGGAGATCTACTTCACTCCTCTTTACTGTGGGACTGAATAATCTTCAAACATAGAAATATATCCTAAAAGGCCGTTTGAAAATGACGTGAGGATGGGGGGCACTTAAATAATAGAAGTTATAAACGACCCCTAATTGAATGAATTATTAACTTTTTAAAAGTTCAGTCTTTCCTCATAATTATAGCACCAAAAATTTTCCACCAAGGCGTGGAAACTATCCCAAATATCATATTTATCCCACATATCCCAAAAATATTCAAAATAATCCCTGAGCCTGTATTCATTCAAATTGAGATATCCCATCATATCCTAAAATTACACGTCCAATACACTAATTTGGGATATCTTTATTTTAATGCATACAGGCTCAGGGATTATTTTGAATATTTTTGGGATATGTGGGATAAATATGATATTTGGGATAGTTTCCACGCCTTGCTTTCCACTCAGTCCATCAACAATCCATTCCATTCAACATTGAACTTCAACTCAATGTCAATAAAATCCAAAAATTAATCAAAAAACACCTAAAAAGTCTCCTCAAAAATTAATATTAAGTACACACCATAAAAATTACTAAAACATAATTTCTACAATAAACTACGACTGAGTCTAAGTGACTTACCGCCATTAGAGCTAGCACCGTGTCCAAATGACAATAATTTGGGGGTTCTGCACATGAGAACTGTCTTATATGCTTGTCTATATTGCTTATTCATAATGAAATAAATGAAATTGTTTATGCACGCAGACAAATAGATCATAATGTAACCGAATATGTGTAGACCCGGCCATTGAACGTCTTTGTCGGCAATTTTGATAATTGTAATTGGCATATAGCATGCGAGGAATGACAAGAAAATAGCTAAAACCATTTTCGTGATTCTCCACTCATTTCGCTTCTGTTTTGCCTCACGTTGATCTTTAAGGCGAGTAGATTTTGTTGCCTGTAATCTATTGCCACTCTTTACATCTGTTTCATTGAGATTATTATTCATACTGCCTGGTATTTGTGTTGATCCTGTCATTGTTCTTTGGTTATTGTTCTGAAGGGATGGTTGGGAGCTTGCATGTCGTCTCATTCGAGATTCAGATCTGAATGGAAATGACAGAAATTTTTAATTTAATGCCTAAAGTACGAATAATTGGAAAATCCTTACTCATGGACGACCCAAAAAATTCTCGCATAGCAGGCAATGATGATGACACATGGAATGATAAATGCTATAATAAATAAAGCAGTCTTACTACTGCGTCCTTGCGAGTCGGGAAGAATTGAACACGTTTCTAATTTATCGTCATATCCAAAGATGCCTGTTGATTAAGTCACATCCAAAGATTTAGAGATTATCTAAGGATAGTCAAGATAAAAGTACTCACCCCAAACCCCAAAAAGTGTTGGGAGCTGGAAACCGTAGCTGAATATCCAACAAAATATTATCATTGTGTAAACGTATACTTTCTTATAGACTCGTTGATAAATACTGTTATGAGCTATCATTATGTAACTGATAAGAGACAAATTGACATTAGAATTGGCTAGTCTAAGCTCGCTAAGTTGTTCATAAATGGCGTCTATAATTAAATTATATCTTCCCATACTCAATCAGTGAGTATAGCACCATATTATGAACGTCACGAAAAGATTCACTTCCTTACCGATTCATTGTAATCATTGCTATGCATAAAAGTGAAACTCCAACATTTCCATACTGAATGAATGGCACTAGCGTGCATAAAAATTCACCATGCGTCCATGCACCATGAATATATCTCACAGCCATAAAGGGTAGCACAAGCACGCAAAAAAGGCAATCAGCTGCACATAAACTGAGAATGGAAAAAATATTTGTAAAGCGTTAAATTTATTCACATGCCTTATTACAGTTTTTTGGGTAATTTACCTTATAATAAAATCAGCTGCAACATTTCTAACTTTTGGACATCGAATTAATGCATAAATTGTCAATAAGTTGCCAAAGATTCCAGCTATCATGATTAATATTGTTGCTGTGGCTGCTATCGTTAGGAGTGGTCGTGAAAATCTGGAAGTGGATGAAAACAGATAATTTTGTGAGTTTTTCGTTCGAACTTGATGCTTTCTCAATTTGGTATTCATATAATAGCTTTATAAGAATCAATTGATATTTGATCATTTCAGGAATAAAGCATTTGCTCATTTTGGAAGGATATAAGAGGATAAAGTGTGACTCTAAAAGCCAAATAGTTTAAGATCTTTCATTATCCTGATTAGCTGATACTTTCTAGCTTGAGCGATACAATATAGTCCATAGATCATCGTTTTATTGCTGTGTTGACAGCAAAGCTTCAACTTTTGGACACTGACAATACTGGACAATGTTAAAGATTCAGATTTCGGACTATATTCTTAAAGTAAAGCTCCTTTGTATCTCAAAAGTTATGAACAAGACTAGCAAATGAAGAGAACCTTTTGTAGAACTTACAAGCTAGTAAGTATCTCAATTGCGTAACCATAAATCAGCAATTAAAAAATTCTCTTACTAATGTCTGTGTTTATCTCATTAAGATCAGATTATATCGTGTTATAAGCGTATCCCATTAATTGTTATCAGCGTAAAGAATATTCACATGCTGTAACATGCGTTTGTATTTTATTTCTTGAAATAAATTCTCTTGCTCCCTTGAAACTCGTGTAAATTTTATATTATATTGATTTAAAGCAACAACAACGACTATAAGGACGAAAAGTAGCTTTTTTAAACAAACGATTAAGTTTCTACAGCCAGAGAGTAGTTGTAGGCATGCGAGAGAGCAACAAACACGTGAATAAACAATTTTCCGCTCAATTTTATCAGTTCCGAAACAGAAAGTGCACTTACTCGCATGCATTAAAATACAATAATAATTATTATTCTCTCAATCGACCTTGTCATTAAAAAAAATAGCTGTAGTTGGTGAGATACATGCTGAGAGATAATAATAATTGTAAATAAAAAAGTCAATGAAAAACTTCGAGAAAATTTTAATAAAAAATAAAAATAAGGTTTACTCGACGTGAGCGAGAATTGTGAACATTTGTGTTATAACAAGTGTCTGATACGGTAGGATATTAAAGACAAATGTGGAAATTATTACAAAGAGATATATCATTTGAAGTAGTTGTTGAACGGCTGTTGACATAGTGGCGTGGAAAAAATATTAATGTCTTCATTATTTTCAAAGGAAGATCAAGAAAGACACCGATTGTCATAGGCGGTAAATAAATAATTTATTTTTTGTGATAAACTAGTTGGGCAAGAAGTTTCATCAAAGTTTTCAATTCTAAAGTTTCTCGAAAAATAAATTGAAGATAAATCGAAATTATTTCAGGAAGTAAGGCATAGCAATGAATAATTTCTAGGTCAGAACTGCCATGGATTAAAAACTTATTTGAATTATGAGTAAAAAATAATTAAATTGTTGGATTTGATTTGTGAATTGTGATAAAAATCCAGTCTTAATGATGCACAGTTGCGTTGAAGATGATTTTAAATTGTTTAAATAAATTAAAAAGGGACGATTAAGATTAAATTCAGAAGTCAATCAGCTACCGTGATACTGTGGTAACGAGTTCGAAAGAATTAAATTTATTAAAAGCTGGTATTATTGAGAAAGGGATGAAGGAAAGGTTATGCTTGAAATTTGAAAACCAAAAAACTATCAAATTGAAGATTTGAGGAGAATTAAGGATTTACCTACAATAGAAAGTGGGATTAAGCTACTTTAGCAAATAGAAAACACTAACTTCACATCTGACAGGAGCACACTTATCTATAGCTACAACTGGCAATGTTAGGCCAGTGCCATAAAAAGCACAAAGCATATCGAAAAAAAGACATAAAAACCATGCATACGAAAGATCCACCATACATTCCATCACTAGAAGTTCCTTATTTTTTGGATCTCAATTAAAATTATTAAAGTTGTTTGATTCAGTCAACTTAAAAGTTTTTAAAAACACTGGTTATGGAAAAAATTTATGTGTGTTTGAACAGCTGGAGCCTTGATAGAAAAATGGGATTAAGAGGAATTTTATTAAATTATTAACAGCTTATTTCTCAGCTGAAATCAATATATTCAAATTGAATTTTTAAAAAAAAAAAAATAAAATTCATTTGAAATTAATTATTGACTCAAATGTCATTTTTTCCGTTATTGAAGCTATGATTTGTCATTTAATTATATGTTACGAACTCTTACTTCATCAGCCATAATTATACGAATTTCATTAGTTGAGAATTGTTGAAAAATGACATGAGAATTCTTTTAAAGATTAATAAACTCTAAAATTGAAAACTTTCCAAACACACACACTTATATAGTGACTATCCTTAGGTAATTATATAGTAATTATCTTTCTATTTACGTGTGCATTCATGAGAGAAATATGAAGTTCATGTCAAAAATTTATAACTGCAATCAAATTATAGAGACTATAGTTCCTGTCATCGAGAACCACAGAAGTTAAATAGAAATTTAACGGTATTTAAGTATTTCCTGTGAAGTATTTCTTTTTCGTGACTAGTTTGGGATAGTTTCCTGTGCGACTGTATACATCGGTATCTAAGCAATTCAGCAGTCATAAACAATCCAAATGGTGTTTAATATGGCTACTAAATGGAGTGTCCTTGTGCCACTTAGACTATCAATTTTCTAGTAATTCCAAAAACTGTAAACAAAAGTGACCTTGACGAGAATTATGAGTTCAATAAACCAATTCAAGGCAACTTTACCACACTGGCGAACATTTGATCCGTAATCCGATCTAAATGCTCTAAAACAGTGATGTTTAAACTGTGTGCCGCGGTACACTGATGTGATTTAGAAACTTTTTGTAAATGACGCGAGCCACATGCTGTTTGCGACTTTGGTAATGGCTTACTCCTAAGGTGTGCCGTGGCTCAAAAAAGTTTGGACAACACTGCTCTAAAAGTTTAATTTTAAAAATGACTCATTTCGATAAAATTTGAGCTTATTCTACTGGAAATATCCCAGATCAATAAACACTTTTGCACCTGTCTTTATTCATTTGAGTATTCAAATTTGTTACTAGGCATAAAAAGATATAGATCTTCAATAACAAAATTTTTTATTAAACTTCTGTGCCGCACTATTTGTTAGCAAACACTTGGAAAATAGAATGATTAATTATTTGCTGATATAATTCATTCAGAAAAATTTATTTTTGCTGAGCTACTCTCATTATTATTATTGTTTTTACTTCTGTTAATGAAATTACTTAACTTATTCTACTTTTAATAGCTCATTAATGCTCATTTAATTTGAATTGGAATTTCTGAAGAGTAAAATCGTACTTTAAATGAAGTTTAATACCTTAAAATGCAGTTGTTTATGATCGCAATTAAAATATTGAATTCTTCCTTAGTTTAGACTAGTGTCTGATAAGCAATGTGAAGAGAGAATTGACCATGAAGACTCGAATTGCCTGAATTTGAAAAAAAAATCCTTAGCTTTTCCTCGCTTAGTTTCAAACTCATACTTCAATGTAGCTACAATCAAATTTCAAAAGCGTGCCATTAATCAAAACTAGTTTAGCAGACACTGTTCATCACAAAGCCCAAATTGGCTCATTTACTTATGTACTCAGTATTCCTTAGATATATCAATTTTATGTCAACGAAAAAACAAAAATTGACTCAATCTTTTACTTATCTTTATTATTATTATTCCTTATGTTTTCCAGGTACAGCGTATAACCAAAGTACAAAAAATTGATAAGATAAGAAGTAAGGTGATCATACTTATTCAAAAAAATATCCATTCGCAGTAGTGAGCAGAACTTAAATATTGAAACACAATGGCACGTTTCGATTCAATTACGAAAATTCTTCATGGACGGAGAATGCCACAAATTTACGATCCAAACATTTCTGTCGGTCAAGTGATACTAAATGTTATGTTTAAAAATAAGAATAAAGTAATTCAAATTAATGACGACGATGGTGTTGAAGTGACTTGCTCTAAAATGGCATCAATGATGACAAATATAGCGAAAAATTTATACAGACTAGGATTTAGAAGTGGGGACGTTGCTGGACTATTTGCATCGCATACAACTTACGTAGCACCAGCAATATTTGGATGTCTACTCATAAGACTTCCTGTGAATCCAATTGAGAAGTCATTTGACGTTAATCAAATTTTGAATATTTTTCGAGAAACGAATCCAAAGGTTGTGTTCTGTGATAATAACGTGGTAGATAAACTGATGGTCGCATTAGGTATTTTAGAAAGTGAAGCAACAATTGTGATACTAACGGACAGAATTGAGGGATTTGTTCACATCACTGATTTAATTGTAGATTGTAACGTGAGCGAAGAGTGAGTATGTCAAGAAGTTGATGCCCCTAAACTTAATTTCTAATATTTGTAAATCAATTGTAGCTTTATCTTTAAGTCAACAGACGAAAAGAATTCGTTCATAGTCTGCACATCAGGAAGTTCGGGAAATCAAAAATTAGCTCTCGTTACGCACTTACAGCAGCTGCAATCATACATATGGACGAATGACTATGATGCTGATTCATTTGATCTCAACATGACTAGTTACTTCTGGCTTGTAGGACTTAATAATTTAATATTTCGTACGCTGCATGTTCAAAAGCGGCTAATTACAGCAAAACCATTTACACCTGACTTATTTATCGACTTAATAGAGAAATATGAAATTAATGTATGCTTTTTGATAACTTCATATCTCTGTCTACTAACGGAATCGCCGAGATTTTGGACTGCTGATTTCAGTCGACTAAAATATCTTAAAACTGGTGGAATTTACGTATCGGAAACCTTAAGGCAAATAGTTAAAGATAAGCTAACAAATGGAATAGTTATTGTCGGGTATGGAATGACAGAATTTTGTGGTTTACTCGCGGAAACTCCACACGACTGTCAATTGTCATCAGCTGTTGGAGTTCCATCAATCAATACAGATGTAAAAATTCAGCTAGATGATGGAACGACTGGATATTTAGGAGAAATTGGTGAAATTCTTGCGAGAAATCCTGTCACATTTTCTGGATACTACAAAAATCGACATAAAGCGAAATTTGATGATGAAGGATGGCTGCACACTGGTATGTACTTTATTTGAGGGTAAATTATTTGTGAGGAACTTGCAATTAGCTCTTGGAAGCAGTGTGACATTCCTAAACATGCATCATAAGTGAATGAACCCCATTAAAACCAATCCAACAACTATTAATAGCTTAATTATTTTTAGGCGACATGGGATACATCGATGAAAAATATGAAATCAACATCATCGGACAAAGGACATTTGCCATTAAAAATGTAGTTAATGAAATATTTCCATTCGATATTGAGAACAAAATTTGTACATTAGATGGAGTAAATCAAGCTGTTGTAGTTGGAACTCCAGATTCTATAGAAATAGAAATTCCAACAGCTTTAGTTGTTCGTGATGCTAATAGTGATGTTGATGAGAGTGACATACTGGAAGTGACTAGTGATCTTCCAGCATACAAAAAAATTCGCGGTGGAATTTTCTTTGTCGATTCATTGCCAACAACAAATACAGGCAAAGTTGAGCGAAAAAAGTCAAAAGAACTTGCAATCAAGTTGAAAATTGAAAGAGAATCTAGAACTGAATAGTAACTCATACCTGCTACTTAGTTCATCCGTTTCTCCATCACCATTCTGAATCTCATTGTCTGCTAGTAAGGCTGATGTTGCTGTACTTAATATACTTGTAATTGATGATACCGTCGTGGTTGTCATTGTTGATGTAGCATTGATGATTTCACTTGTCAACAAATTCTCGCCATAATTAGCTTTTGATCCACTGCCATCCACACCAAATCTATTCATTTTTGCGTCTATAAAACTTTGATAACTGAAAATATAGAAAGAAAAAAAATGTGTAAGTTGAATAATTTCTCAATAAATATTAGATGCTTAAGGAATAAAGAAAGTTTGATGCTATTTTTCATTAGTTCATAGAAATCTCTTAGTTACAGGCTCATGTTGGGGACATGTGGTTTTCCAAGGACACTCCCAGTTGGATTAGAATAAGCCATTGACGTAATTTCATATGAATAAGTTTATAAGGGATTTATTTTTTTGGGTATTATAGTAATTCGAAAAAAATTCCATCAGTAACAAAAATTAAATCAATTATTCAAAGTAATTGCATGCTGATTCATAAGAATAGCTCTTTAAATTATGTTTCATGCGTTTTTGCACGTCAAAGTAAGTTAAGATAAAGTTAAGAAGAAGCTTTCAGTGATGCCGTTAGCATTGATGAGTCTTTGTCGATTCGACAGCACTATAGAATGATTAAGAGATTGGCTTCTGGTTAGAATTGAACCCACGTCATCACGATATGGAGTCAGTTCCCAAACCCATCAACCACAGAGACTTTCACCATCTCAGATTTTCCTGCATATCGTTTGATATCCCCAAGATCCATTCTGACTCTAAACTTTCTTATATTGGAAATGTTAGTATTGTGTCTAAACAGAAGCATCTATAGATGATGAAATTCTTAAGTTTCTTGGGTCTATAAATGCTTTTGACAAAGAACAGCTTGAGAAGCACTAGCATATCAAAATATCAGATCTATCAATTGCTATAAATTTATCTATATCATTTCTAATTCAAAACAGAAACAATTGTCATTATTAAATAAATCATACAGGCAGTCATAAAAAATTTTAACAGTCATCATTGTTTCTCAAGACGTTAATAGAAATGATTCATAGATATTAAATTAAATTCACATTCATTGACGAGGAAATGAATGAGCAGAATATTTGGCTGTTAAGTATTTTATCAATTCAATGACGGTCAAAACAAGCTACCTTATCAGCTCTGATGTAATTTAGTTCCTCGAGTATTTTCCAAAATACCCATGATATTAGTTCTTATCGTAATATTTCCAAAAATACTTCGGTGAATGATGTTGTACAATTTTATATTTACACTATTTCTTTACTACGTGCTTATCATGGATTCTAATACAAAGTGATACAAAACTGGATGTGTATTTGAAAGAGAGTTCAATACTAGAGCATTTTTATTGATAAGATAAAGTCTGGCGTGTAAGATTAAACCAAACAAACGTTTTAGTATTATTGTAAACTTAGACTCGATCAGACACGATGGCAAAATATGATCCAAGAACCAAAATATTGAGTAGTGAAAGACTGCCTCAAATGTATGATCCAAAAATATCTGTCGGACAAGTAATACTCAATGTAATGTTCAAGGCACCAAACAAAGTAATTCAAGTGAGTGATGACGACGGAATAGAAGTAACTTGCTCGCAGATGAGCGATATGATGACCAACATTGCTAAAAACTTATTCAAAATTGGACTAAGAAGTGGCGATGTTGCTGGAATATTGGCATCAAATACAACTTATTTATCACCAGCGATCTTTGCTTGCTTATTACTTAGACTTCCAATGAATCCAATCGAAAAGTCATTTGACGTCAATCAAATTGTGAACATTTTTCGAGGGACAAGACCTAAAGTTGTGTTTTGTGACCACGATGTGATAGAAAAATTGATGGCTGCACTCGGCATTTTAGAAATCGAGGCAAGAATTGTCATATTGACAGACAGAATTGAAGGATTGTTTCATATAAGTGACTTTTTACAACAAAATTATGGATATGACGAGTAAGTGCACTCATCACAATCATGAACATACAAAAATATTGATAACAATTTTTTGCCAGGTTTATTTACAAGGTCGATTCAAGTGTTCAGACTTCATTAATAGTTTGCACATCAGGTACTTCTGGACATCCAAAATTAGCACTAATTTCACATTTACAACAACTTAATGTTTTCATTAGAACACACAATGTTGATGGTGTCAGTTTCAATGTTTGCAGTATGTACTGGGCGATGGGAATCAATTACTTAATTTATAAGACTTTGAATGCACAAAAGCGATTGATAACAAAGAAGAGATTTACACCGGACTTGTTTTTTGATATGGTAGAAAAATATAGAGTTACAGAAACCTTTTTAGTGCCTCCACATCTCATGTTATTAGCAGAATCACCGAAATTTCAGACTGCAAACCTAAATTCCCTTAATTATGTATTTACTGGAGGACTTTGTGTATCAGAGAACATTCGAAGAAAGATCAATGAAAAGTTATTGTATGGAACAGTATCTGTGATTTATGGCACAACAGAGTTTTGTGTCCTCATATCAGAAACTCTAACTGATAGACCAATATCATCATCTGTTGGAATTCCAACAATTAATACAGAAGTAAAAATACAACTGGATGATGGAACGACTGGCGGTGTCAAAGAAATTGGTGAAATTTTAGCCAGAAACACGATAAGACCTTTAGGGTATTTCAAAAACAGTCCAAGGATTAAAATTGATGATGATGGATGGCTGCATACAGGTGAGGATTTCACTGAGTACAGTCATGAATCGTCGTCTACTCTTGAAAATATCTGGAGCTTCATTCAGTCTCGTACTCATTACTTTATGTACCCAGATCTAGTCAGGGTTTTATTTAACTTTGTCTAGACTATTTATGGCATCCCAAGTAAGTCCGAATGGCATAACAATGAAAAATTTGATGGACCTTCAGAACTGCTTAGACAGAATTTTTATTCTAGAAAAAGTCAAGCAAACCCTCTCTTAACATATACTCTGTAGCAAATAGTGAATAGCTTCCTTAATCTCTTCTAATAATTTAAATATTTATCATGATTGATCTTATTGATCCTTCATATTTCAGGTGACATGGGATTTATCGATGAAAATTACGAGATTAATATAATTGGACAGCGAACATTCGTCATCAGAAATTACTACAATGAAATTTACCCATGCGAAATTGAAAACAAAATTGAAGCACTAACAGGAATCGCAAGAGTTTGTGTTGTTGGACTGCCAGATCCAATAGAGATTGAAATTCCAGCAGCACTTATAGTCCGTGAAACCAACAGTAATATTGTTGAAAGTGTTATAATTGAAGTAACAAACGATTTACCATCCTACAAGCAACTTCGTGGTGGTATTTTCTTCATCGATGCACTGCCTCTAACGCCATCCGGAAAAGTTAAAAGAAAAGAGGCCAAAGAGATAGCAACGAGGCTTAAAATTGAGAGAGAATCAAGAATGCATACTTAATATTCAAATTTATTTTTAAAAAAACGAGTCTAATAACCTCTTTTTATGATGAAAAATCATCATTTCCAATCGAAAAGCTTAAAATGCGATGAAAAAAGGCTTTTATTTCTAAACCCTTAGACTATAAATATAGAATGTTGATGCTATGAAAAATGGAAAATAAACACTCAACCATAAACTTTTGTGGTATTTTGATCTTTTAAACAATTTTTCTAATGTTCAGCAAAGAATGGAGAATTCTATTTACACTGCGATTTGTGGCAGTTCAATCGTGTATGCGAAATAAAATTATTGACTTTTAGTGTTCTCTAAATTCAGCGCTAAAGTTGTTCGTGCTTTGTAGTGACATAAATCAATTTTGGATGAACAAGTTTTGGCAAACTGTAAGGATATAAAAATATATCACCTGACGCAAGTTGCTTAGGATACACTAGTGTATCTTAAGAAAGAGCTTATCTTAGTGTCTAACCTAGGATATAGTGCTATCACTTCTGGCTAAGCTGTTCAGTGCGTTTTATAGTCAAAACCTTTAAATTTAGAATACTTTTAAATCAATTTTTAAGAAATTTATTTTTCCGGTATCATGTATGATTCTGATGTTGATAAGCCATTTATAACGTAATCGTTAAATAAATTGAGTTAATGTATTGAAAGTTTAGCATAAATAAACACACGATTATGATATAAATGATGATAAAAAAGGGGAGAAAGAACTTTTTCCAACCTCATAAAAACATGTGTATTATTGTCACAGTTCATTGACTTATTTTTACGCTCTCAATATTTTCAATAGGCTTTTCATTCCTCGTCTCATGTGACAAAAGGAATATCCAAGCAAGCAAAAATCTTCTTCCAACATGACTCATGACTTTTGGTGGGCTTTAAGAGATACAATATGTTATGAAGAATAAATTATGTGTGAGATTTTGGAGAGCTTTAACCTGATGTGAGGCATGTGTTGTTGTATAAAAAGTGACAACATGTTTTTTAGGCACGATGAGAATCCAAAAATACAAGATTTGGAGCAATTCTTATCTAAAATTCATTGTTTATGTTTTTGTCTTCCTTGGTATGTTCAAAATTCGCGAGGATAGCTTTCTAAAAATAGCAGAGGCATCACTGATCTCAATGATTTATTAAAAGTGAATTTTTTATCCTCTTCATTTTTGCTTGATCAACAAAATCAATTTTTTTCCAGCTATGAACTTCTGTGTGCTTGGCAAATATTCGCGAATTTACCCAAAAAATTAATAGAATGAATAGTTTTTTCCCATGCAAGCTATAAATCTCAAGCTATTCATCCAATAAGATCCTAAAAAATCACCACCATTATCACAATAGAACAGTTCAATGACCGAATTAATCTTTAGATTAGGCACAATGAGCTATTCTTCATTATTGAGTGCTTCATGACAGAATTCATGAAAATGAATCAAGGAAGTTGTTTTGAAATTGACAGATTCTCTTTATACTACTGAATTATAGAGAGATTCATCAAAAACATTGACAGCATATGCAATCACAATTGAAATATAGGACAAAGTAATAATATAATAATGTTTATGATGCTACATATAATTATTTAATTAAAATCGAGTGAACACCACTGAGTGTAGCTATTTTTTTATTAATAATGATTTAGTAAAATGCACTTATAAAATTAGTGCGTTTTCAGTTTGGAGGGGATTGAAGTCAGTCTGCCTTGCAAGTGTAACTCACAATTAGACTATATTCTATCATTGAAAGCCTTAAACTGCTTTATAAAACAACAATAATAACTTGCCAATAAGTCTTTCCTATATTTTTTTTGATTGACCTCTAATGCTCTTATAGAACTCGGTTATGACATTTTTATTGAATTTTTTCATTAAACTTACAGAACTTTATTGATACGGCGTAATTTCATTGAATAAGTGTAATTTTAATTATTCTTTATCTCATGTTGAATGACATTTATGAAGAAATTAAATTGAAATTTGAGAACTAATCATGTCTAAGTGACAAAATAAAAAAAATCGAAAAAAATTTTTTTTTGTTCTTGGGTAATTTTTTTTTTTTTTTTTGGGAAATGTTTGTTTGGCTGAACTTGTGCTGCTTGTTTGAATGTAATTTATTAAAGCATGAAAACATTGTTTAAATTATGACATTGAGGGTTTGAGTAAAGGGGTTTTTTACAAATTAAGCAGTTGAAATAATTTTGGTTTAACAACCAGCATGAAAGAAAATACTTCAGAAAGAGTTTAAAATGAGTTTCTATTGTGATTTTTAAACCACTTATAACTTTATGACTTATTTCTTTGTTTTGACTCTCCTGGATGCTGATTATCACTTTAAAAAAATTTAATTTTTATGAAGGATTAATGATTGTTCATTTAAAAAGATCCTTAAGGTATCAGGTATAAAGACAGTTAAGTTAAATCCTTAAAACCCATCGCAGAACTCTTTGAAACCAAAATCAACTTGAAAATCATTTTCACAACAACCACAGAAATCACAACATTCGAATTCCTCAAAAATCAAATTTAAGTATCATCACAAAATGGATAAAGCTTCTTTAGATGCATTTGAACTTCAGGATGTTCTCAAATGGGTTGATAGCTTCGTCTTATCACGTCCGAGTAAGAAATTAAGTCGAGATTTCGCTGATGCTGTTTTATTGGCTGAAATTTTGAAGTATGAATTTCCAAAATTAGTTGAGCTGCATAATTATGCTGGATGTTTTGCGATTAAAGAAAGAATGAAGAATTGGGACACATTGAATCAAAAAGTTTTAAGGAAATTGCAAATTAACTTGAAGCGCGAGGAAATGGAAAAATTAGCAAAGGCTGAGAGTAGCTGTATTGAGCAACTGCTTTACACCGTCATGAATAAAGTCAATTTAGTCAAAGAGATGCAGATGAAGGAACTAGAAAGGAATGAAAGTTTATCAAATGTTGTAACAATAACAAAGCAAATCGGCGATCATGTTCAGATTCAGCAAGTCATTCCATATGCAGATTACGAAGAGCTCGAGTTTAAGCACGAGGAATTAAAGCAAGAATTTGAAGAACAAAAGTTGCATATTCATGACTTGGAAGAAGAGATCAAGGAACTTCGAAATGCTCTTGAATCAAAAACTGAAATAATTCAAGATTTAGACTTAAGGCTTGAAGAATCGCGTAAGAAATCTCATTTGTCGATGAGCTCAATCCGAAAATCACTTGCTAATTTATTCTGATTAAATCGCCAATAAAAGTCTATATTTGATGTGAAATGTGAAACTAGTTTTTTTGAATTTGAAAGTTCTAGCCAGCTACAGTATATGTCATAAATAGTTGGGTTCATTCACTCACTGAAAACAATTGAGCTTATTTAAAATAAATTAGGAGCTCCATAACAAAAATAGAATTGATAAATAGCTTCAAAAGTACTTTAAGTACCATATTAGTGTCCCATAAAATCATTCATAATAACATTAACCTTAATTCATTTCAGATTTTAAGTAGGTAAGCGTTCTTGAGCAACACAAAGACTGACAAGTTGTACGAAATTATCATTTTGCATGCACAATAGACATTGCGAACAGGTTGAAAATTGAAAATCATTCAAAATTATTTCTCACAAAATTAATTCGCTGAGTACGCAAGACTCACAAATGCAGTTGTCTAGATTATTTTTTGAGTAACGTATTATTTTTCACATTTTGATTTCAAAAGAGATGGTCTAGACCTTCTCTTCATCCTAGCTACACTCGTGCTGTTGTCAGCTTTCTAAACTTAGCCAAATAAGTTACTCAAAAGTCAATACAGTTTGATGATATCTACGAAATATAATCTTCACTTGTTAATTACATTCTCCATACCCAATAAATTAACATTAAGCATGAAGTATTCGAAATTACGACTCACGAATAAAATATTTTTATTAACACTTAATAATTTAATTTAAAATGCAAATTTACTGCCTCTAAACCACAACACAATGTTCATAAATTTTTCACACTTTACGATTCGTAAACAACCGATTAATATTCAATTAAATCGTAAGCACAATTAAGAATGAATTTTTTGGGCGTCAATAAATACAATATTTGCTGTTTGTCTACAACCTTTTTTATCATATTTACGGCCGCACTCCTCAACTTGGAATCATACGAAGCTTATGATGAATGAAAAAACATAATAAAGTTGTCATTTTTCTGCTGTCTGGCGCGCTCACACATGTCATTCAATGCAAACTGAAGAGAAGCCTAAATCAATGGGCAACAGATTACGCATGGAATGACATGAATGAAATGGAAACAAAATATTTCTGTTGATCAGTGAAGGCGGCTTCATTTGTCAAGAAAATTTCACTCTAAATATATATCTGTAGATTTTTTCATATAAATACACGAGCCATAATTTGAAGCCTATACACAGCATGTGTGGAATATGATGAAAGAAAGATGATGACCATCAATGGATAGTGATCATATCCAATTTTAGTCATACGGTAATGGTGACGAAGAGTGTGATGAAATCAACAGCAACAGCACATTGTACTTAAATAATGCTTAATGTAAATTGCTGATTTTTTTTTCTCTTGCGGAACTGTGTGCAGAAAATAAAATAAAGAAAAAAAGAGCTATCTACTGCAAACTCTTCAAATGGCCTTGCCAAATATATAAAAGATCGCAGTTGAAATGAATTTAATGATGAGCTTTGATACTCAATTGTTATTAATTTATTGATGAGTCATGAAGACGATCATTTTTCAATGAGAAACTCATTCGTCGTTATATCTTCATCGCACGACCTACAGATGTGTGGATTTAAATCAGGAGTAAATTAACTTAGTTGAGAATAGTACGAGGACTGTTTTAAGAGTAAAACTTAAGGTTGTATGGCATTAGACTTAACCCGAAATTCAAATATTAATTCCAAACTTGAAGATTGCTTTGGATCAACTTGATAATCAAATTTGAGGTTCTAAAGCTTATTTTAAATTCAAAACGGTTTTACATCAGAATCAACTAGTAATCCATATCCTAGCTACCACTAGGCAACCCAAAACAAAACTCTAGATCCCAACTCTGACTTCATGTAAACACAAAATTCATGTCATAAGTCCACTCACGAGTTATGTAAAAAATTCATTGTTGCTTCAAGTATTCTTGACATTTTTATTGTCATGCAGCTAATAATTATTCTGAGTATTTCAACAGGTATTTATGTGGACTGTAATTGACTTTATATTAATGATATGTTGAGATTTTTTTATTAGACCAATAATTTTTCAAGAAGCTCTTTGATCGATTGGATCTTGTAAATAAAGTTGTTGAAGAAAATTATATGGAGTTACGTAAATGTTGTAGCAAATAATAAGTATAAGTTACATATACAGTAATTGTAACATGATTATTAGCGTGAAATTTAAGAATCTTAAGTGGATAATGATTGAAAAAAATTTAATTGAGTTCTAATTATTCAGCTTTAACATTTAAATAGAGCATGTCAGATTAGGAAGCATTTGCAGTCAAATCATTTCATCAGGAAGTTTCAAAAAGTTTGTAAAATAATTCAACACTATAAAGTAAACTTCTCCAAACACTAAACACAAAACTTAGCTGTTTCCCAATTGGCACATTTGATGAGTTGAAACAATTCGTGTCATAATGTTTATAAATATTTGATTTTCATGTCACGTCACCCGTGGACAAACAATTGAGTAAGAAAATAATATTTTTTTATCAAATTCCTCATTCGCGACATTTATACAAGGCGTGAAGAATCAAACATTCTTGTGCACTTGATAAGCTTGGAAACGTCAATATCGTTGTTTCCTTATCTATTTTCAATACACATAAAGTAATTCCACTTCGATTTTTTGTAGGTGAAGTCTTTCGTCAATCAATCACAATGCACTATTATTTATTTATGAGAAATTCCGTTACCTCAACCTCCAATATGACTTTTTCTGCCTTTGATCCATTTAAATGCACTTCTCAACTCTTTCCTATTTAATTGACTTCCACACAATTCGAAGAATTTTTTCTTATTTTTTTTTAAAAAAAATTCAATTTTAGACCCGCATTGTGTATGCATCAATTGCTAAGCGATTACTGAATGTAGAAATTAAATAATGACATTGTTGACTAGTGTGCTAGAAAGATGTGAGAGAGGAGGCGATTATATGCCATGTTAAGATGCTTCATATACAAATTTTATTATAGCAATTAATTTAAATTGAGAAGGCAAATAAAAGAGCAAAAAAATGGTTGTTGATATTCTTACACTTAGTGACAATTAATTGCTTTATATTCGAGTGTATTCGCTTCTGTTTTGATGTCATTTTATGCATATTAAATAACATTTCAATGTGTTGCTTCTTTTGATGTTCTTTTTGTACCATAATTCATTAAGTTATGTCAGTGAGTCTGCGAATTTTCGTCGATTCTGACAGACGATTAGATGACATAGCAAGTATCGCGAGCAATGTGGTGTTTTGTGATGGTTTCCTAGTTCATTTCAATTAAATAGTCATTAAGAATTGTCAGAATTTGTCATGGTAGATTTGATCATGATTTGACCAGACCTTAAGAGAGTTTGGATTTGCTAGACTAAAGCAACTTAGCCAAAACTTATTAGGTTTTCAACTAAAAGATTTACTTTACCAGACCATTCAACTCGAACATATTGACAAATGCGTCTCCCAACACCATCTCTAATTTTCCCGCCTTTTTCGCAAATCCCATGCAATCCATTGTTGATACATATTTTCTTCTATTTATGCAATTATAATTTTTATTGTGATGTGCAATTAAATTGAATAATGCGAAGTTACAGTTCATCAAATTAATTACATTAATGTTTATATTTTTGCAAATATTTAATTGATTTTTTATTGCATGAACTTCAATTATGGATTTTATAAATCATCAGCCAAAATTTCGATCGTTTTTGCCTCAAAACGGATGCACCAAATTAGTAAATTTTTAAAAGGAATGATTTTTGTGTTCCAAATGAATTCTCATCATCAACATCATCATCATTTTTTCCCCGTCATTCACTTAATGGCTGATAAATTGACTCCTATTGACATTAATTAAGCAGAAAAAGGTCATATGATGATAATATCAATCACACTCTCACCATTTCTGGTTGTGTTACGTTTATAAATTTAATTTCGTATTAAATTTTTTCGAGATCATCAAATTAAATTGATTTACTTTTTGTTGCTGTTGAATTTTGAAAGTTGATTTTTTTTACGAAAAAATGCAGTTTTTGGATGAATCTTGTTATTTAAGTACAGATTTTTTCATTTATTTTAACACAAAAATGGACATTTAAATTGGCAAATTTCTTACGAATTTAAAACTTAATTTATCATTCATTAGTGACTGTCTATACAAATATTTAGGATGAATTCATCACCTTATTGACAGATGAATACCTCGAATCGTTCATCACTTTCTTTAAATAAAGAAGTTTAAGACATCTTAATTAGGTATTTGATGAATGTCTCCGACTCAATTTGGGCATAATTTCACTAGAGCTATTATTTTCTCTCTTCAATATCATTTTTAATTTAGAAATTTGAGCTGATTTGTAGATTTTTTACTTGGATTGAAGCATGAGAAGAAGTGATGAAGATTTAATTAAACTAGCATTGGATTTTTATGGCATTTCAAAAATATTATATTGATTTACGTGAGACCTGATACGTTCAATTCATGTTCGACAGACTTATCGAAAGTCTAGGGGTGTTTTAATATGCACGTTCGAAAAATTTAAATTTGAAAAACCGTTACAATTTTTTGTTATTTTATTCAAGTTTTTGATAGTTTTGAAAACAGATTTAGTTATATTATGCTTATTATCAAATGATAAAATAATATTTTCATCAAAAATTCATGAAAAAATTGCTTAATTTAAGTTTTTATTTTTTCCTCATTTTCGAAAATTTGGAACTGCAGGGTATGAAACTTCGAATTTTGCATCGCAGACAGACAAATAAGACATTTTTGCAAGTGTTGTTGGAAACTGTAACGGTCGAAACTCTTGAATTGTTCGTATCAGCGTGAGACGAGAATTTATTTAAGTTTCAAAAGTGAAGCTTGGGAAATTTTTGGAAGTAATGAAACATCCAAAAAGGTAGTAATACAACATTATCTTAATCACATCTCTTGAATTGACTCAAGTGTCTTATAAAAACTTAAATATGAGGCAGCTTATCGTGTATTACATATTAGCAAATAAGTCCAAACTAATTTGTTTGTTGTTGAATTGGTATTAACCTTTGTATGCAAATTGGTTGGGAATTTAAAGTATTTTGCAAATGATCTGGAAGTATTGAATTAAAATTTAATTCACGAATTGAAATCTTTGTTTTGATCATTGAGATTTAATGTCTTGAATTGAAAATTGTGAAAAATAAGGTTCGAAAATACCAATTAATGTCTTAAATTCAAACGTTTTTTTTAGGAAGAACAGTTTGTATGCAATACTTTAGGTCAGAAATGCTCTATAACCACACCCAGCACTTCTCTAGATTTTCTCTAGATCTATTTTGTTTCATATTTTGTCAGGAATTAAAAAAAATTTAAAAAAATGTTCAGAAACCTCAAATTGGAAGTATTAAAAACTAAAACATCAATTTCCCTTTAAAAAGACTTTCCATAAAATAAATAAACAGATTCTCACATCTCAGATTTTGTCTATGATTTTCTCTTATTCCTTTTTTTCTTGCTTTCGTTATTTCTAGCTGCTCTGCTAATTCAACAGATTTACAACTTCGTTTTGTTTTCTTTTCTTAATCCTTCTTTACGTCTCACAGACACTACTTTATACTTTGCTCTCCTTTCCGTCTTATCACTTGTGCACTTTCTTCTTTTAATTTAAGCTGCTTTATAATCACAAAAGTCTCGTCTCTTAAATGCAAAATTATGCACACAGTTGGTGATTATTTTTATGCAAATTATTTCCTTAATGCACTTTTAAAATTTTCTAGGATTTACAAATTTCATGTCATACAGCGCTTGAAGAGGATTATGTGTCTCACTTGTAGATGATCATCAAGTTATTTTCATGTGATTCACCGCTTAGTAATTTTTAATCTTTTCGTCACATAAACACAAATTATCTCCAAAGAGTCACTGAATTCGCAACTTTTATTGCTAGTTTTAGTAAATAGCAAACTTCAACCAAATATAGCTCGCACAATTTGCAGCACGATAAAATAGAAGAGACAAAACAAAAGCAATTTTAATTTATCGTTCATTTTTTTTTTGCTTATCAAGAACTTAAAAAAAAATTAAATTAATGACTTGACAAAATTTCCGTTCAATCAATTGAAATAATTGACATTCATCCGTTCTTATTCTTATCAATTTATTCACAAATTATATTATTGCTCAATTAACGACAAAATAATTATTTTGATGTCACACATAAATCCATACACTGATAATTAACAATAAAAAGAAGCCAATCCCTCGCACTATCGTCACTTCGGTCTCTGTTATCAAAATTTAATTGAAATCAAACACTTTTGTACTCAAATCTGAACCATTCGACTTTTGAATGAAAACTGAAATGTGGAAGTTTAAACAACAGAAAAACAACAAACTCCGGTGTGTATAATATGCAGTGGTGTATATGGAGAGTATGAGAGGATGGTGAGAGAGATACAAAACAAAAAAAAAGAAATATTAAAGTAAAAATTCATTTAACAAACATTTAGAGCTTGAGAATTCGTGACAAATATCAGAGAGATATTTTCGTGTGTGTGAAATAATATAAAAAAAATTAAATGTTTTGAGACTTATTGACTAACGATAAGTGAGCAAGAAAAATGTTGTAAGTTATAAGAAATGGAAATTAAATGACTCATTAAGTATTTTCTAAGAATTTCTGTGTTTCACAATCGTTAATTGAGCAACTATAAGGAAGTTTCACTTCTGATATTATCAGATATGTACCGTGACTGTCAACGGAAGGAGATTCAATGAATGAAGTACTCTTGACATATTTATTTATAGAATGATTTACATTTGTGAACTTGTGATGCTATCTAGAATATTTATTAAAAAAATTCGACTGATGTGACTCGAAGGTGAGAAACTTTTAATGCAATCTCTTTACTGTCAGGAGACTGCACCACATTTGATACTGAAACTCATAATAATTTTTAAATTTATGACATACATTCACTTTCTGACACGAAAATAATTATAATAATTCTGAGAAATGTGCTTGTTAATTAAGGTTTCATAACAAAGTTCAATATCGTTTTTCTGAAAATTTTTATCTTATCAACTTTAGGCAGAAATGTCTTCTCAAAATTTATTGCATTAGATTTGCAATCGCAAAGCACGTGCAAGATTCAGAGAATTCTGATTTGATATATTTGAGCTTTGATGTCTGTTATAGATTGCATAAATTCATTCAAGTATAGTCTTGTTCGAGAATTCAGATTTATTTGTAGCACAGTAGAGTTTTGAGGCAAGTTTTAAGTAGTTGTGGTGTAGCAATGAGGTCCAAAATGTTGAGCTGAGACAATTGTGTTGATCTGTCAAATGATTTATCATTTACTGGTGTCTTGATGGCGATGGCACAGTAATCGTTGTCATGTCGAGTTGGTGCAATCAGATTGACTGTTTACTTCCGATAAACTAGGCTCAGACATTCGAAATATTTCATTCATCACTCAGTTCCAACAAACTACTAAATTATTCAATTTAAACAATACTTCTGCCTGAATATCATTTATAAAATGAACCGATTCTCCCCCAATTCTTGAAAATAATTCTCTCAATTTAAATCACTTAAAAAAATACAAAAAAGAAGAAGCAAAAACTGCAACTCGTAACTTATCCTGCAAATATGTGCGTCAAATTAAAAAAGGTTAGAAGGGAAGTACCTTTTTGCCATCTTCATTCTTAAGAAAGTTTGCAACAATAAATTCACATCTGTCTTCTCTGACTCATATCTTATTTTTTCACCTTTTTGATTCATAAATAATAACAACAATACCAAGAGAGTATCTCACTATAGTAACCAACCACGTGAGTCATTCTCTCTTCTCTTTATAGTTGCTGTACCATTTCCTCTTCTTAACATTCTCTTTCAACGTTATCTTGTTGGTCTCATATTCTTATTACTCATTCATTTCATCTCTATTTATCCAGCGAATTCCAATTAATTTATTTATTTTTTCGCAATTTCATTGCCGGTGAGACATGATGTGCAATTAGTAATTCAATAATATTGTAATAAAAATACCTAGACAATGGAAATACAAATGTTGAATAGATGTATTCTGAATTGAGTAGCAAATTAAGCAAATGAATGAATCATGATAAATGTTAATGTAGGTAATGATGTTCATTAGTGCTGTCATTATAGCTGTTTGCTACTGTTGATATATGCACTATGAAAAGGTCAAAAGATCTAAAAATATTCCTAATTTGGATGATATGATCCGATATGACTAAGGATTTAATAAAAAATAATTTTTTGGACTGACTTGAATGGCATTTAAAGGTTGATCTAGAACTTTATAGAGGGGGGTCAGAATCCCCCCGTTTATTACCCAAACTATAACAATGATGGCACTGCTAACGCTCATGCTAATCTTCAATGTAATAATCTTCTTAGTGGGTTCATAACATAAAATTTTATGTTCGTTTAATTAAATTAAGTAAAATTCTACAAAACATTGTCTCAACTATCGCTGTGCTGTGTCTTTCACCAGAAGTAATTATGATTACTCATGAATGCAAAGTGGCCGTGTTCAACAAGAATACAGCAAACAATGTGGAAATTTCTCTTGTGCGTTATTACGGCTTATTTTTTCGTGTCTTTCATCATTTCTTGCAATATTTGCAAATACATGAAAGTAGGCAGTAACAGACCATAAACTTCAGTCAGTGTCGCACTTGAAGACTAATTTATTAGGCGCATATTGTCTGCTGCGCATATTATGAATTGCATTGTTAATGACAAAGATAATCTTCTATGAAATTTGTTTTTGTTTATGTTGTATTTTGGCAGAAATTATTATGCATAAATACGTGCGTCATGGACATCGACAGGAATTCCAATGAATAGTTTTTCTTATTGACTGTTTGCAACAAGCGTTATTATGACTTCGAGTATAGAATATGTTATGAATCAGCAGGCAAAATATTAATTGTATTGGAACATCATGGAATTATTGATGTTTTGAGGGCAATAAACCTTTTTTCTGGGCCCTCAGTTCATGTACTGATCTACTGGTTGTTAGCACGATAGCAATTTGATACACTTCAAGTCTTACCTAAAGTATACCTTTGAATAACATAGTTTGAAAATTAAATCTTATTAACCATCAAAAGGGGCTCATTTGATCGTAAACTTCTTTAATATAATCAATTCCATTATACTTCCTATTTGTGCTATAAAAGTTACTCTAAACATTATCAAAATGATTATTTCAGTACTAAAAACTGTCGTCATTAAATCACAAAATTACTTATCCATAATTATTTCACAATGAACTAATTTAATTGCTAATAAAATGTCATGTAAAGCACGTCAGTACCCTTGTCAATAGAATAATTCTATAGTAAGTCATTTCCTTAAAATTATTACGAGAATTGTGAGATGGGAAAGGAGAAGCAAGGGCACAATTTATGCATCCACATGCATGCATTCGTGCATTCATTCATAAACTATATGCACCTAACACAAACTTCCTCAATTATGAATTAACACTATGCCGATACGAACATAAACAAACATACATGCTTGTGTAAAAAGTAGCATCAACAGTAATGTTCATAATCAGTTTGTAAATGGTGCTAGTGAATGAAATGCGGAGAAAATAATAAAATTCTGTGGAATATAAACAAATTTAATAAGAATGTGTAAGTTCAGATAGATTGCATGATAAAATAGAGGCAGTGGCGCAAAACTCTTGTTTATATGATTCATAATGAGCTATGACGGAGATGGAACGATAAAAATTTGTAAAAATGCAGTAACGAATGACTAAAAGGCATAAAATAATTCAAAAAGAGAGAGAATATGTTCATAGCAGCTTAACTGGAAATTATTAATAATGCATAAGAACTGATATCATAAATATTATCATATTACAAGCCATGTGAGCAAGCGCTTTATAATATTTGGCGGTAAAAGGACTACAATATGAAGCGAAAGGATGGAGGAGAATTAATTTCGGATAAAACACATGTAAACAAATGTTTGAGATTTATGAGCGTCATCAGATTTCCTCTTATTGCTTCACTTGATGCTGCTTCTGTCTGATTTATGTGATGCATTTTTGAAAATAATTTGTTTATTTTTAAAATTGAGAATTTTTGGCAGTCTACTGAATGTATTGAATTATGGTGAGCTGAAGTGTTATGAAGAGAAACAAAGCTTTAAAATCTACCTTTGTTGAGCTGAAAATCTCACCATTGATGCAGCGCTTTAGTTCTTAATTGACCTTGGACAACTCTAGACTCAACAAAATTCATAATACTGAAGTCAACCTTTTGTAGGCTCCACCCGAGACCTAGCAAAGACTCAACATAATACCTTAATTATGACCAGGACAACACCGAGCAACCAGCCTAATAAATCAAGTGCACAGAAATTTTACAAAACATTTTTCTCACAAAACATTCAAAAAGTAAAATTCAATTATTCAAATCCATCCAACTGCTCAAAAATCAGCACCAAAAAAATTCTTCCACGATGCTACATCCCATTAATGCAGACGACACTGTCTACAGAATTTAAATCTCAACAATGTTTCATTTAATTTAATTTGCCACAACATGACATTGCAAATGTATCTTTTATGACAATCAATTAGAAATATTTTAAGCAAAGGCTGACATTTAGTGCATCTTGAAGTATGAGAATCTCTGCACATCCGAATTGCCAAAAAGAGGAGTATACATAAATATCATGGAAACACATATGGTGCATCTGTTGAATCGCTCAGATCATTAAACATGTGATATTAAAAATTAAATGAACGTTGTGCAAAATACAAATTTTTGCTATAAACTTTTTAGGAACAACATTGAACAAACAATGATTTGGCATCCGTACCTAACCGCTACATTGCATTTATGAGTTTTGCTCTTTACTTCCTGTGTGTGATGCAAGTTGTATACACAAAAGGGGAATAAGAAATATTGCCAAGAAAAAATAAAATCAACAGATTTATTCTCATTTCCATAATTTAATTGTGGATGTACGAAGGAAAGATATGAAAAATGAAGAACAAGAAATTAAATTATTTTCGTGACTTATGGAATGCATTTTAGATGCTGAGAGGGAATTAGCAAGAAAATATTTTGATAAGAAACTTCATTCTTATAAGCACAAAGATTATGAGCGTGGTTTAAGACTCAAGTGTCGGATGAACATTAATTTTTAACGAAAGTGAAGAGAAAAAGTTGGAAAAATGAACAAAAGAAGTTTGGATGGAAGTTGATTCTGTTGGGAATCATCGCGCATTAATAAGTTAACCTGTTTTTTAAAGGACATTAAGGCAGTTGTTCTTTAAAAATTAAACGTGAAAATTAGTGACAGGAAATTAAAATTTTGTATAGAGAAACTCAAAATCTTTGATAATCAAGACAGAACAACCCAAAAAACGATAGCTTCATCATCCTTACAACATACTGAACGTAAAAGGAGAAGATTTTTGAGTTAAAAAGCTTTAAATTCTTGTTAATTTTATTTTTATCACAATGGAAATTTTTCCACTTCCTCTCCATGTCTGCATTAAAATTTTGTATCCATACAACATTCATGGAAGAAAATCCATATGCCATATATTTTATAATGAAATTTTATTCCAAAAAAATTGAGATTTTCATTCATTAGGTTTTAATATTCTTAAATTATTTACATTGCGTAAGGTTCAAGAAACTCGTGAGAAGAAAAGTTCCTTCTTCAGGAGCAGTAAATCTTCATGACATTAAGCATGTTTGCAAGCACTCATTATATTTTATGACTCTTTAGGAAAAATCTTTGAAAATTGTGTGAAGATGAAGATTTAATGTGATTAATTTTTTAATGCTCACTAATTTAGATTAATTTACTAAATTGAATAAATTAACGAAATTTTCAATTTAATGACTTTCACTGAGATCAGTTACATAATTCATTTCAAATGAAGATAAATCCACAATAAATTAAAATATTGTCAAAGGTCAAATACGTTAAATTCAATATAAAAATGCTCTTTAAACTGATAAAATTGAATGAATAGCCTTCGTGTAAGTTCAAGTTTCCCATAAGTAATGTTACAGCAATCCAGCCTATAATTTCAAATTAGCAACTTACTTATTTATGAAATCACATGAATAAGCAGAAAATTGCAAAGAAAATAGTGGCAATTTAACGTTTCATTCACAAATCATTGAGCATTTTTTTAAAGCTGTGGAAATAAAACAAAGAACCAGTAAACAGTGTCCACTGTAACAGTCATGGTTCGATTATATATAATCGACAGAACATTCATATATTAGTGCCGTAGTAGAATCTTTCAGTGCAATAATAAGACATTTATAGCCTAGTAGTTTAGCATCAGACCGATTTGTGTTGACGTGAGTTCGATTCCCATTAGAATTCGATCTTTCAAACATTGAGAGAAAATTAAGTGGTTAGCTATAGAAAGCTACAGATGAAAACAAATGATCTTGAAGCTCTCCACGAGTAAAGCTTTAATGAGAAGAAAAGATTCTCATACAAACATGCGCAATGGACTCAATTGGAGCGAGTCAGCATGCAATTTTATGCATCACCACGTGCTTCTTTATTCACTCAAATGCCGATTTTATTTTCAAAAAAAATCAGCTGATAATTGAGAGAGTGCTGAGTACTGACGCGCGGGTGAGAAAAGAAAATTGAGAAGAGAAGTTTTTTCGAAAATAAAAAAAAATTTCTTCACATTCATTCACATCACGACTTCACATCAGTTGCAGCTTTGATTTCGTGCCATGCAAACGTACTTTTAGATCAGTTCCTATTAAGAATCTATTCTAATCAGTGTTGAATTATTTTTTAAAAAAATTATTTTTAATTGTGTGGTTGAAAAAAAATTATTGAAATAAATTGTTTGAGTCGATTGATAAGCGAGCGCGGAATCGAATTATGAATTCTCAATCAATATAGGAACAAAATTGTTCTTATCAAGCTATAAATATTTGTGAAGTATTTTATTACTCATATGAAGTCATACAACATGCACTATTTATGACAACAGATAAAACAAAAGTGAATATTTGATGTGATTCCTTTGAATTGTCTTGTGTATCGCACATATATAAAAATTTATATTCAATGAAATAAAATAAATCAGTGAAATAAAAATGTTTTGACAATTTCATTGAATGTTAAAATTATTCAGTGAACAATTTAACTCCTTGTGAATCGTTGCCGAAATCAAAATAAAAATTTATGAAAAGGTGATAAACGCTGCTTTTTAAAAATTAATACGTGGAAAAATTCTGAAATCAGAGAAATTTAATATTACTGTTCATGGATGATTTGTTGGTGACAATTCAATTTTCCGAGAAAATTTAATAAAGTTTTTCGCCTTTCAACCTGTTGTTTTCATCAAGTGAGACAATTTGGCACTAATTAAGTTTTTTTTTGTGATTCGGAGAAATTTCTTTTGTCGCTCCTTTATCAATTTATCCCACATATTTTGGGTCATCTTAAAGCAATGTCTGCTAAACTGTGGGCTGCTCAGATGTGTTAATTTAGGAATGACTGGAATTATTAAGCGTTAAAATCCTTAAAAGGCATTTCGATGCTTTTTCAAAAAATTCAGTTAAGATAATAAAGTGAACGTTCTTAGTTGCATCCTTAATGCCACTAATTGTATTGATCTGTCCAATTCATCAACGAATGCTCATTAAAGGTCACGAGTGTCAATTTTAGATACATTTGCAAAATAGGATTAAACTTTTGTGTGTACAAAATTTTTGAAACTCTTATAAAAAATAAAAATATATAATTTCACTCAAAAGATTCCTTAATTCATCCATAGCCCAAAAATATTAACCAACCACAACCCTAATCCCATCAAATTATTCAAAAATAATTCTTAACGGCTTGTTTGTTAGCAGAGGTCATCGACTAGCCGATCATAATTTATTCATGAGTTTATTATCAAATCCTCATGCTTAACGCTCATAAAAATTTATTTGACTCCGAAAAAAAATCATAAAGACAACAATTTTTTTATGTCACAACAAGCGCTTGTGCTAATTTTTTGTGACTTTTATGTTACTGCGTAATCTATCCATCATAATCTTGTAATGATAATTAATTGGACACAACACACAGTTCACATAATTTAATGAACCTAATATTATTTATAGAGACATTCCAACGTCCTGTCTATGTGTGTTCTATGGTCACTTAATTTTATTACGATTTTTTTTCTCGATCAAATAAATTTACGATGTAAACTTTTTTTGCATTCAACCAATAAATATTCAATTATGCACATAAAAAGTTTCTTCAGTTGAGAATTGTCATATGGATTACGAATAAAATGTGACATTAGTTTTTCAACAAATTTTACTACATCGACTTAGTCAAAATGTTTTGGTTGTAAGTTTGAATGCAGTTCTGAAAGATTTTTACGACTCTCGACTTCTTAAAATTTGTTCATAAAGCAAGTAAGACATTGTTCGGTTTCAATTTACTAAATTTGCGGTTTTATTTGTTCAAATATTTTTCAAATCATTTGATACTGCTCATCTAGTTTGCTCCCTCCAATTAGATTAATTGCGGTCCCTTTTCAATGATGAAATTAAAATATTAAAATGAAATTACGTCATGTGCGAATATTTCCGGTGTCATTTTTAATCAATTATTTTTAGCTTCCCAAATAAATAAATTCAACCCCGGATTTTTTTTTGTTTTCACAAAATTTATTTCAATGTGTAGTGTTTGCTTGTTACTGTTCCTAGGTGGTTATTAAAATAATTACAAAGAGAAGTAATCAAATTAAATAGTGAATATTGTTTCCTTGTTTCCACTTGAAACTTGAGCTTACAATTAATTTTCTCCTAAAGATTACATATTTTTGAGCCAACCGCAAATTCAATTGCGATAGTTCATATTATAGCCTTGAAAGTAAGTAAGCATTTGTACTAGTTTTCCCGAAAAATAATTCTCTAAAAACAAAACCTCAACACCAGACATGTTGAAAATATAGAAAAAGTTGTGCTTATACAGGAAATTATTTATATTATGGATCTAAAAAGAGAAAAATTTATTGTGAGAAATTTTATATGAACTCTAGGAAAGAGGATGCTAAGCTGTGTGCTGCGGTACTTTTGAGTCTCAAAAAAAAAATCTAATTTGCATTTCAAAAAATCTGAATTGTCAATTTATCAAGAGTAAGGACAACAAAGTATGCGTTTAAACCATTAAGTATCAAATTTATAGCTCTCTTTACGCTCCTTATCACACAATTTGAGAACGACTGCTCTAGACCATATTTACTGAAACTAAATATTCCTTTCACATGTTCTTGAAAATAATAAGAGTATTTATAGAAATTATTAATGAATTGAAATAATTTTGAAAACTAATTAGAATGCTAGTTGAAAACTACATCCAGAAACATTGATAGCTTTGATTTTCCAGATCATTTATAATTCAATTACAACCTCATTATAATAATTGAGATTGAAATTTTAAGAAAACGTGCACAAGTAGTTTCTATAATTATCTAGATTATAGCTGCCAATAACATCTATATTTTATGTTATTGTAAATTTAAATATCCATAACAAAATTTCGTCCTAATTTTTTAATGTCTAGCGTAAAATCATAATTATCTGGTTTTTGAAAAAATTGTGAGTCACTTCATCAATATGACGCAAATTTTTAATTTTTCAAATATTGTAAGTACGTCAAAATATTAATAAATATCCTCTCGAAAAATTATTCTTACGTCATTTTCATTCAAAAAAGAATTTTAATGAAAAAGTTTACAAATAAAAACTGTTTTTTCCACCTACTTAGTAAAGGCTGGAAGCCTCAATAACATTGTTTTAAATCCACTTCACGTGCTATATCAGTTTAGTCGAAAATGAATCAAATAAAAGTTTTCAATAAAGACGATTAAGATTGCTAATCATTTTGTGAAAAACAAGATCAAAACTGTTTGTTTATAGCAGCAAAAAATGTGAGTTTTTATTCTTTTCTTTTTCGGGCAATTGAATGTGTTTTCATTCGAATTTTAAGAGCATAAGTTTCGCCAATAACGTTTGGCGTTTAATATTAACGATATTGATAAGTACTTATCTGTGTGTGAAAATCACCCAACTGAGAAAAATTCTAATAATTTTATCGCTCATTTTCCGCGTGTTACAGAACGCACATCTCGTTAAGCCATCACAATATTTTGATATTCAATTTGAAGACTAAAAAAAAAAGCTGTAACACAAATATTTACTTTAACATTAATTGGAAAATTAAAAAGAAAATTTTAACGCCAAAATTTCTGCGCTTCTGTTTTTCTATCGTGTGTGAAGAATGAAAGAAGAAAAAAATATTTTATCGTCTATGGTGATTTTCCTCTCATTTAAGCATGTTTTTTGGAGAAGGAAGTTTAAATTTGTTTCATTTCTAGTGACAGGTTGGCCATGTCATTCTGGAGGTAAACAAATATTTTGATAAAGGCCAATTTGTGGGTTTTGGTAGCTACGGTCTTTACTACGGTGATAAAATGTTTGTAGGTTTGTCTAATTTGATCAGGATATAATCCTTTACAATGGTCTACAAAAAGCGCTCTTACCCTTCTGAAAATTAATTTACTCATCATCTTCATCTAGTTTGTTCCTCATTTTTTACTGTGTGTTATTTTACATCACACGATTTTTCATTTTTGTGTGTTATGGAAAATTATATATTTTTTGTTTTTTCGGGTTTTCTTTGATTATTTGACAGCGAGGCAAGACAAAATTTACATGCGAGAAAAAAAAGACAAACTTCTTTAATAGTCAGGCAGTTCATTGACACATCTTTATAAAAGCACTGTCATAATTCATCATATTTAACTTCCACTATGACTGCAGCATGATGTTCATTTCTAGTTAATTTATCCAAGACTTTTCAAAACTATGTCACTAATTCATTCCTTCATATTTTTCCATCAACCGTGAATTATGACACGTGCGAACTACTTTTCGAAATTTTTTTCCTTGTTCTTTCATCTGTTCTTTTTGAATTTAAATTAGGTAATTAAAAAGTTTAAGACGGTGTGCATTCTCACGTTTTTATGGCTCATCAAGATGTCATTAAAGTTTTGGTTTTTTCAATGACTGAATTTAAGGACTTTGTGTGAAAATGCTTATCATTAAACTCCATAAGTGATATGGAAGGAGTTTAGAGTTACCCGAGGTTTCAGTTTGTGAAGAACGTCATTTGCGATAACTTTCTCGGTTCAATTCACTTTAAGCCTTTCATTAACAATTTATATTAAATTTTAATTTATTGCTTGGAATTTTTCCTTAAACGAAGATACAAAATATCTTCGAAATTCCTATCAAGTTTATATTAAGTCTTCAATTGAATTGTGTTTTGATTTTCTGAAGAATTTCTCATTTAATAAAGTTTCACGGCAATTAGACTAATGCAATGTGCTTCGAATCTTCTCGAAATATTCTACAAATGATGTTTTAATTAGCATAAAACATTAAATGTTCCACACTTTCTACACACAACTCTCTCAAGTGCCTACAAATATCAGCCACTCAAGGCTCATTTCCTCTCGCATTTCGCAAAACGATATAAAAAGTTTATTGACCTTAGAATAATTTGATAAAAAGCAAGAGTGAACCTTAGAAACAGCACACGAACATTTAATATTATTTCTCGAGTTGAAGCCTCCCTTAGCTGTAACTTTCCGCTCCGTACTCAATGCTATGAAATTAATTTTTCAAGGAAAGAGAAAATCATGCAAAAAAAGGAAGCAGATTCACTGAAACTAGTTAAAGATAAAATAAGGCAAAAATGCTAGCTTTGTAGCAGATGAGAAACAAGCGCAATTTTATTTTAATAATCATTTCCATAGAATTTGTAGTATCTCATTTCTGTTAAGGAACATTATGCAGAAATGACCAACTTTTTATTCTCAACATGACATTAAAGGCATAAATATTTCTCAGGAATCCCACGAAATTCACGATAAGGAAATAAAGACTTACTTAAATCTTTTAAATAAGTGTGGCACGGTACTAAATTCTACGAAGCTTGCTGCCAACAGATTTTGCCATATTGAAAAAATTGAATTTTATTCACCGAACTCTGCTAATACTTTACAGACAGACAGCAAATGGATAAATTACTTTAAGGAAATGAGAGGAAATTTTTCGGAAGTCATTTTAAAGATAGGAATCACATGAGTGAACTCGAAATGTTTCCATTTTCATTCACGATCAAGTCAGAAATGTAGCTTGGATTTCGAGCCCCCAATTAAGATTAAAACTTAAATCCGAAAAACAGGACTCTTTGAGAATTAAGATCCCTAAACTAGAAAAATTTCTAGCTACACCCCTGAAAGTAGTGAAGCACCGATATTGACCATTGAGAACTTAAAGTGAAGTGTCTTTAATTTGCATGCAAATAATCAGATTAAACTTTTTCTTCTCATCTCATCCGAGGCAAGAGCCAAGAAACAAAAGAAGGAAGAGAAGAAGAAAATTAAAATTCAATTTTCATTTTCATCTCATTGATTTCAATTTTCATCTTCATAGTTGCGTGTAGTGATTCTGGATTTTATCAAAGAAAAATTTATGTACAATGAGAAAAATTAAGATGAGGAAAACTCAGGTTTAAAAATTTATTTTTAGAACGTTCAAAGTAAAGTGGAAAAAATAATAACTTTTTTTTCTTTCAAAGAGAATCTATCTGGATTTTTGTATGCGTCAAGAGCAAGTTCCAGTCATTTTCACACTACTGGGTTGACTACACAGGAAGAGGATTCTAGAATTTTATTAGAGAAACATATAAGTTGGCTTATTTTTGTTTTTGATCTTTACGGTATTTATAATAAACATAATGATGAGGTTTTTATGAATACTTAAGACTGTTTGTGAGATGAACAGATGTGCGATTCTTAACCTCAAACTAAGTTTGAACGCTACTTTAGAATTGTTCTATGCATTCAAAAATTGATTGTTGTCACTAGTAAACCGGGCATCTTAACAATCGCCTTGCTCTTTTAGAAAACTATTTATCATTCTGGTTTCTAGTGTTTTAAATTCACGCAAAGTTTTGTTTTACAAATTGAATTCTTGATCATAGAAAATCAATTGTCAATGTGCCTTAAGTTGAATAAAAATATTCCGTACGATAAGATTGAGAAATACAATTCTCAGCGGAAATGTTTTTTTTTTTAATAAAGTAATCAAAATATCAATAAGAACTCTAATCATTATAAAAATAATCCACAAATCGACAGGAATAAACGCGAGGTTAAAGGTGTTCATCGACATAACTCATCTCAACAATAACACGAATGAAATAATTCGTATTGAACATCTACAAAACACCGCGCAGCGATTAAATAACACAAATCAATCGTTAATCAACACATGGCAGATTGGAACAACAACCTCACTTTAATTTTTATTACTCAATTTTCATTTTTCGGTGTAGCTACCTAGACATTGAAAATTTTCATCTCACTCATCCCATATGATCTAAAAATGGATCATTAATTACATTTTCATTTCAGCAGTGAAAATGAGCCGTAAATAACGACCAGCTATGAAATCAAAAAATACTGTGGTATATGTATACATATTTAAACGACTTCGTCAATAAGTGAGAAATTCTTTCTATCTAATTAAGGCAAGGGGAGGCAAAGGGGTAGCCTAAGGGTATGAGTCCGTTCTTTTTTGAAGCTTAACTCTTTTATTTGCTGGAAAACCCACTCAAGTTCATTCGTACAGCCTCCACCCCCTGCTATCCTAGCTGCGTCCCTATAAAGATCGAATAACATTAGCTGAGAAATTCCAATTGAAAATCTTTTCCATCAAACTGTGAAAATTGAAGACTATTCTATTTACATTCCAGATGCTCATGAGTTGGCGTTAAATAAAGGAAAAAAAGTGCAAATATTATTATTATTTCTCAAAATTTTTCGGCATTTGTAGATGAAACTCTTTGAAAAGAGCCGTAAACTAAGTTTTAGTTTATATTTTACTGCTTTGGTTACAAAATTGCAGTGATCACATAATTTTTTGAGTATATCCATCATAAACTATAACAAACATGATGTTTATTTTGCTATTAAAATATGAATTTTCTCGAGAACAGCAATCTCATCCAGAACTCAATATAAAATTGAATCATCCTCAAAAGATGCATTCTCGTCTCATATTTGCGTCCGAAGAAAGATGAGAAAGCTTTTACTACTTTCGAACTGACAAAAAAGGCTTTAAATTGAATAAAAAAGAAAGATCCATTTACAAGAGCATTTTTCATGGCTATAAATTTTACTCATTTTTTATGTGAAAAGAATATCCTTTATCTTTTTTGTCTGGTGGTTTTTAAAAGAAAGGAATAAAGGATTCTCATATAAATTACACAACAAGATACGTAGATCTTTTACTACAATGATAAACTGGAAGAATTCAATTAGATCCAGACACAGTTGGTACTTTGATGATGATCATGACAAAGCGGAAAGGACGGTTGAGTTGCTAAAGTATAAAAATCTGTCTAAATGTAGTAAGTTTATGTAACACTAATGATGCAATTTATAAACGACATTAATGAGATGATGATAACTCATCAATTTAGTTCAAGAGGGTGGAACACTAGTTTAGAAATTCCTCGCAAATGTCGACATGGAAGAGGAGGTGAATTGTTTGATGATGCGGCAAATTTAAATGGAAAACTGATTATTGAATTTGAGGGGAATTAATATCGGTATTTTATGTTCTTTAACAATCAAGAGGATTTTTGTCAGTCTGGTTTATAGTTTATATCAGGTTATGACCTAAGAACCACATGTAATTAACTTTATCAGGACGAAGTAAAGACCACTGTGGCATTGACTATTGAAAAATTGTAGGTTCAAAACTCAGCCATTAGATCGATCATAGGTGATCTTTTCATAGAACATAGCATGAATCTACAAGATTGGGAATCCCAAGAGAGCAAAATCAACCTCATTTCTTTGAAAAATCGCAACATTTTTCCACTAAATATACAAAACATCTTCATTTATCTTTAATAAAATTACAATCATCATTTTTATCTTCCGTCTTTTATCCTTTCATCGCTATTAAGCATAAAATCTAGATCAACATTAAAGAACATTTCCGCTGTGTTAATAAAAAGTGAAAAATCTTCCTCAATTCGTCTCTACATTGTAGCAATTTTTCAAGTCGTAAAATATAAAGCTTATGTCCACAGAATTTAAAGCTATAAAAAAAGAAAGAGACGTAAGATGATGAATGAAATTTACCGCAAATGTTGCTATTAAACGTTACTTTTGACGCTCATTTATTGTCTATAAAATGACTATTTTTCTCAGATTTAATACACACTTTTTTCCCAAATTACACGCGACATTCACGTTCATTAGGAAAGAAAATTTGCGTAGTCGGCTGTTAGTGACATCAATATTATAGACATGAGAATATTAACTTTATTACTAACCTATTTATCTGAGATTTTCTTCGCCTTGAACTGTGAAATTTGTGACGAATTTTTAATTTTCTGTTTGTCTATATTGATTTTATATCTTTACCGAAATAAAATTTTAACAGATGTTGGATATAAGAGAACGAATATGATGCAAATGTTGCTATTTTACTATAAAATCTCCAATAAAACACGAAATCCTCGAAGCAGAATGTAATATAAGTCTAGCGAAATTTAATCCAATGAAATATATCAAATTTTCAAATAAAATATCAACTTCATGATTCAAAAGTTGACAAAAATTAAAGCAGCAAAAATGAAAATACTTTAAAATTAAATTTCCTGAATTATTCTACTCTTGTCAACAACCTGAAATTTATACAAAAAAATATAAAAATTTATATTGTTTTTTTTTTTTCATTGAAAATGTTTGCAGCATTCAACATTCGAGGAAGGAACTCAGTGAAAATGAATACAAAGAGGGAGTGAAAATGTCTTTTTTGTGAACAAAATAAATTAAGTTACAAGTTTGAAAATAATCTTGAACATTTCATAACAGCTTAGCAACATCGTAAACTATATAATGATTAAATAAAAGTGTGAAAAGTGTTAACAAGCAACGATGTAACAAGAAGTTTAGTAAATCATGTTATTAATTTAAAACTTATTCATCACAAAGAGAAAAATACATCGGAAATAAAGCAGCGAAAAATGGATTTTAATCCATTTAATGACTATGAAGCACATGAGGACTATAGCAACCATACCATCCATATATCACCAGCAATCAATATCACAAGTGAGTTTCAAGGATGACAAATTGTCATAGCAATTTACACAATTCAATTCTCAATTATCTATAAAGTTTTAAACTTATTTCCAGAACATCCATACGAGAATTTATTCAAAGGCATTTCACCTGTTCTACTTTATTTTGCATCAGTATGTTGCGTCCTTTTTATGCTACTTGGAATACCTGGAAATCTCTGTACAATTATAGCACTGGCCAGATGTAAAAAAGTAAGTGAGGAAATCCATTGCAATTATTAAGCTAAGGGATTTTCCATGTGCAGCTTCTGTTACAACTTATTTAAAACAAATAAAAAATTCATCCTTGCAAAAAGTAGAGCAATTAACATACAAGAGCAGTTTACATAAGAAATTAATAGAATTTAATCGTAACTTGTTATGCCGCTCTAGTTCTCTTACAATGCTTTTAATGTGTTGCATTTAACAAATCTAGGAAGTAAAATAATTAACCTTCTGGTATCATAAAGTCAACTGAAGTCATACAAAACCCTGAACTTTTAATTGCATTACCTTTTTTTTGCAAACTCATCTAAAGTCCTTAATGTCAAAAACATTATGTCACAACTACAAAACCATAAACAGCACTAGATATGGCTTTTAAAATCAATTCAAAATCAGTAGAAAATGCAAATTTATTTGACATGTTTTTGTATTCATAGCTACAATATCATCAAATAAAACTTTTTCTGAATAATAACAAGTGAAATATGTAGAATGATCTGAAAAAGCTTAACAATAAATCTATCAAAATCACTCTTTTCTGTTGCAAAGCACACACTTTTGTCTCATGATGCCTTTTGTGTGATAGAATAAAATCTAGGACAAACTTTTTCTGTGCAATTATTTCAATTTTTTTTTGTGTGCGAGTTTATTTGGTTTTTCAAAAAAGGAATTCTCATATTGTCATGAAATGTTTTTGAGGATAACATGAAAAAAAAATATGCTGAGCAAGAAGATAATAGACAATTTCATTACTAAACACTAAATATAAATTCCTTTTATATTTTGGGCAGAAAACTAGTTTTTGATCGTGCTTCTAAGCAAGTAAAGATCTGGAGTTTAGAGTCTGATTATAAAGAGAATGTGAGGCTTTGTTTGGATAGTAATTTGTATGATAAGAGCAATTTTAAACTTTTTTCAATAGATGAAGTGGGAAAATTAAGGTTAATAAAAGGGTAGCTCATGTGTGACGTTAAAACAGAATATTTTGGGAATGTAAATTAATAATTTTTGTGATCCAGAGCACATAAGCCTACATTTGTGTACCTACAGTGTACCCCAACAACTAGGAATATGACAAGAAACCGGTACTAAAGACATATTCCAATAAAACCGATAAAATAAACATTTTAATTACTGCGCCATTTAAATAGAATAAAAATTTAAATTAGGGAAATTTAAATTAATTTCCAGAAAAGCTCATACATGAGTCAATTCCAAGAAGCCCAACAAGAACCGCCAACATAGCTCTCAACATGCAAAAAGCATTTGAAAACGCAAAAAAGCTTTTAATAGATATTGTAATACGCTTAATATTATCATAGCTCTTGTTATTGCTATTTTTATTTATGTTTATTTTTTTTCACATCCAATTAAGGCGCGTCTCATTTGACAAATTGCGACAGCTAAAGTGGCACTCTTCATTGTTAATATATGTTTACATTAGTTATGCTCTGAATTTAAAGGAAACAAATTAAAGCATTTTTGAATATTGAGCACAATTATTCACACAGTCAACATCCTGCTGAGTCACTAGCTATAAATTTTTATTTAGGTTGAGATTCAACCCCAAATATTTTCTTGATTATTTTACACATGCCTCTTTAAAATTTAAATTTATAGCCCTAGAATTACATTCAATTTGTTGTAACATCGCATAACATTCAAGGAAAAATGATGGCGCCTTTTGAGTTCTCCTTGAAATTTTTACAACTTCAGCATCATCGCAATCCTTTAAATCTACAATTGTTATAATAACAATAAACTCAACACTTAATTCCTTTTTTGCACTGCGTAAGAAATACATAAAGATTCATTTTAATAAGAGAACGATGAAAACAGATTTATAGGAAGTCTGCATAATGCTTTTTTAGACTAGCAATACAGCAATAAAGTGTCTTCTTAATGAATAATTTGTATAGAATTTTGTAGATGCACAATCATTTCTAAGGTTTAATCATTTCTTAAAGAAGCTGCTAAAGTACATGAATCTCGATTAATATAATCTTTCCTCACTTTCAGGTTCGAAATGCCACAGCAGTGTTTATCATAAATTTATCATGTAAGTAAATTTCCATCTCAACTGGCACAGTCCATAGAGACCAATAAAATGCTATCTCAATGAATGTGCCGCCAGGACTTTCTAATCCCAAAAGTCTTTTATGTATCAATATAAGAAATTTTTTTCAATTACAGGCTCAGATTTGCTCTTTTGTTGCTTCAATTTACCACTTGCGGCAACAACATTTTACTATAGAGAATGGGTTCATGGTGAGTTGAGTCTGATTGTATTATTTTATGCTTGCTAGTGAGGATATACATACGTTATGATTACAAAGTTCGTATTCTTTGTGCTAAGATAAATGAAACATATTATTGATTATGCTAGAATGATTTTCAAAAAGCATCAAGTTATCTCCATTGTGAGGGATGTTCGGGAAGGGATTGAGCTTTTTCGATCATAGAAAAATGATATGAATAATTTTGAACAGTCCAGATGACACCTTTAAATAGCTATTCAATCTGTTCACCAAATACTATAAGTCTCAATCTAGGAATAAGTCTTAAATAAGTCTTTTAAGTTCATATCAAATTTACTTTCAATAAAGTTCTTCCAGAAGTGCTATAAAAAAATCTATTTTTGATTATTCCTTCCTCAATATTATTTATACTGCATGCATCATTCATAACTTTTCAACATATTATGTGTCTCCCGAATACTGAAAGATTTTGTAGAGCATCATAAATTTTTTTAAGCTTCTCAATCCTAATAGCAATCATAATCCACTTTACTATATCATACTTTGTCACCAAAACGTATCGATTCATGTGAATTCTGAAAACATCTCTTTATAGGTGAGATTATGTGCCGTTTATTTCCCGTACTTCGATATGGATTGGTAGCTGTATCACTGTTCACAATACTAACAATAACTATAAATCGTTACATCATGATTGGACATCCACGAATTTATCCTAGGTATGTATCGAATTAGATTAGTTTAGGCATGAAAAGAGGCTTCAACAAGGGTATTAACGCTATTCTAAGGTTGATTTTTTATCAAAGGTCTATTTACATAAATCAATAAACGACTTATATTGATCCTGTATTGCTCTGTTGCTGATCAAAGATCTATTTTTACACCCTAAAAGTCGTCATCGTGTAATAAAATACTTTCTATGTAAATCATCGATAAACTGGACTTTCAACAGACGATCTGTAAATTTACTTTATAACTCAATTCAAAAAATAAAAATATTTGATTTTTTTTTTATATCCCAGAATTGCGTACAAATGAAAATGTGCAGCACATGTGTCATGAAAAATCTGATTTCCCTCTCACTCAATGAACTATTTATTCCTTTTTATATTTGCCACACACATATTTAATAATATATAGATCAAGACAGAAAAATAAGTTGAACGCACAAAATGAATGTTATTATATAAAATGGTGCTAGATAAATAAACACCTATTCATCTTCACAAAATGAATGAGACATGTGTCAATAGCTCGATGAGTGTGGGATAGGTCAGTTTCACATTTTTTTTTGCAATTGCAAGTAAATAGAGAATAATAAATGTGTAGGAACATTGTTGATTACAATTATAGTCTACAACAAAGTTTAACACATGCAGCATACGACATGATTATCTAATTTACATAATTCATACCAAGCTAATCAGAATTTTATCACATGGAACACAAAAGTAAGGAACGATGAAGGTTAATCTAAAGGAATTCTTAGACTTTAAGATATTTGCTGCTTATCACACTCCCTGACTATGCCCCTATGCAGCACTAGTGACAATCTTCTCTTACATTGAACGGAATTTAATTTAGTATATTGTATCTTCATACTTTTCCTACTCGTTAATGTTAACAATTCAACCTTAGGGGTTCCAGAATTCCCGTTCCCGTAAGATTTCGGGAATCGGGAACGGGAATATTCCCGGGAATCAACAAAAAAAAAGTTAAAAGCTACACTTACACCATGTATTTTCTTTAGGTTTTTAAATCAAATTTAAATTCTATTTGTTTTGATTGTCAAATTGATTCTTTTGACAATAATTTCCGTTTGAAATTTAATTCTTTTTGGTTTTAGAACAATTCTTAAAGTACGATTTTAACTGGTCTAGCAATCTAGTGCGATTTTTTGAGACAATATTATTGGAGATTGAAAAGTTACGTTCAGCTCTTGTAGATGTTGATGGATTCCAGAAATATTAATTTCCAGCACGTTTTTTTATTTAGGAAAAATTACTTTAATCCAATGTCAATTAAGTTTATTATTTTATGGACATCATACATTTAAAAAATATTTTTAAATACTTTTTCTCTTCGTTTTTCATAAATATATGTTTTTAATTTAAAAAACATCAAGCTTGAGTTTAATATTTCAACTCTTAAATTCCTTAAGGGCAATTCTACGAGTAAAGGGAACTGCAGAAATTTGCATTGTAAGTTTTCGCTACTTGCAAAAATTTAATTTTTTTTTATCCGTTATATTTCTTGGATAAAAATATAGTGTTTCTTTTTATAAAGTGTATTTCTCCATTATTGTTACGTTATTCGTTCTTAAAGTGTAAACTTTAAGGCAAAAAGAGGCATGAAAAACTAATTTTGTAATTTTGTAATTTTTTCACTCGTAGAATTGCCCTTAACGTATTTTTCATTATTATAATTTTTTTCTTAAAATTGTAGTTTTTTTCATAGAAAAAACAAAATAAAAAAAAATAATTTGAATTGTCGGTTTTTTTTGGTATGAAAACGGGAATTTCGGGAATATTCCTGATTTTAGAACCCCTTATGATTGAACATCGTCAAGATAATAAGACATCGTCAAGACAATAAGAAATCGTCAAGACAATTCTTTTGTAGTTTGTCAGTTAAAAAAGTCTATATAAATCCAATTTGTATCAAATATTCATACTATGTGCTTACTTGTGTGTGAACGATGAGTTTTTGTTCAAATGTGAAGAAAATAACACAACATATGAAATGTTTTATGATGGCTATAAGTGCTGATCCTTAAAGAACCTAAAATATATGGCAATTTTAAAAACGAATTAGTAAAATAAAAATAAATTTAATTCTTAATTAAGTTTTGCTGTATAAATTAAAGTTTCATGATATCAAATTCACTTTCTCTGATGGAAATTAGTCAGAAAAACTTTCAAAAAGGCTCACATAAAGCCTACGTTACGTAAAATGATTAAGTAAAATCACACAACATTAAGTTCTACGTTGCGTTTGGTCTTTCTCGATGTAAATTAAAGATGGAAGTCGATGGACAGGTAAGGGAGAAGCTGATGCAAGATAAAGGAGAGATTAAACTGAGAAAGCAAATTTTTTGATGGTTCTTCTTTCATAGTTAATCATATCAAGTTTAATTTCAACCAAGGAAATGAATCAATCGTGTTTTCATTCCATTACTGCTCACATTTCAGGCTTTGAATCAGAACAGTCCGAGATAGAGGCAAAAACGTTCTTTACCACACACCTGAGCATGAAAAAGAACCACAATTTAGGGTTAGGGTTAGACGCTTGTAATTAAGCTTCTATTGATTACAACCCAAATCATCAGAGGCTCATTTTTCACATTAAACTACACGATACGTCATTGGACCTGATGTAAGTCTAATGCTGTGTGTGAGAACAGGCATCTAGACAAAAAATTGCAAGTCTCATTTACGAGCAAGCAATCAATGTCCTTGATGCCACTCTACATCAAGGATGAACCAATCAATAGCCACGATAGTAAGTCTCACAGGCAGAAACACATGACTCATAGGCTCGATTTACAAAAAAAAAAGAACAGAAAAACTTTTTAAAAAAAGGGTCAAAAGACTTTGCTCCCTCAAGTTTTACCCCTCCTCATCTTGCATCGACCCCCCTCTGACCTATTCAACGACTCCCACTCTTAATTTACATCAACAAAGGCCGACGAAATGTAAAACTCAATGCAATGCGTTTTTAAGTAATCATTTCACGTATTGCAAGCATTACGTACGCAATTGTAGGAAGTCAAATGGCTGGTTTCATTAAAGAAAAGGAATTTGAGGACTATTTATTAGTATACTTAGCTTTTTCTTCGTTGTCACTAGCCTCTTGCTTCTTTAATTGTGTCCTGGTTCCTTCAAGCTTCATCAATCTCACTTTCACTTCAATTTTACAGCTTCTTGAATTTAATTTTCTTAAGTTTCAATGTTCACTCAGAAAATTTTTCATTTTTTTCTTCACTTTTAATTTTTTCATCACTTTTGGCTTATTTTCACTGTTGCTTCCATTTTAGCACTTCACTATCACTTTTATCTTGAACTCCACTTCTTTTTAAGCATGAATAATGTCAAGTTCCAATTTATTTGCACCGATTTGCAACAATATTTAAAAACACGTCTTTAAAGAATTAAACTGAAGAAAATTGTGAGAAAATTGAAAGTCAAAGGTTGCTGAGAAATTTGATCTTTTTTGACTGATTGTGATTTCACATTTTTGCGTTAATTAAGGGTGTATTCAGATCGAAAATTATCAAAAATATATAGTATTAATTCAAAATTTTAAAAGCTTTTTATTTAGGTTTTTAAATTAAATTTAAATTCTATTTGATTTGATTGTCAAATTGATTCTTTTGACAATAATTTCCGTTTGAAATTTAATTCTTTTTGGTTTTAGAACAATTCTTAAAGTACGATTTTAACTGGTCTAGCAATCTAGTGCGATTTTTTGAGACAATATTATTGGAGATTGAAAAGTTACGTTCAGCTCTTGTAGATGTTGATGGATTCCAGAAATATTAATTTCAAGCACGTTTTTTTACTTTGGAAAAATTACTTTAATCCAATGTCAATTAAGTTTATTATTTTATGGACATCATACATTTAAAAAATATTTTTAAATACTTTTTCTCTTCGTTTTTCATAAATATATGTTTTTGATTTAAAAAACATCAAATTTGGTGTCCATCAAGTAGAACGGTTAGGCTAGATAAAAATATTTCGTTTATTTTATTTGATTAAGAAACATTTGCACAAATCACTGACCAAGTTTGAACAATTTTCGTTAAGCCTTGTCAGATTTACAGTCGAAAGTGTTAAAAGTAAAAAATCGGCCCTAGCTCCGTTTTCAGATGCTCATATCTCAGAACTGGCAACTTCACAAAATTTAAAAAAGTTATTTTTCTGCTTTCACAAAATAGCACAAAAAACCCATATATAGTCCATCACTCAATTCGTTAGGTCACCGTTCTACTTGATGGACACTAAAATTTGAGTTTAATATTTCAACTCTTAAATTCCTTAACGTATGTTTGCATTATTATAATTTTTTTCTTTAAACTGTAGTTTTTTTCATGGAAAATACAAAATAAAAAAAAAACTAATTTGAATTGTGGGTTTTTTTGGTATGAAAACGGGAATTTCGGGAATATTCCCGATTTTAGAACCCCTATTCAACCTAAAGAGAAAACTTCATCCTTTTTCTGTAGGTTACATAAAGTCATCGGATTTTATGATTCTTTCAAATTTATGATCCTTCAAGATTGTCTCATTTTAATAAAATAGCAAACCACATTGAAAATTTCTTCGAAAAACGTCTTGGATTATAACTAGCAGTCGAGTTGCGTAATGTGGTTAGAAATTGAATTTCCATGTCAAACTCATTTCCTGAATTAGTCACATGTATTTATTAATCGATTGCTTTCTTCTTCCAATTCCGATTGACTGAGTGGTTTATTTTTAGAACAAACTATCGAGAAAATTGACACTTTGTCCTGTAGCTTGATTGACGGATGATATAAGCTTATGTGAAAGTATCCATGGGAGTAAATTGATTAAAAATTTATTGCTTTTCATTCAGTCAGAGTGAAGCGATAGTGATGAACTGCAATGAGGGATTCAAAAAAGTATTAAGAGTGGGTTCAACTCATTTTAAGGATAGTTTGAGCTTCAATGGTTTCAAAATTTCATGGTCGAAAGTTAGGTGATGACTTGATCATCTCTGACATTAGATTTTACAAAATTAAGAGTCTTAATTCACATCTTAACTTACAATATCAATCTACTTAATAAAAAATCAAATCCTTCCAAATTAAGCAATCGATTAATCCAAAAATTTGTTTCCATCGCTTAATAATACAAGCCTTATTATTCAATCGAACTATCATATTGAAAGGGATGATCATAAACAACAGAAAAGGAACCAAAATAAACCGATTGTTCATGATTCTCTAAGGAATGAATCTGGAGCGGAAAAATAGCGGAAAATGCTTTCATTCTCTATTTTTGCTCTCTCCTTTCATTCTCCTTATTTTTTGTGTGTTACGGAAACGGAAAGAATAGAATGAAAGCAGCAACATCAATCTTTTGGCAGAGTGTTTATCATTAATCTTGTTTTTTTTTTGTCAATTTTTTTTCATATTTTCCCCTTCTCTTCTCTTTTAATTTCAACAGAATTTACAGACGTCGATGGTTAACATTAATGGTCTCACTTACATGGCTATGTGCATTCGGTACATTGATACAAACATGGCGTGGAAAGTGGGGCAAATTCGGCATGGATACGACTATAAGCTCATGTAGTATCCTTCCGGTCAATGGTAAAGTATTGTTAACATGTGAAAAATCCGGTCATTTCCTCGTCATTTGTACATGACATTAATGATTGCCACTTGAGATACTATTTTTTTCACTGTCCAATAAAATTTATTTATCGTTTAAAGCAAAAGTTTTGAGTGCATGTAGACATAAATTTTATTTCCACTTTTCTTATCCTTTGGGGCTTGTTTGGATGTTACGTTGCGTAATGGGAGATGTCATTCTGGTTTGATACATCCAGCCAATACTTCAGAAAGTGTTCTAGAATTTGATTCTACTTGAGGCAGTATCCCAACACTAAAGACAAGTTCCTGTACTTTTGATACAGCGTTTTCACTCTTTAAGTGGGTTCTTATGATTTGGGAACAGGATTTCAGAGTTTTAGTACTTCAACTGAATATCATGAATCATAATGATGTCCAAATTGCCATATTAGCGCTACAAAACATCCAAATAATTCCAAATTTCATAAATATACTCGATAGCAAATGTCCTCTTTCCATTTTTGTCGTTTCCTTTTGTTATGTAAGCTTAATCTATTTTATTCTCTTCTCTTTATATAATAGGAAAGTCTCCCAAAGAGTTTCTGTTCATCATGGCATTTATACTGCCATGCTTAGCAATAGGTTTGTTGAATTATAATCCTTGCACGACAAAAAAATAAAAATAAAATCCATCAAATATTTTTTTTTTCTTATCGTTCATGTCTTTTTGCAGTTTTATGTTACGCAAGTATTTTTTATATTGTCCGAAAAACGGCTATGAAGACACATGAGATGCCGAAAACAAACGGATCGATTCGAATGACCAACAATCATATGATTGCAAATAAAAACTCTCCATGTCCAGTACCTCAAAAGTCAGCATCAAATCAGAAGCTTCAAAGGCCATCAATTGAAATTGACGATTGCAATGGGAAAATTGATGAGGGTAAATCAATTGAGGAGCCAAAAATCAATAGTAATGTCCACACTCGTAGAAGTTTAATGAAATCAAAAACTGATGAATTAAAGTTCATCGACACAAGTTGTGAGAGCGATTTGCCGCCGACTTTATCACAATTACAACGAAAGAGCGTTCAAATTGAGGAAATTCCAGTCATTTTTGCATCGCCACCAACATCACCGACAACCCTTACGACGACAATTATCTCATTAGAGAATGAACAGCGACAATTTAATTCAATTAATAATAAAGATGAACTGATACAGAATAACGTGGGAACAATTGTGCAGACGCGAGGACAGAGAAATTCTCATGACATGGGAGTGGACTCAGCTGTTGAGGATAGTACAGTGTCATTAGAGCAGGTAAGGCCTTAACATTGTAACAAAATTAAAGGACATAAAATGAATGGGCAATGAGATGTTAACATTGAATGAACATTCATGTATTGTGGCTATACAATCACAAAGAAGTAAATACGCTTCAATCATGTGGTCGATAATCATGTCACGTTTCATTAAACCATTGTGCTATTTTCACAATAATTAATCATTCAGATTTTTTTGTATCTTAATTTTCTGTTAATCACCTGAATTCATTTGATTGGACATTGATTCTCATTTGTTCATGACAAAACATTATTAATTACTTATCAATATTAAATGATTTTATTCCTGATTTAAACAGAACAATATGGCTCATCATTTACTGTCAGTACCCGAGCCATCAAGTAGCTCATCGGGAATCGAGCTGCCATATGAAGAAACACCAAAGAAAAAGTGAGTTAAAAGATCAGTTTATTAACGTTTTGGAAACTAGGTTAGATATGATTTGTGATACTTGCTCGTATCCCTTGGATATACACTAATTCAGGGTCAGAAGTTCCACTTGAGCTCTTTAGCTACAATAATTTAAGTCTTTGATTGGTTTTGTTGAATTATTCTTAAAGATAAAGTTATTTATATCCTTGTCATAGTTTCATAGATTAAGATATAGTGCTTAATGAAGGTAGAGATGGAACCCTCAAAATTTAAGCAGTTAGAAGATTCCATACCCATCAATTCTTAGTTTAAAGGCGTATATGATTCATAAATTCCATTCATTGGTATTTGCTTGAAGATATTTAGACCCCAAGAGTAGCTAGAGGAGTGGGTTTAACCTCTGTATATTTTCAGCTAGCATAACTGATTCCCACTCAATCGATCAACAATAAATTAAATATTTCTTCATTTCCAGAAAACCGAAAAAGCCAAAATCACCGACGAAAATAAAACAAAAGAAAATCAAGGCTGAATCGCCACCGAAAGATTTACCGACAAGAAAAAAGTCATTGGCAAATACGTCAGGAGCATCGATACTGTACGGTGCTGCTCGTATGTCAGCCAAAGATCGACGACTTTTAAAGATGATACTCGTAATATTCATTTCATTTCTGACATGCTATTTACCCATAACGCTAACAAAAATCGCGCGTTCAATTGCTGATGTAAACTTTTTATTCATCACTTCTTATCTCTTGATTTATTTAACGCCATGCATAAATCCAATAATCTATGTTGTTATGAGCTCTGGTAAGAAATAATATTTAAATCTATAAAGATTGCTCCTGTTTCATAATTTCACACTTTACAGAGTATCGTCAAGCATACAAGCAACTGCTAACATGTCATCTCAATAAGTCACGTGGATGTAATGGAAATGCAAAATATCAAAATGCAAGAAATCGCATGTGACATCCGTCAATAACTAAGACAACTACTAGCACAACAATAACAAAATGACATGACTAAAGCTAGTGATAATTAGGACAATTTTATCCACAAACTGAACCAAAGAAAAAAATAGTAAGGAAATGGAACCAAATCAACAAGATTAAAAATGATGTTTCTATTAATTCATAAGCAATTCACATTCCATTAATAAAAAATTGTTCATCACCCAATTCATTAATGTCTTAAGATTTGAGCAGCTTAATTATAATGTCTGTAGCTTTAAAATAAATTTTTAATATAAAATCAAGTTTCTGGATAGTCTGAAACATTAACAGAATCACCAAAAAATGACCTTAACAACTGTAATTCATGCACTGCATATCTGGTTGTTAAGGAAGAATACTCTAAGTAATGAATAAATGTAAATTCAGTATTTAAGTAGGTAAAATAAATTTTGAAATTTGTTAATTCACATAGAAAAATGGGAAATAAAAGAATTAAAGAAATAAAATGTCTAACAGTCATTTATAATTGAAATAATACGTACGTTATTTCTTACGTCATTACGTAAAAAGTTGTCAACAAATTTCTTAAATTCAATGTTTGTGAAATAAAAAGCTGTACTCACGTTATCCTCAATCAAATTCAATTCAGAATGCTCGTAAGTATTACACTTTCACTAATTAATACTCAATATCACTACAATAAATCACTTAAACAGCTTAAACACGATTATTCACAAAATTACTTATTTTTCCCGCTTAAAAGCTAGCTACAATTCAAATCTCAAAAATCCGATAAAACAAAATAAAGCTTAACTTAATTAAACTGCGATTCTACAATAATTTAAGTAACCTTAGAAACAAAATCAGTTTGTTTATAATGAAAAGCTAGTCAAAAACATAATTCGATAATGATGAACGATTTAATTACGAATAATGTTACAACAACGTAAGTAAGACTCCAAAACAATAGCATAATTAATTAATCACGACTTTTACAGATGGATCAAAATTATAAATGATGTGAAAAGTTACTGCTTTATTGGAAATGAAGCGATTGCATTCAACTTAAACAGTTATATTCTCTTTAAAAACATAATAAATGGAAAAGAGTCATTCTACAGAGCAGCATTCGACAGTGGCGATGGAATTTCAGTTATTGCTGGTCATAAAATCTTTCCAATATTTGCATTCGCTGAACGATGCTGGAATGCAAAAATTTTCACCATCTCATATCCAGACTTTAGTCGCATATCAGTTTTTGAGCCAAAAGAAGAATCCATTTACATTGGACTAGCATTCAGCGAGACAGAGCATTTAATTGCATTAACCGGAATGCCAGATTATAAATTACAAGTGTGGTTTTGGCGAACTCATGACTTATTAATCAGCACTGAAACGGAAGTTCTAACAGATAAGCAAAAAATTACATGCAGCTATTCACTGCCATTGACAGTCGCACAATTTGCATATTCTCGTGGCGAATTGACTATATGGGAAGTGTATGGTACACAGAAATTCTGTAAGCTCATTAAGCGAAAGATTGAACTAAATTTCTCGAAGCTTGATGGACCATTTCAAGACGTTTATTCCATTGAAGGAAATATTCTCATTGTCAATAAGTACGGCGATATTTACTATGTAATTCCATCTATTGGATCTGTAAACATGATTATAAAGTGGAATGGCGATAAGGGTGAATGTGATACATGCATAGCATACATTAGAAATGGCATACTTATAGCCGGACCCGATGGCAATTTAAAATACTTTAAAAAGCAAAAGTATGTTTGGACTGAAGTGTTTCAAGTCGCTAGAGTAACAACACTTCCGTTTATTTCACTTAAAGGATTCCTTGACAACGAAATTGTTATTGGAACAACACGTGACGGTGAAATGTATAAAATCAACGTTTCTAATGACGGTGAGAAGCTCCAGAAGGCAAAGCTACATCAATACGATCCAGTCTATGAGAATTTTGTTGTCATTTATCCAAAGGGTGACTTTATAGTCACAGTTAATGCTCAAAACGAAATTCATGTCCTCAACATTCAATCTGGTCAAATTGTATCACAAATTCTTGAGGAACTAACCATGAATGATATAATACTTAAAGCTAATCCAATTTATCCATACATAGCAATCGGAAATAGTTCTGGAAATGTCTTTTGTGTATCACTGCTACATCCCAACGATCCAACACTCTTGACTGAATTCTTCTTAAGTCGCCAATCAATCAATTTTATAAGATTCTCAAATAATGGCAACTACATGATTATTATTGATGTCGATTTGAATCAATTCTTAATCTCATGCCAGCCAGGCGCTCAAATGACTGTTTTACATCATTTTAAAGAAGATTTTAATCCGAAGGAATTTTTCATTGTCGAGAGCAGAACGAGTCTTTCAGTCATGTATCTTGTGAAAACTGAGAATCAAGTCAATGATAAAATATTAAAAATATCCATAGAACTTGATAATTTTGAATCTGTAGCTGACTGGCAAGAGTTTCAGCTCGTCTCTACTTACAATACAATAATTCCTATTTTTGGATCAACTGAGACTGTTTATGGCATTAGAAGTAACGCAAAACTAGTTGAAATGTTGAAACTTGACATGGATGGAATTAAGTTATTGGACGTTGTGGACACACCACATAAAATGAAGCATATTGAAGGATGGAATGATGGACGACATTTAGTGACATGGAGCATCGATGGTATCGTTGGGATTTATAACTTCCATAAGAATAATAAATTACTTTCATCATTTGTGGCTGGAAGTCGTCATAATTTTGGTATTAAAAAAGCTAAATGTGACCCGAGAAGTAACTTTGCAATTGCTTTAGATTATTCTGGGAATCTCATATGCTCTAAATTAAATGTGGAACTGACACAAGATGAACATCGAATGATAGAAGACGAAATGACAAATTTTGAGTCGCTTGTAGCTGAAAACTTCTCGAAACCAACATCCGGCGGATGGCCAGGATTATCACAAGAATTTCAAGGCAATAAAAAGTTTATTGACCTTAAAGATGAGAAAGCTTATCAAATGGAAGCTGAGGAATCAGAAGAAACTAAAATGTTGCTTTTTAATAAGCTTAATGACCTTCGTCGTCAAGTTAAGAAGCTTTTGGATGACAATGAAAAAAGCGTTGAAGTTGAAAGGCTGCAATTTCAGGAATTTAACCTTGATTTGATAACAACAGCACATAAAGAAGAGGAAGCAAGACAGGAACGAAATCAACAAGATAGAAAAATGCAAGATTATATTGAGGCACAAACAACAATGAATGAATGGATTGTGGATAAATGTTGGAATCATTTGGTCGTTAAAGGAACGAAACTTCGAGGCATGTTCCTGAATATGTTTATTGAAAATTATCCACTGTTGCCTGAAAAGAATGAGAATGAGCTGAAAAGGCTTGATTTAATTAGAGCTATTGAAAATTCTGTAGCACGAAATGACACCTTTTTGCCGTGGAGTCCGATTCCAACAGTGTAAGTTATTCATAAACAGCTATAACATGTGCCTTTAATTTTGTTTCTTTCAGAGAACTAGAAAGGCTGTTAATTAAAGAGCCTGGAATGTTTGAACTCGACACAAATGACACAACTCAATATGCGGAAGTGATAAAATCATTAATGGGATCAAGTGCTCATAGATTTATCAACATTTCAGCACTTCATTATCAGCAATTGGATGCAGTCACGTTTCACCAAATGCGTGTTGAAAAACTGTTAACTGAGGTAAGTTTGGTGAATTTTGTTTTGAAAACTTTTTGACCGTTATTTTTTCAAAAATAATTTGACAGTTAATTTTTCAAATATTTTCTGAACGTTAATTTTCAAAATTCTAATTACAGAACGAACTAGCCAAATTAAAGAAGGAGTTTAACAAAAAGTTCGACAGCATGCACAGAACAAAAGAATTTTCCATCCATTCCATACGCTTTAAAAATGATAGACTACGTCACATCCAAAATGAATTAAAGATTCTAGATGAACTTAAAGGGATTTCAGTTGATTCCTTGCAGCAAATATTAGATCCTGACTTTATGTCTGACGAAACTCCAGACACAGTAATTAGTGTCATTGAATCTGAAGTCTGTGTTGCACCTTATGTATCCCCAAGTGTCCAAAGAGTTCTTGAGGAACAAGAAGCAGCCAGAGAGAAAAGACGAAAGGAACTAGAAGCAGATGATTTTCGTGATCGAGCATTAGACATAATGATGGATGGCGTCCTTGAACATAAATGGGAAGATGAAATAAAGAAAAGCTTAAAAGTTCCAGATTGTTTGGTCAAAGACAAAGCTCCTGAAGATTGGACAGAGATTGATGCACGACAGGTGTTTGAATATGAACGTGATCTTGAAGCACTAAACATTGAAAGAGATAAATATCGCCGAATGCTTAATGAGGAACAAAAGCTATTGCAAGGATTGCTGGATGAAGAAATTTACAAGTTTAATTATACTTTGAGAGAACTTACTGTTGAGAAATTAAAGTTTGACATGGCAATTGGACAGACTGAGATGAAGCTATTATTACTGGCACTGTACAATTTCAAAAGAATTATGTACCAAAAAGAGGAAATCAAAATTCGTCTCAAAATGGAACAATTAAAGGCTAATACTGACAGGCATTGTCAGATGCAAGGCGAAGTCCAAGACTGGATTAAAGAAATCAAGCAGAACTACGAGAATCTGCAGCAAAAAGACAAAACAATGGAGAAGCAGTTTAAAGCTAATTTTAATGAACAATGTCCACAAGCTCCAGCAGATCAAGCATTTAAGTACTTTAAACGCCGTCCGAAGCTACAAATGAGAGCACAAATTACATCACCAATATTACTGGAAGTAGCTAAACGAGTTACAAATAAGAAACTTACACAGCACATAAAGCTATTGCCACCTGAATGTCTCGAATTCCTTAACGGAGTGGATACATTAGATCAAGTATCATCTTCAACGACTGGAATTGATGTAAACTCATGGCAAGTGCTGTGTAAAATGCGACGAATTAAAATTGAGAGTGAGTTTAAGATTAAAAGCTTAGGATTACAACTTGCTGATGCTGAATCATCACTGCTTGCATTTATAAAGGAAATTAATAATAAGAAGCAACAAATGCAGGCACTCGAACGTCAATTACTTGAAATGAAAGAAAATCGTGAGAATGATTTAATTAATCGGACAATACAGCTAGTAATGCAACGTGGATTAATTGAGATACAGTTGACTGGAAGTTTTGTTGATTTCAATGACAGCATTTTAATTCATCGATCTGATGTTGCAGATATAAATAAAATCATACAAAAGAAGGGTAAGAAGAAGCTTTTGGCATTATCGAATGGCGCAATGTTTAGACGAAATATAACAATGAAGGAATGGGAACATAAAGTCTTAAAGTTAAAAGTTAAGGATTTGAATGAGTTTGTAAGGACAATTGAGAAATGTAAAATAACAAAGGAAGTACAGCAGTGGCTGAAAAGAAAGGAACGTGGATGGATTGATGATCTTGGCGAGGATGCATTAAAGCGTCAAATTGAGAACTCTATTAATAGTCAAGAGAAGATTTTGGCTGATTTGGTCAAGGAAATTGCATTAATGCAAAATCAAATAAATATAAAGCGAAAAGAGATGAAAATTTATGATAAAAACATCCAGAAGATGAATATTGACGTGTCTGAGAAGAATTTCATGCGAGATGTTGAATTTGAACAGGATCAGGTTAAAGGAACTAAGGAAAGAATGTCTTTAATTATTAATCGTGCTAAGATGGTTCGACAAATTCAGAATCAGCACTCACAATTACTTCAATTGACCACAATTTTGGAATTACAGAGATTAAAGACTTTCCCGACATTAAATGCCAAGCAAACTGAGAGATATCAAAGGACTTATCGCTAAAATATTACTTTAGTAGCTTTGAATTAATAAAAATAGAATTTCTTTTGAATGATTAACGGAATTTATATATTTAAATTTCGAACGGAAAATTCAAATTCGAATTACTTAAAAAAAAATTAAGCATGCAAAAAAATTGGCAGGAAATAATAACAGACTGGATTCATCGAATTATTTAGAGTAACCAGGTTTTTAACAGGAATCAAGATGAGTTTAGTACAGGAAAAATTTGAGCAGTAAGTACAGATAACAATTAAACTAAGGAACAATGAATTACTGCCTTAATTATGTCTAGAATGCAAGAAAAAGTATTTGATCAGGCAATCGAAAGTCTCAAAATACAGCATAAATATGTGAAGGAAGCTTTATTAAAGGACAAAAACTTCCAAGAAGTAGTTATAGTAATGAAAGAGATGAAGAGTAAGCTGAATTCGCTTTATTCAAAAGATCCAGCAAAGATTAAATTCAAAACTGAAATGATCGTCAAGTTATGCGAGCAAATAGCCTATTGTCTGCTGAGAGATAATAAGCCGAAGGAAGCATTGAAGTTTCTTTCAGAACTGGAAGTTATACAGGATGTTGTTAAGGAAAAGAACTCGAAAGCTTTCATCTACATGGGACGAACTCATATGATGCTTCAAAATTTCAAGCAAGCTAACAACTACTTCTCAAAAGCTTACAAATTCGCTGATCAGAACGCTAAGAAAGACATTGAGGGAATTTTGCATACGATAAAGTTGAAAATCAATGAAGATAATGAAGATTCTGATGCTTTAGGCGTTTCTAAGTTTATGCAGAACGAAATTGGACAAACAAGTACAGCATTAGTCCTCGAGAGTGAATTAAATTTGATTCCAATGGGCTTTCAATCAGTTGATGCAGATGGCGATATAACTATCGAAGTATTAGAAGCCAAGCAACAAGCAGAGTCGATTTGTAAGAAAAATAAGGGTTTTACTGAAACTGTCGAGATCTGTACAAATAAGGCATCTGCAGGAATTCTTGGTGAATATTTACAAAAATCACGTAATCCACTTGCAACATATAAAGTGGACCATACCACACAAGACAGTTCCTGCAATAAAACCTTCCATATGTCTTGTGAATGCGTTGAACATGTCACGTTTGGTAGTGCAACCACAAAGATTAAAGCAAAAGAAATTGCTGCTCAGAAAATGCTTAAATACTTACAGGATGCTGGTAAATTGCGATTGACGACAAATTTAGAACTTTAAGCAGAATAACTAGCATGAATAATAACCGTTAAAATATATTTGAAAAATAACTGTCAAAAATTATTTGAATTTAAACATAACGGCTAGAAAAATTTTGAATTTAATTTTACAGCTAATATATTTATTAAGTAAACTTTCTTTTATTCATCTATTTCTCTTTTTCTGGCAATGTTGAGCTACTATTTCTGTCTAGATTCCTAATTTTTCCAGATGCAGGACTTTGTAAAACTTTTCTTGATAATCTCATTAAACCAGAAACTGGATCACGTCCAAAATATTTTACAGATATCTCTTGACCAACTTCTAGACCCAATGCTGATGGATGTGCGACTTTTCGCATGTCAAGCTGTGAATTATGAAGAAGTGTTGGTGGCATGCTTGGATATAAAGTAATCATAACTCCAATATCTCTTAATTCGACTATCTTTGCAGTATAAATTCCACCAAAATCTAAATCAGGCACACGATCCTTTTCTAATAGCTTCTGGATATACTCTTTTGCCTCGTCCATAGCACTTTTTGATGGAGCAAAGATACTGAATGAATTTTCATCAATTTGAGTCATTTGTACACCAGTTTCAAGGAACATATGCTTGACATGAACCCCGCCAGGTCCAATAATTTTAGATCTTTGATGTGGCTCAACCTTCATTACTTCACTTACTGGCCACGATTCTTTTTTATCGAGTCTCGGTGAGTCTATACAGGCACGAAGAATGTCAATTATTTTAGACTTTGCATCCACAGACTTTTGTAGACTTTCATTGACGATTTTTAATGGAATTCCTGGAATTTTCAAGTCTGTCTGTATTGAGCTTATTCCTTTCTTAGTTCCTGACACTTTCATGTCCATATCGCCCATATAATCTTCAATACCAAGCTGATCTGTCAATATTCGATAATCCTCAATGTGCTTTGTATCATCATTATTATACTTTGTTATTAATCCAATAGCCACACCAGCAGCAGGAGCTGAAATCTGTATACCTGCATCCATTAGTGCTAAGGATCCGCCACAAACTGTTGCCATTGAACTTGATCCATTAGATTCCAAAACTTCAGAATTTAATCGAATTGTGAATGGTGAATTTTGTGGAATTATTGGAACTAAGCCCTTTTCAGCTAATGCACCATGCCCAAGTTCTCGTCGATTTACAGCACCAATTTTGCCAATTTCACCAACTGCGTATGGTGGGAATTCATAATGAACAAAAAAGTTTTTCTCTTTAATTCCACTTTCCAGAGCATTTAAGGAATCGAGCTTTAAAGCACTTTCCTTGGAATCTAGCGTGACTGAACAGAAAACTTGAGTTTGTCCTCTTGTGAATATTGCTGATCCATGAAGTGGCTTAAAAACATCAACTTCACAGGTAATTTTTCTCAAGTCATCAAATCCACGTCCATCACATCGGATATTTTCATCCAGCACAAATTCTCTGAATGACAAGATCGTGACTTTATTGAATTCCTCAGTTATTTGATTAATGTCGCTGTCTGGAAAGCTTGACCAAACTGATGAGGTAACTTCTTGTCTTAATACATTTACTGCATTATCTCTGCTTAATTTATCATGTGACACGTTCCTGAATATATCCTTTAATCGCATTGAACTTGTAGCTTTAACTGCTTCCATTGCTTCTTGTGAAAGTGTTTTTAACTCCAGTTTTGCTCGTTTTGCTTTTGTTATTGGCAGTTCCTTTCGCATTTGCTCTATTTTGTTAATGATTATTTGTGCTTCTTTTGTTCCTTGTTTTATTGCTTTTAGGAGATCTGGAAGTAGCACCAAGTCACCTTTTCCTTCCAACATAACGACTAAATTTTGCTTTGTTGCTGCTACAATTAGATCAAGGCTTGAATGCTGCAATTCTCTTCTTGTTGGATTCACTATCAGCTCGTTGTTTATCATTCCCATTCTAAAAATTAAAACAATTTGAGATTTAAATTTAACAGCTTTTTCACATTTGAAATTTAACGACTTTTTGAAATTTGAACTTTTTTAACGAAGGTTTCAAAACTCAAATTTCAAAAAGCCGTTGAAATTAACGAAATATGTTAAAATTCGCAGATTCTGAAGTATCTTACTGAAGATTCAGTAACTTCAGTAAAACACCTATTTATACCTAATAGCTCCAACAGGACCATTCCAAGGGATGTCACTGATATGTAAAGCAGCTGAAGCTGCATTTATAGCATGCACGTCTGGTTTATTCATAGAATCAACTGACAGGACATTGCATACAAGCTGTGTATCACATCTATAGTCTTTTGAGAATAATGGTCTAATTGTTCTATCCACAAGACGTGCAGAGAGGATTTCCCTTTCAGATGTTCCTGAAATCACAATGAATAAGTAATTAGCTGTATCATTACCTAGATCCAGTAAGCAATAATACCCATTTCACGTCTCATAAAATTCGTTGGTATTCGTCCAGCTGCAGCACTTTTTAACCTATAATCCACTGTTAATGGCAGAAATGAGCTACTTGATGGTTTTTGTTTGCTGATAGCTGTGCACATAACTGCAGTATCGCCACTTTTAACAATTGCACATCCATCAGAGAATTTTGCTAAATGTCCAGTTCTTATTGTTATCTTTCGTCTATAAATAAATTGTTTATTCCATGAAATCATCGATTTTAGCTTAGTTGAATAACATTTGACTCACCCATTACTAAATTCTATGTCTGTATCGTAAGTGCTACTGGATATACTGTAAAATCTGTTTAATAGTCGCCTATTTCTAAAGTTTTTCACCAATTTTAACTGAGAAATCATAGCGCGATTCAAGATAACTTAATGTAAACAAAACAAACAGCTGATTCTTACTTTGACACTGAAAATGAATACAAGTAATACAGAATTGACTATTTATAAATCACTTGCTTATTAGTATTCTTTATTAGATAAATTAAAAATAAATTACAGCGGAATTAATCGAGATCTTCGTCAAATAAGTCTTCAAAATCTGTAAATTAATGATAATCATTGATTACTTTGCAAAATAGACATTTTCATAACTTAATTACCATTATAGAAATCCGAATGGATATCCTTTTGACCATCATGCAATGAATCCAGCACAATTGCGCTCTAAAAGATCAAAAATTCAGTATAATTAATTATGATCATAAAATCCTAGTCAATTCTTTATTATCCTACATCTTCTACATCAATCCCTTCTGGGAACATCTCATCTGCTGCTATTGGTTTCATTTTTGATGATCTAATGGCTCTGTTAATTATAGTAAAATGCTATTTTGTATATTTGCGAATTTCAGCAATTTATGTAAACAAAAGAAACTTCAACAAATTACTGGATTCAAAACAGATTTGACAGTTATTTTTAAAGTTTATGAAAAGCAATTTGAATGATTGACAGCTAGATTACAGTCACACGATCTATGCTGAATTGTTCAGCATGTGCATATGTTTAAATCTCATTACCCATTTTCTGCTATTTCGGTAAAAGAAATTTGTCAAAAAAATAACTTTCAAAATCATTTAAAAATTCTCCTAAGTTGTTCTCCCCTCGTTCCCTTCAACTTTTTTGCTCGACACGTTCAAGCTGCTAGAAATATTGAAATTAATTAAAATCACTGTCTAAAGATGGCTTTCGGTGACGTAAAAAGTGCTAAAGGATTGACTGAATTGAACAACTTCTTAGCCGATAACTCATACATTGTCGGGTGAGCTATTTTTCAATAAAAACCAATTTAAAATAAAATCCCAATTGTTGGCAATTTTTAACCTCTGTGACAATTTGATTCCTATAGATATGCACCATCCAAGTCTGATACAAGTGTTTTTGATGCATTAGGAAAAGCCCCATCAGACGAATATGCCAATATTGCACGTTGGTATCGTCATATTTCAAGTTTCGCAGCAAATGAACGTAATGGATGGGCTGGAAGTGCAGTTCCTCAAGTTTCCGGCGGAACCACAACCACAGGTAAGCTTATAAAGTTATTTTTTGTGTAACATTGGCTTAAATAAACTAAAAGAATCAAATAATCCTATTCATTTTGACTCAAATGTCATTAAAATAATCGTTTAATAATTTATAGCACCAAAAGCAGCTGCTGCCGACGATGATGATGATGTAGATTTGTTCGGATCAGACGAGGAAGAAGATGCAGAGGCTGAAAAACTCAAGGAAGAACGAGTAAAGGCTTATGCTGATAAGAAATCCAAAAAACCCGCACTTATTGCTAAATCTTCAATCTTATTGGATGTTAAGCCTTGGGATGATGAAACAGACATGAAAGCAATGGAAGACAATGTTCGTACAATTGTTATGGATGGACTTCTTTGGGGAGCCAGTAAATTGATTCCATTGGCCTACGGTATTAAGAAATTGCAAATTATGTGTGTCATTGAAGACGATAAAGTCTCTGTCGATGAATTGACTGAAAAGATTGAAGCATTCGAAGATGTTGTCCAATCAGTTGATATTGCTGCTTTTAACAAGATCTAAGCATCAAATCTTATTATTTTCTTGTCCTTTATGTCTTCTGAAACTGTTGAGGAAATAAAAAGTTCGTACTTTTTCCATTAAAATTATTCTTCTATTGTTTTAATCTATCGCCGAATTTGATTCCAGTTGTGTCACATTGTGGACGAAAACCATACAAATTCAGATTTAACAGTCTTTCTATTTTTGAAATTTTCAATTAATTTGTATGGTTTTTTTTGACAAAATTTGAATTTCAAAAATCGGTTTATATGCTCAACATCGATGTCTGGATGTTGTGAATGTATTAGTGACTTGATCATCTCGGTAATATTGTTGAGGTTAAAAAATACAAAAAGAATCGTGCAGCAAGGAATTAAATCATTATTTTTAAAATAAAATATAAATGGACAAGTACGCGATTCCAAATAAGCTTCCATCAAAGCAAGTCAACATATTAGCACGTAGGAAGAAGAGAATCACACAAAAACAGGGTGCATTACAGAAGAAAACATCAACAAAAAAGAAGTTTGATGTAAAAAGTGAGGAACATTTTAAGAAACCAGAATTTTTCATAGCTGAATATCGTAAAGCAGAGCGAGATGATAAAAGAATCAAGCGAGAATTGATGAAAAATGGAATTAAAAGAAGCTTCATGAAGGAAGGATCTTTAGTTCTCGTTTTGAGACATCGAGGGTAAATAAAGTCACTTAACTCATGTTATTCAGCATGTTGATCATATTATTTCCACTTCTAGAACACACATAGCATCAAAACAATGCATAACATTAATGAACCAACTTGGAATTAGACGATTGCATCAAGCAGTTCTGCTTAGAATGACAACAGATGTACAGGCATCGCTTAGTCTAATTGAGCCATACATAATTTATGGAACTCCAAATGCAGGCATTGTACGTGAACTAATATTCAAGTATGGATTTATGAAATATAATGAAAAGAAGACCCCAATATCCAGCAATACACAAGTTGAGGAGTTATTTGGTAAAAGCGGCATTATTTGTGTTGAGGATATACTGCATGAGATAAATACAGTCGGTCCAAATTTCGATAAAGTCATGAAATGTATTTATCCATTCATTCTTCCAAATCCAAAAGATGGTTGGGTTGGAAAGAAAGGATTAAAATTCGATAAAGGAGGAATCGCTGGACATCGCGGAGATAAAATTAATGATTTCATGAAAACTATACTTTAAGGCATTATAACATATGAATTCTGTTTATAAACAACCGAGATAATAAATTTCTATGAACTTGAAAAATTCTATTTTACTGAACAGGTTGAATTAAGCATTTAATCTTGACTTTCAAGTGGAACTGCTGTTAATTCCTGCACTTTGTCTTGTCAACAGATTGTTGGTTCCAAAATTGATTGATATAAATTTAAAAAATAACGAGCAAAAAATATTCAAAGTTTCACCAAAAGCTGTGAAAATTCAAATCTTTCAAAACCGTTAAAATTTCAAATAATTGAAAACCGTTTAAATTCAAAATTAAATCTCAACACGTGACAAAACCGTTAAATTTTTAATCAACATACTCACATTCAACAAAGAGCTTTCCACAGTCCACATTTAGCCACTTGCTGTGCCTTTACTACTCGTTTTTTTGTTAGTAAATACGACGTAATTTTTTTGTCTGAAAGAAGAATTTAAAAAAGTTTCAAAAATTACATTTTCAAAAGATCTCTTTGCTGAAAAAAGCAACACAACCCATAGAAAAATGCTCGATCTTGAAGTAATACCTGAGAGAAGCCTCGGATGTCCCGAGAAGTCTTGGGAATTCATTTTAGGTGAAATTTTAAATTTTTCTTTGTTCCTTTGTTTTGCAAATAAAATTTTAAAATTTAACATTGCGAACTTTAGGGATGCATTTTTCTCAAGCTGTTGCTATAATTCAGTCGCAAGTGGGTACCATCAAGAATGTACAGGTTCTATATTCAGATCAGGTGAGTTAAAAGACTAGAAAGTAATAAAAGGTCGTTCATTGATCACATCCAAGGATGACACTTAAAGACTTCCTTTAAATTTTTACTTCCTCCCCAATCATCTAGAATCTGTTGAATGTCGATCTAATCATTAACATTCCATTGAGTGGTATGCGCTTAATCTTTGACCCAATATCGCAACGCTTGAAAGCAATTGAAATATTCAATATGAAGCTTGTACGCTTGAGGTACTGTGGAAATTACTTCAATAGCCCAGAAATACTTCCATCCATAGAACAAATTGAAAACTCTTTTGGATCAACGCATCCAGCTGTCTATGATGCTGTTAAGAACTCATTTGCCTTGAATTTTCGCGGTCTGACTTTTTACTTCTTTGTCGATAGCAAGACACAGCCAAATCAAGCTAATCATGGCTTATCATCACTCCATTTTGGACCTGGAAATTCGCCAATTGTCACTCGAATGACACTTTACTGTGGCAATTCCTTTCATGAATGTAAAGCTCCTGCACTTCCAATTAGTTGCTATAATAAGCAACTTTATGTCGAGTCAGCAACTGTCATAAGGAACTCGAGTGGAACGAAAGGATTGCGCTTAAATATCTTCACTGAAGGATCTGTTCGGTCCTTGGAAGCACGTAAGCAATGCTTTACACGTGATGTCTTATTTGGTGATACATGTCAGGATGTTGTAACAAATCTCGGTGCACCATCGCGTGTCTTTTACAAGTCTGAAGACAAAATGAAGATTCATAGTCCATCGGCACACAAACGTGTTCAAAGGAAGAGTGACTTCTTTTTCAACTACTTTACACTTGGCATAGATATATTGTTTGATGCACGCACACAAAAGGCTAAGAAGTTTATACTGCACACCAACTTTCCTGGTCATTACAACTTCAATATGTAAGTTTGTCATTCTTTGTGGATCTGGATTATTGTTATTTAAGGTTCTTTGTCTCCTTTTAGATATCATCGCTGTGAATTTAAAATTGAGCTGAATCCTGATAAGTGAGTATATTGGATTGGGATGTCATAGACTTCACTTAAATCCAATGTTTAATACCCAAACTTAAATTATCTCTAAATCTTCCAGAACCGAGCAACTGAATGGAAATCCAATCAACGTTACAGCCTATTCAAAATGGGACGCAATTAGTGCAAAATTTCCATCCGAAAGTCCAATTGTTTTACATCGTAGCTCATCGACCAACTGCTCAAATATTTTCGGTAGCACATTCTGTTATGGATATCAAGACATTATCTTTGAAGTTATGAATAATGGTCATATTGCTTCCGTTACATTTTACAATACATCATCACAGAATGTCTTTAGTAACTGGGCTGGAATTGGAAATCAACAGCAGATCAACAAACATAATGAATTTGAAATTAAAATTAATTAGACTATATAAATTGATATTAATGATTGACAAGCTTAAAGCATCTCGTATGATTGTTATATATACTTTAATTATATTTGAGACAAAGTTGTGTGGAAAAAGCTATTTTTAAGATGCATTGTATATCTTTCAATTTTAGATGTTAAGAATGAAGAGAATAATACATGAAACCTTTTGACTAACATTGAAGATCACTGGATTAATTTTAATTTGTGCTGCAAAGTTTACAACGGTTTTAAAATATTTGAATCGAGTCAGCTGTCACAAAATTGTTCAACGGTTGAAAAATATTTGAAATTTTGACCCGAGACAATCACTTTTTTCGAGGAATTCAGAAAATTTCATTCTTGGCATAGAAATTTAGGAAAAAAGTTGATTTTATTAATAATTGCTATATTTTCGATAACTTTAAGTATTAATTTATAAACTTACAAGTATGGTGAGAAAGGATATGGTGGATTCTGAGAGCGAATCGTCTGATTCGAGCAATAAAAGTTCAGATGAAGAGCACACCACAACCACTAAGAGACGAAAATCCTCAAAATCATCATCAAATGAATCAGATAGTGATAATGAGCAGCGGGTAGCTAAGAAACAGAAACGAGTAACACATTCTTCATCGGAATCCGATAATTCTGATGTAGAGAACGATGAGAAAAATGGACAAAATACAAAAGCATCATCATCCAGTCAATTACAACAACATCCAGTAGATGAAAAGTCAGACAAATCGGATTTTGAAGATGGACAATTGACATCAGATAGTGAGTCCGAGTCTGAAGATAGTAATTCAGAGTTTGATGATGGATATGGCGATGATTTAATGGGAAATGAAGAAGATCGTAACTACCTCGAAAAATTATCTGAAAAAGAACGTGAAACTGAATTATTTAAGCGTGCTGAGAGACGTGATCAGCTTAAAAGACGTTGGGAGATTGAAAGGAAGCTCAAGCAAACCCGTAAGGATGCAAATCAGAAAAATAAGGAAAAGAAACCTAAAATTAAGAAACCGAAAGTACCACCACCGAAAAAAGTCATTGAAAAGCCAGTAAAAGTCTCACCACCACGAGAAGATCCAATATCTGCAACATCACATTTATTAGGAATCACACCGACAGCTGAAGAGTCATCACCAAACGATTACTCAAAAGAGGATTATTTTGATCCAAAAGAGCGCTCAAAGGAGCGTAAAAAGAATGTTGAAATGAATAAAACGGATGATAAGCGTAGTAATGCAATGGCAGCATTAAAGGCACGACGTGAAGGCAGACAAAAGAGGGATATTGAGCGTGAACAACGTGAGGCAAAAAAGGACGAAGACGAAAAAGAGGAACTTGATGATGTAGGAGAGAAATCTACTGTAAAACTTAATCCACGAGACATTTATTCGGATGATTCAGACAGTGATAGTGAGGGAAAGAAGTCACCAAAACGAAGAAGCTCATCATCAAGTCGCTCATCGAGTTCCAGCTCTGAAAATGAATCTCAAGAAGCTGTCTATAAAAAGCCAGTCCACATTTCAACAGTAGAAGAAATGAACAAATTGAGAATTTCACGTTTCAAGCTGGAAAAGTTCATAAACTTGCCAATTTTTGAGAAAACAGTTATAGGATGTTTCGTACGTATTAATATTGGAAATAATATAGCTTCACAAAAGCTCGTCTATCGAGTCGCTGAGATTATTGGAGTCGTTGAGACATCAAAGGTTTATCTGTTTGGCAGTAGTCGTACAAACAAAGGTATAATGCTAAAGCACGGTACTCAAGAAAGGGTCTTCAGGTTGGAATTTGTGTCTAATCAGTGAGTTCATTCATTTTTGTGTTCCTTAACTATGTGCTAATTGACACATTCTTTTTGCAGAGACTTTACTCAGAATGAGTTTGACAAGTGGCGTGATCTTTGTGCTCTTAATGACATCAGTATGCCGACAGTAGATATGATTGAACAAAAGAAGAAAGATGTTCAGACAGCTCTGAATTACGAGTTTAAGGAAGAGGATATTGACAAGATTATCGAAGAAAAGAATCGATTTCGTGCACATCCAACTAATTATGCTATGAAAAAGACTCAATTAATGAAGGTAAGTTTAACAGCTTTTCAGGATTTGAATTTTGTAGCTGTCGTTAAGTTTTTTGAATTTTTGAAAACCGCTAAAATTTGAAATCTCAAAAACCGTTAAAATTTTAATTTCGTTTTAGGATCGTGATGCAGCCATGAATCAAGGAAACGAGGAAATGGCAAATGATATTAACACACAAATTCAGGAACTAGAAGAGCGCGCAAGTGCATTAGACAAAAAGCGCACCAGCACAATTTCCTTAATTTCATACATTAATGATCGTAATCGACGTAAGAATGTTGAGGAAGCTGAAAAGGCTATTATGGAAGAAGCACGTCAAAATCGTGGCTTAAAGTTGTCTGATCCATTTACACGTCGTTCCACAAAGCCAACAATGGCATTTAAACCAAAATCAGCTCAAGAAGAGATTGTAATGATGCCAGAACCACCGAAACCAAACAAGTCAAAGGATAAGAAGATTGAAGGACATACATCGGGCGAGAATTTGTATTCATTACATGATTTTGACATTGAATTAGACGTTGCTCTTCCATTACCAATTTCTAATAATGCACCAGTTATTCCGAAACCAGTCGATAAAGTCCAAGAAGATACACCGAAGTTGCGTCGAATCTTAAATTTGGAAGATTACAAGAAGAAGCGAGGACTCATTTAAACTTACCATTTTTACACATGATCGGTTGTGGATTTTTGCCTATTCAGGCCTACTTTTTCATGGATTAACACTCTTTATAGCGATATTATATTTATTTTGTCCACCTTTAAATCAATCAAATCTTGGATAGGATAAATCCACAGTCATAGAATTATTCACGAGACATCAACAAACACAATTCATAGTATTTCCTTCCATTTCCTTATTTTCCTTTTATCTTCAATCTACTGATATTTCTTGAGAGAATTAAAGACCATTAACTGATTATTTTTTATTATGGATTTTCATCATCAACATTTATATTAGTTTTCCACTTATTGAAGCTGATCAAATGAAAACTGAATAAACTAAATAGAATGAAATGAATTCTTCATTAAAATGCTTGTGGCTTCTTTATTCTCACTTTCTTTTGGACCAAGGATGACAACTTGCAATTTTCACATGAATCAAGTGCTGGCAAAAACCCGCTATGAATTTAAACTTTTGGAAACCGTTAAAATTTAAATTCTTGAAAACTGTTGAAGAGTGAATGTTTAAGAATCGTTAAATTTTGAATTCTCAAAACCTGGTACGAATTTGAGTTTTAGGAAACCGTTAAATTTTGCTTTAAACTATAAAATTAAACTCAATATTTTGAATTTTAATACATTTTTATTGAAATTTGATATTATTAATCACAAAAAAATGTTCATATTCAAGATTTAACCTACTGAATACTTACCAAACCAAGCATCTTGGACATTTTAATCACTTTAGGCTTAAAAAATCATCAAAAGAAACGAAAAACCCACAAAGTATTGTTAGAAAGTGAAATTCCCTCGAAATTCAGAATTCATTTTATTGAAATTACTTTTAATTCTTATAAACTTCAAACAGATTCAATATTAACCAGTTAGAATTACATCGAGATAGCTACTTAGCACTGTTGCATGTTTTATGCTTTACATGACAAGCCTTTGCTTAACGGCAATGAATTAAAGGCTTTAAAATGATTGAAATTAAATTACAAAAAATTTGAATTTAAAATTACCGTTAAATTTTTGAAAAAAATCAAAATTTTGCTTTAATACCGTCCACGTCTGCTCAAAATCTTATTTCCACCTCTGTGTCGTTTTGGTGACCGTGATGGACTTCTGTTCAAACTTCTACTGCGACTTCTATTCCGATAAATTCGTGCAGATTCCGGAGATCTATCTCGTGGTGCTACATAAAGTGGTGAGGGAATTTTATAAGGACGAAATGTAGCTCGATTATCATATTCATCATTCCAGTCATCATAATTTCTTGGCGAATCTAAACTATCTGGAATTTTAGCACCAATTCTTTCAAAAACTGACCTATTTTGTCGATTTCGGGGTGGTGAGTTTGAGTTTCTATGACGGCTTGGTGAGTTTCTGAATCTTTGTGGTGAATTTGTTGAGTTTCTGAATCTCAGTGGTGAATTTGTTGAGTTTCTGAATCTTAGTGGTGAATTTGTTGTGTTTCTGAATCGTGGTGGAGACTTAGAATTATGAAATCTAGGCGGAGATTTAGAGTTACGGAATCTTGGAGGTGGTGAAGTAGACAATTTAAAGACAGTCGGTGTCGTTATTCGCTTCTGTATAGGAGAAGTACTGAAAAAGTTTACATCCTCAGGACCTTGATTAGGATTTTCTGGATTTGTGTAGTTCCAACGCTCATCCGGCTCTTCAGGAACTGCTGGACGTTCCTCTACCTGTCCTTGTTCTCTATTTCTGTCAATAATTGGACATTGAATGCCAAAAGCTCTTGCAAATACTTCCAGTGCATGATGCTGCTCAAAATTTCTATCAGCTAAGGTTTGAGCATCAATAAAGACTTTAAAGCCGTCAGTCCCATCCTGATTGTTACATTGTACTTCTGCGCTGATTTTTATAGCTTCATTTGTTTGACAAGCCTTACTTTTCGCACTTTGTTTGATTATGTCCATTTGATGACATTTCTTGCATGTTAATGGCTCTGTTTGAACGCCCTTTGTGGATGTCTTTTTAATTGCAAAAATGCTTGAGCTGTCATTATTGATTCCTGATGTTGAAGGCATCCTTGGATCTACATTTATTGCTGGCGGACGAATTATCGTTTCTCTAGCGACAGTCGATGACAATTCATGTAAATCAAACTTCAAATATTGTGCAATTTCAGCTGTTTCGCCATAAATGTTCCTCAATGGATGATTTTCAAGTACCGAGAAGCATTGATCAGGCGTTGCTTGAAATAAATATCGTGGATTCCTCTCACTTGTCAGCAATGGGCTCTTATTAATTGTGACATTCGGCTTTTGGATGCTTTGAGTCGACAGAAGGCAAGTTAATGGAAGTTTCGACTTATTTTGTTCTAAGTCCTTTATCAAAACTCCTACTGACTTGCATGCCTCTAACACTGTAAGAATTTTTAATTTAACAGTTTCAACACTTGCAAAACAATTTAATGCTACATATTTGGCAATAAAAAATTGAAAATTTGAACAGTCATTTGAAATTTAAATATCAAAACCGTACAAATTTTAAGTTAAAACATTACAAATGTAAACAATCATTTTCAAAACCTTCCAACAGCCAAAATTATACAAAACCCCACAAATGTTTCAATTAAACATTTGTATGGTTCTAGAAAATCTCAAGCTATAAAAATCTGTTGGCTGTTAAAAATGCTTAAATTAATAAATATCAAACCTTTAGCTTTTTTGGAAGCAAGTTCCTCATCTGCTGATGATTTTGTGTTTTGTTTGGACTTCTGACGTAAAATGTCAAGCAAATTCTTGCCTTCTTCAGCTGGAGCCTACAAAAAAATCCACAAATATATTAATTAAATCTTAAATCAGCTTGTTAATCACTCAAAACTACCTTCTTCATTGGTGCACGCTCAGCATTTTCCCTGACGATTGTGACTGGCTGTTTAGGCACAATACTATTATTATGATAAAGAATTGGAGGTGAAATCTGAGGAAATTGCATCCTTTCAGAGCCTGGTGGACAAATTGGTTCAATATGTGGTGCAGGAACTGGAAGTGGAGCTGATTGCATGATTTCTAGAGGATTCATAAACATATTTGTTGGAATTGGAGGTGAAATTGCGTTCATTTGTGGGAATGGCATATTCATCATGTTTGGATGCATGTTTTGCATTGGAATTTGCTGCATCATCAATGGATTAAAGTGCTGCGGCATCATTTGTTCATTCATAAAAACTGGCATTTGGTTTTGATGATTATTGAAATGCATTGGCTGATTTTGAAAGTTCCTTGGCGGTTCAGGCCTTAAATCTGGACTATTTAGATCAATCCTCCCTCCTTGCTGTAACATTTGATCAATTTGAGCATCCCTTTTCCCTTCCTGCATAAATTTCTCTTGCATTTCTACTAAAAATGGCTTTTTTGGTTGTGCATTTTGATTCCTGTTTCTATCTGGTGATGCTGGTCGTCTTCTATCAAACTGACCAACATTTCTTGGCGGTGATCGTCTAAATCTATCATCTCTAAAGCTCCTGTTCCTATCTGGACTTCTTCTCGGGCTTAATCGGATCCTATTTCTTTCTAAACTCAAACGTCTTCTATCTGGACTTCGTCTCCTATCTGCACTTGCTCGATTTCTGTCAGATCTTGCACTGGGTCGTGGTTCTTTTGGTCTTGGATCTCGATTACTGGATGTTTTTTTTATTTCTGGATCTTTATTGTTTGATTTCTTACTTGATGCTTTTGAATGATTTGACTCTTCATCAGGCTCATTTTTTATTTGCACTTCATCATTTTCATTCCATGCATCGACAACAGCGAATGTATTTCCTTTAATTAACATAAAAATTTGTTTTGAAATTTCGGTTTTTGAAAATTGTTAAAATTATTGATTTACCAAGTGACGCAAAGTAATCCTCATCAAGTTCCTCACAATCTTCGGTCTCTTCAATGCGCGTTGGACTTTCAGGCATTCTAATATACGAAATATTGAAGAATTTTTAACTTTTCAATTTCTAGGAGGCTTAGCGCGTTTTTTACGCAATTCAAAATGAAAACAAAAAATTCAAATTGTACTAGGCAGTTATTCAGACTAGTTTAAGTAGTATTTATTCGTATTTTTGATGTTTGAATTGCAAGTTTATGTCTTTATCTTCAATAATTAGCTGCTTGCTATATTTTAGAGTACGTGGTTAAGCAAATATTGCAAAAAATATTTTGATATTTTTCAACGACTGCTTTTTATTTGAATTGTTTTAACGAGGTTCAAGTGTTTATTCAAAAATATTTTTACCGGATATTTTAGAGAAAAGCGTGTTAAGTCATTCAATTTTGTAAACAAAAGTTTTTCAACTTGTTCTGCTTAATTTTAGAAAATAAATTGCCGATAACTTACTTCTAGCTTAAATATTCAGTTGTAAAGCATTTAATTAAGTCATTAACATGTCTAAGACAAAGAAAAACAACAAGTCACTCCTTAATGTAAGTAAATTAAAGCTGAAAATTCAATAATGTCTGTGAAATGTTTTATTCACGTGATTTACTGTGTTTCAATGACAAATTTCATCATTTTAATGCTTTTTAGGAAGAAGGGCAGTCACAAAATCGAGTTGATATGGGAATTTTAGTGACAGTTCTTGGCTATTGTGTTTTAATAATTTTCCTACCAATCATCAGTTTTTTTGGTTCAAAGTACGTGTTAGAAGGCTTCGATTTAACTTCTATATCCAAAAATATCTATGCTGCAATTATTGCTGTAAGTAATGTATTATTTAATTATAAATCGAATGATTATGACGTTTTTGTATGATCTGTTTAGGTGATAAATCTGCACATTGCATTAGGAGTGTATTTGTATAAAGGTAAGTGAATGTTCTTGCATATTCTTGACATTGGCACTAATTGAGCTTCTGATTCTCTACTTCTAGCATACTCAGAAGGCGATACACCAAAGCAAACGATTCAGAAGCAGGATTAAGCGTTTTTGTATATATATATTAATAAGTATGATAATTTTTTTTGACTTAAAGGATGTTTTGAATGAGAAAGCGTACGAAAAGGCCAAAACGTGTTGAAATTATTCGAATTTTATCTTAAAATGGTATTAAGATAGACAATCATCTAATTTAAAAAACTTTCATGGTGCGTACGATTGTAAAACAGAAAAGAAAACTCTTTCGACACCTCCTATTAAAGCCATATTAGCTTTTGTGCGCTTTATTTTCTTTTGATTAGCTAAGCGATACAATCCATTTGGGTATTAACATTAGGTTTTGAAAGAATTGCCACAATACTTGTATCAAAATCATACAAAAATGTTCGAAAACAGTTCAATTCCATTAAGTCAATCAAAACTGTTGTATGGTTTCAAAATACTAAAACATTTGGAAGGTTTTGAAACTTCTAGTCTCTTCAAACACATTCCAATCATTAAAATATGCGCCCTTCACTTATTACCTCACTCATTTAAAGTAAATAAATAATAAATAGTGACAACAAGCCCTTAAATCTAGTTAACATCGATCCTAATATTGAGAACACAAGCTTTTAGCTAAATTTTTTATTAATTTGGTTTTTTGATGATGAAATTCGAACGCATTTTCACAATTTTTGATCTGTTTACCATTCAATAGGTAGCCATGATCTCCAATTTCAATAGTTGTTGCTCAATGAACATAAAGTGATCACTTACTGACTTTGATTCTTCATATGCTTCTCCCCTTATCAAAGCTACTTCCCTCAACATCCAAATTTTAAAACAATAAGCAATAAATTTACCAAAAGATAAGAGTAATTGCCTCAAAAAAATACCGTGAACATGAAAACCTTAAAAATGTGCAACAAATATGAATTGAACAAAAATAAAAGGTTATCAATCAACAGAAAACATTCACTTTCATGTCGTGAGGAAATAATAAGGAATTGATTTAGTATTTGAAAATTATTACATTGTTCGGGATGAACAGCTCGTGAGTTTTGATTTATGACATTTTAAAACATGCATACATAATATTTTGCTATTACACAGAAAGTTGTTGTTAAGGGGTATCTGAAGTTTAAGGATTACTTTTAAAGTCGATAAGAAGGTTTGTGATGATAAATGATGCCAACTACTAGCTTTTCAGTACTTAAAGAGTTTGCATCTAAAACTGAGGCACAGCTATATTATAATGTGATTAGCTAATATCTTATTCTAGCTACAGTCCTTTTTAAGCTGTTGTTGTTCGTTATCAAGATTACGCAAAAGATCTTATCAAATACTCTGAACTATCGCTGCTTCTATTAAAATCTAATGCTGAATGGCGAAATTCTCAGGAAATGAAAAATAAAACATCGTTGAGTGATTCACAGTAGGAATAAGATAAGAAGTAGGTGAGTTATCAAAATAAGATCAGTTTCACACATTTTGTTGCCTTTTTTTTCGTACGCTCGTTGCGTCTTGAGTGTTCCTTGAAAATGTAATATAATTTTTATGTATTAAAGAATGTATTGACTGATTTCTTTAATAGATAATAAATAAAATATTTAATACATTAATGAAAATTTGAGTTTTGGAAAAGAAAACATTTCCTGCGGCAATCATATCAATGTGTTATTTGCGTTATCTTAAGTTTTTTTTTGTTTTATTTCTACCGAAAATATGTCTTACATAACAGCGGAGCTATAAACAACTTTAATTTCATTTAAAAAGTATTAAACAATTGAAAAAATTCAAATACTCATCATGAACTAAATTTCATTTCGCAAAATCATTAAAAGTCAATTAAATAAGACATGCGTTCAATTGTTATTAACCTGTTTCGTTAAGAGAATGTTTGCTGAAGGAATGAAAGAATTCTCGAAAAGAAAAGCCAATCACAAAGCATTCCAAAAATGTATAACTGTATTTTCTTCTTCGTTGATGATTTTTTTAGTCTTTTTCAATCATAAAAAAAGAGAATGTATGTAAAAATATATATATAAGTATATATGATTAGTGAAAGGTAGAGTAAGAGAGCTGCTGGTTTTTTATGAGATATTTTTTAAGCTTTTAAGGGAAAAGTTTCTGAGAATCGATCGAGGATCAAGAGCGGATTGTTATTGAGGGACAGTTGATATATTTGACAGTGACATGATTGCAATAAAATTATATGAGTTCTGTAAATTCAACAGGAATGGTTTCTTAGGTTCACATTTAATAAAATTTCAGGAAAAGAGCAATTGAAAGCTTGTATTGTCGAACTGAAATTGATTTCACGAAGTCTGTTTGACTTTCAGTTTTTTTAAATTATTGCATTGCTTTGAAGAAATGAGTTTGGATCTGAATTCCCTTGACCAGAGTTTTTAAATTTTTCCACTCATCATAACCAATTTAAAGATTTGGTTTCAGATCAGTCTACGATTCCAACATTTTAGTTTCCTTAAAGAATAGAATAGAATGTAATGTAGGGTTTTGCGGCACTGCGATCGATCTTCCTTAAAGAAGCTAAGCAACATCTTGTTTAAGTCAAAAAAAAAATGTTGAAAAATAATCGAACTTCGCACTTTTCAATTGCCGGTCGAGTCCTCAGACCACTAAGCTATCGTGAATTTAACTATCTCTAGTCGCTTATCCTCAAGAAAATCCAGGCAAATCTTAGTTAAAGTATAGAACTGGGTTAGTCTTAGCTGCAGTTAACATTAATCTTAAGGAACTCAAAAGACGACTTACTTTAAGTATGTTTGAGATCATTAATTCCTCTAAAACCTAAGAATGACTCATACTTTGAACTTACAAACAAAAAACATATTAAATCGAACGATCTTACCAAGCTATAATGTTTAAGGAGATCAGAAGGTTAAAAGGTGTGTTAATCTTTTTAAATTACCTTTCTAAATCATCTCAAACATTAAGTTTCAATATTAAGTTAAACAAAACCGCCTTTTTTAAAAGGAGAAATTACCAAAAAGAATGATAATAATTTGACTGTCATTGAGACACGATCACTATAAAGCAATTTACACCGGGTAGTAGCGAATGCCCTAAAGAGAATCCGGCTTTCTTCCTCTCTCTCGCTACTTATTCTCTCGCTCTCTTGAAATATAAAAAGTTTGATTTTTACGCTATGCCCACATTTTCATTTTTTGAAATTCTTTTTCATTGTTAAAGATTCATTCATTAGATCCACACGTTGTTAGATCTTAGTAATATTTTTACATATAATTTTTTTTACATACTTTTAATCTTATTATTTTAACTATACCTTAATTAACCTGTCTAATATTAAATGGGAAATTGGGAAATTTTGTGCAATAAATAAGTTTTTAATTTAGTTTAATTCAAAAAAAAATCAAGTCTTAATTTGGATTTAAAAGAAATAAAATATTCCGTACGGGAACTGTTAAAACAGAAAAGAGAAGAAAGAAAAAAATAATCAACAAGTGGTGCATAAAAAAAAAGTTTTCATGTGAAAATTCATGAACATTTATAACTTAAGACAAAAAAAAAATAAATAAATTTATAGTTAAATGTGTTGAAAATAGGAACTTAATAGACAAGTCAGTTAGTAGTCAGACAAAAAGGAAACTTATTGACTTGCTAAGGATATTATTAGTTATACAAAAATTATTATCATATTGGAAAAATAAAAGCAAAGAAGTAGTGAATAGTGAGGCTTCCATCGCAGACATAAAACAGTCGAAATAAAAATTATTCGGACCCAAATGGATATGACAATGGACGTTTACGGTGACAATGAGGTCAACGATCTCAAAGAGCTATGGGAAACTGATTTAGATGTAAGTGGCAAAAAAAAAAAATTTATTATTCTTATTCATTCTAAGAAGAAATCACACCTTCAACTCTTCTTCTGACTTCATGTCGTCGTCTATACTTCGCACGTGGGTTTTTGATGTAATAATAAGACATTTCATAGCATCCTTATTTAACATTTGTCGAAAAAGAATTTCCATCTGTGACGTAGCTGCGTGAAAATGATAGGAAGGGGGGAAGACGTCACGAACTTTCCATATGGTTCAGATGTTACATTAGAAAAATTGGAAATAATATTGTGTTTGATGAATGAAATAATATTTTATACACGACTTTAAACATGAAAGGGAAATCCAGAAAGTAATCAATGTCATATAAGTATAATAAAAAAAATTATTTTGATAACATGACACAGTGACTGTAAAAAAATATCCTCAGATAAAAAATAACAAGTGAGAGAGAAAATGTAATGAATGAATGAATAACTAATACAGCTATAGAATGCACCAACACAAAACTAGAGATTGAGATCTATGGACACAGCTACTTGACTATCTTATCAATATGATTTTTATATAATGCCTGTTTATATTACTTTATTTTCTTACGAAAAAACAATATAAAAGTAAACGGAAAATCCCCCTCAACTATATCTTTCAATAGCTACTCACAGCTCAAAAAATACCCCGAATATGTTTGTTAAAAAATTAGAAAAATTGATGTACTCGACGTACGGGTCAGAGAGGTTATCCTGAGGGTCTCAATAATGAGGGAAAAATAATCCGAGAATGCATTAACTGCCCGCATGCTGCACACACAATGTGACAATATACAAAACACTCTCTATTTTCTCTTTCTCTTCTGATTTCGACACCAGCTCCAATTAAGCTTTTCACATTTTTATTTTTCATTTTTGCTCTGCAACAACATTGTATTGTAATTATTTTCGGTAGAAATTAAACAATAAAATAAATTATATGTGTACATTCATGTCGAACATTCTAGTCAAGGACGTGTTTATGAATCTTATTTTGAGTTATTTCTTCTTTTTCCGTTGAAGTTTATCACCTTGTTCTAATTGTAAGCGGAATACTTTTTACCTCCTTATCAGCTACAAGTGTCATCCTTTTTGTAGAAATAGAATTTCTTTTCTCGCGCTTTGTTTGATGTTTCTTGAATTGAAAAAAAAAGTTGAGGTTTTTAGGTTATTTTGATTTATTTTCAGTTACCCGAAGTATTTTGTCAAGTTAACAAGTTGATTCTTAATGAATACTATAGGTCCTCGATTTGAGGAGATTCGATTTGAATAGAATTTTTTTGGAACAAAATACCTACTCAAATCGAGGACCCCCTGTACTAGCTTGCTTTGCAACCAAGTTAACAATTTTGAGACTAGAAATTGAATAACTTGGTGTTTTAAAATTTTCCCATTAAAAATATGTGTGATTTCATCTTTGCAATTATAAATCAGATGATTTTGTAATTAACTTCTATAGCATGCTTCCTTACTGACTCTAATGTTCATTGAATAGTTCATTCGCTTTAGAATTTTAAAACTTTTTATTTGAATTCTGAAAATCTAATTAGGGGCCGTTCACTTATTACGTTCGCATTTTAGGGGGGGGGGGGGGGGGTTGAAAAATTGTTTTAAAAAAAGATCACGAAATAAATTTGTTTACAAATTCATATCAAAAACATTTTTTAAAATTTTCCACCTTTTTAATGATAAAATAAATTATGAACGTTCAGGAGGTGGAAGGGGGGGGGGGTGTGAGTTGTAACATATTGTAACAAGGGGGGAGGGGGGTGAAAAAAATTGTTTTTTTGCGTAACGTAATAATTAAACGGCCCCTTAAAACTTGAATTGTAAAAAGAAAATCCATCAAAAAATTAAGTTCACTCCGCAGTCAATGATGTCAAAATTCAAAAAATTCAAAATCGTTGTAAATTTGTTAAAATAATAATCAGCCAAGTTTTATCAGACATAAACAACACTATTCGAAAATTAAAAGACGTTACACTGAAAAACAAAACAATAATAAATAATTAAAATGAGTTTGATAAGGCGTACATGCGTGTATACATAACATAATTTTTAAACACTTTAACTTATATTGAATCAGTTTCCAGGAAAAGTCAGCGTCGCATTCTTTTTTATCAGTCACTTGTACTAATTGTACACCAAACGTGAGGAAGAAATTCGTACATCTTGACATTTAATAACACTGCAATAAAATTAATTAGGTAATGTGGCGAAATTTTGAGTGGCTGCTTGCCTAGATACGTCTGATAATTGAGAGATGATGATTGCGGGTATGAAAACTTAAGATTTTGTGACAGAAGGGTTCATAAAATCTAATTTACAGAGGACATTATTTGCACATAGACTTCAGGCACCAAAAGTTTGGAGATTATTAAAATAATTTTTTGAGATTTTGACACTCAAAACTAAGCACGTGCTGGTTCGCTCATATCAAGAATATTTTAATTTTAATGATGATTAGAACGCTGATACTTTGTCCCGTTATTATACACATTAAGACAGAAAAGAAGAAATACATTCGAAAAAAAAGTAACAAATTAATGAATTAATCATCTACACACTCATATTAGTGTACATGAATGTGTGTTGATTTTGATTGATTGCATGTTATCTCAATTTCTATTTTTTTTTCACGCCGCGTATTCGGTAATATGAAATCATTCTATAGTCTTTAATTTTTCGGTAAAATTGAGTATTTTTACCACAAAACTTTTTATCATACAGTCTCACTTAATGACATTCGATTGTGAAGGTCTCGCATGTACGGAGTGTACTTACAAATATTAAAAAATCATTTAACAAAGTAAAAATTATTGAAATCGTTTAATATCCATTAAAAGAGTTTTATTAGGCATGAAGTATAAAGTCAATAACTTTTTTTTCTTTTTGAAAAAGCAGTAAAAATGGTCGTGGTTTTTCAACCGGCTAGCTACCTGGGTACTCTATTTATATTTTAATTACTATTCGTCTATATTACTATCGGATATACAGAACAGAACAATACTTTTAACCGTAGACATAAAACAATTAACATCATCATTGTATTAGATGCTCATTAATGTGGACAATTTTCATGTAATGGGAAAGTAAATAATGTGCGAAAAAAATCATAAATTTCAGACTAATAAAAGTTGTATGGCAGTAAGTGAGAGAGACGGCGCGACAAAATTGGGTCGAATATATTATACCGAGTACTTTTAGTCATTGCAGCATTAAATATATTTTGTCTTTAAAAAATTATACTCTCATATATTATTACTATTATTATTTTGTATATTATATGCTGAATGACTGTATATCAAACAACTTATATTTCTTGGAAAAGGTCAAAATGAAATCTGGTAGTGAGTAAGACGAATGGTCAATGAAGGAAGAGAAAGGCGCATTCGTTATGGAGCTGTGAACTAGTTATTGGAAATTTCTTATGAATTTTATATTTTAGATGACTCAAATTGACAAGATTTCTTAATACATTGTAACAGAAAGCGTTTAGTTATAGAGATAGCAATCCTATGACTTGTTTACTATGTAAATTAATGAGATAAATCATGATTATATTATGTTTGGCTCTAGGCGATAGATGTCATAGTTAAAAATGAGGATAAATCTTTGGATTCTTAGTATTGTTGGTTCATGATAACATTTTTTTTTGGGACAAATATTTCTAAGAAGCTGTTTGTAAGGATGTCAGTAGATTTTTCTGGAATTTAAGAAGTAAATATTAGATTTGATGATAAATCGCGACTTATATTTTGACTACAATGGGTAATATTAATTTTGAACTTTTGACACAAATTACATTGATCTACTCTAATATGCATGTTCCTGCATTTTTCCTTGAGAATTAGTATTGAATAGAATTCTAATATATCTAGTGCAGGGGCGTAGCCAGAAAATTTTTAAGGGGGGGGGGGGCCATTTTCGAAAATTAATAAACCGTTATTTTGTATCCTTAAATCCATATTCATTCTTCATAAGTTTAAATATTTAATTCATTATTCATATATTAAATTTAATTTTTCGTGCTGATTTTGACATTTCTTTCATCACTTCCTCTACATTAACTGGTTCTTCTCTATAAATACTTAATAAAACAATTATCAGATTTTCGTAGGGGGGGGGGGCGGGCCCCCTATGCCCCCCCCCCCCCCCTGGCTACGCCCCTGATCTAGTTGGTAAGCCAGTAAAGGAACAGTTCCAATTTATTATAGCAAGTCAAGCTATATTCACAGGTTCAAACCTAAATAGGCACATAGACACAATTTTAGATTTTAACATTAAGGTACAGAACTGATGAAATGATCAGAAATAATAAAAATGTAATTTAACAGTTCCACACCCTTGGTAAATATTAGATGTTATTACACTGTTCGCGCTGAGAATCTCTTCTGAATATGTAGCAATCAGAGACAGTGCCTAGATTTTATCGTGAATCTAGATTTTCAATCCATAACCTCAAAATTTTCTTGAACTTCAAACAATTCACAAGAATGAAGCTTTTTCTTACAAAACAGACACAATCCCATCAAAATCTCAACCCAAAAAGAAGCTCACATGAACAAAAAATTCCCATTTCCCCTGCTCAATTTGCCACAGAAAAATCATCCATTTTACGAAAAGAAAAAAAAAGCACATGGAGCACAAAAAAACCTCTTCAAATTCATCTCAAGATCAATATGACGGCAAAATTGGACACGCTAGTCCACTGACCTTTTCCGAAATTGCGCTAAAAATTTCACTTCGCACATTACGCATTTCATTTTCTCAAGAGATTGGAGATTATAAGTAAGAAATTGAATTAAACAGTTTGTACAGCTCCGAACTCTCTTACACAAAAAAGAAAAATAATTTCTCTAAAGTTTCCATATATTTATTACCGTTTAATTATCCGCTAGAACGAAATAGTAAAAGAAAAGAAAATAAATTGTATCGAATCAGTCTGTTGCAATCGATTCGAGCACATTTTTTTTGTTCGATGTCGTT